CCGAAGAGTTGACACTGCTTGCTCCTGCTGACCGGTGCAAACCCCGCACAACCGTCCAACAAAGAGCTGAACTTCCACACGGTACAAAAAGAAAGGCTTTGGAGTGATCTGCTTACGCGGCTCAACGTGACTCGCCCTTGTCTGGTTGCAAACCCAAAACGTCCCACGTTCCAACAGCAGCTGCCTGACACCTTTTGGGAGTTGCCCAAGTTCGCGAGACTTACGATACATGAACATTTCAGGAGTGACTATTTCGAAACCAGAACCCTAAGACCTTGAAATCGTCAAAGCCTCAAAACCTTATAAGCCACTGAAGGTGACAAGCCAGCCCGTTTCCCAAGCGTTACACTGGATTGCAAAGAAACCCACAGAACGCGCGACAAATGAAGAAGGCGACGACAAACTAGAGGCGCGGTAATGTTGAGCCCACCTGGCGGGCTTGCCGTGCAAGCGGGCTGGGGATGGGGGCACGGGGCGCCAAGAAAGTACTCGCAACGAAGACGCCCCCAGGTCGTAGAACTCGGCTGATCTCCGCTACCTGCCGACCGCAAAAGACCGCATGAGTAATCAGATTGCCACTAACTCCGTGGAAAAGCAGAATTAGAGGACGCACACACGTGACTTGCTCTGCAGATTTTAAAGGAGACTCCGCTTCACTGTCAACCTACCCGCTCGGCAAAACGCAAAGGAGTCTCCGATGTCGAAATTCTATTCCCAAAACCTCCATGCTTACTTTTCAGCAAGGCAACCCCTCATAACATGCTAACTACGCCAAGCAGCCAGGGCCGATAGCCCGGGGTCCAGTGAACCAGTTTTCTTAACCTAGAGGGTCCTAGACCACGTCTTCGTTCGGCTACAGAGTAATACACTCAACCGGACACTCAACCGTCCAGATCTTTCCAACATGCGAAGTCGAACCCCCTGACTAGGAACAGGCTTCCCAGGACGTGACTTACTGCTGAGCTGGGTGACGGCCAGCAATGAAGCGCGGCCCCCGCGTGCACTCCGTCAATCGATCCCGTCTCAAAGGGCAGCCGCCCGACGTCTGCTCGGACCAGCGCAAGGTTTCTGCGGCAGCATGATAAGAGTGGTTCAGAGTCTGGGAGTCGTCCGTTCTGACCGATTTCAGTCTGATCGCTTTGAGTATTTCCCGACAAACAAACAGTCGGGCAACACCTCGGCTAGCGCCAAGTCGGCTGGAGTCTGATCTTCGAACAGAAGCTATCCACAGAGAGAGTTTGATCGCTTGCTCGTACATCCGACTATCAAGTGTCCGTAGCCGTGCCCCAAGTTCGCGTTCCAATTGGAGAAGTCTCGCGTCTAGTTTGAGCAGACCTAGGCTTCATCAAGCCCCTGGCTCCTTGTGAATAGAGTCCCGCATCCTCCACGAAGTGGAAACTGCCGCGTGTCCGTTTGTTCAACTAGCATGGGCGCAAAACTCACGCGTCGTCGAGCGTCCGGTCCTGGCGAATGAAGTCGCGCGTTTGTACGAGCATGCTTTCCGAAAAGTCGGAGCCGATGACGGCAGAGTACTTTCCGCTCGAAGCGAAGCGACGCGTAAAGAGCCCGCTGCCGCAGCTGACGTCAAGGAGGACGCCGCCGGCCGCAGGCTCAAGGTAGCGCTGCGCCATTACGAACTGCAAGGAGACGGTTGCGGGAATATTGATAAGCGGACTATAACGAAGCTCTCGGACTGGTTTATGCTTTGTAGAGGGTTGTGAAGAAAGAAATAATGAAAAGGAGGTAGCGCTGCGCCATCACAAACTGCAAGGAGACGGTATTAAACAAGTCCTCCGCGGAGCTCGACGAAGCTCTAGGTTTGTTCTACAAATGTGTCCGAGCACGGAAGTTCTATCTGCGCCGTCGCAAAGGTTTCGGGAGAAGTAAGTAGCCTGGGTTGAGAAACACTTTGAAGTGATCTATGTTCTGTCGAAAATTCAGTGGAAGAAAGACAGGGAGGAAACACGAGATGCTAAGCCAGTAGGAGCTTCGATGCGTCATTGAGGTGCAGAAAAAACAAACTGCCGAAGAAGAGAGTCGACTTGACTCAATTGAGAAGCGCAATTCTGAAAAGCATAACCTGGTAAAACGGAGGGGCAAACACACCTCGCTATACGGTCCCAAGCAAACAAACAACTTATTTGTGGAATGGTGGGAGGAACAATCTTAACCTTGTGACTTAAGTCGACACAGCTCAACTCCTTCCAGCAAACCGAAAGATCCAACAACCTACTAGAATAGCAAGCAAAGACACGAACAAACACCGTCTCATGACAAGAAAAAGAGAGAGTGAGGGGAAATTTTAGCCCCAGAAAAAAGAAAAAGAATCGATTAATAGGGAAAAGGATTAGAGAGAGATAAAAGATTACACACAGGAGGTAGAAAAAACCACGAAAGAAGATACGTATTCTCTCGAAAGAAGTGACGACCTTCAAAAAAGAACGGAAAAAAAAGAAAGAAAGCTAAACATGTCAATCATTCCTGTGCGCACCTCTTGATCCACTCCTGGGAAGCCCGCCTGCGCAAAGCCCTGCCGCCAGCCACGCTCGTACACAAAGCTCACCAACGGATTCCTGCGGAGTGCACAAGGCACAACATCTCTCTCATGTGGTACTTTGAACTCAGCGCCGATCCCAGCTCCATATAGACTCCAATAAGGCCACACTCTAAAAAGCCCCTCTTGAACAGCAACGTCTTTGCTTCAGACAAAGGGTGCTCCCTCGAACGAAACTCAAAGCCGGCTCAAAGCGGGCTCTTAAGGACATGTCTACTGTCACCAATTGCCTGAGCTTGCTCCACCCTAGTTGCTCGCAAAGAGGATAATAAGCGCAGGGACTTGAATGACCGACAACACCCAGACACCGAAGAAAGCCTTGTTCCCGCAGACGCCAGTCTCAACAGCCTCCTATCTTTCCTCTCAGAACGCCAAACTTAACAGCCTCCTTTCTACTCACCTGAAAATCTGTGTGCCTGGTGGTAGGAAGTCTGCATACTCCTGCGCTCCTTCCAGGACGGTCAGGTCTGCGTAGCCCTGCTTGCCAGGAAAGGAGCGCTTGCAGCGAGGGCACTCAAACCGGGAGGCGTCCACGGCAGCTCTGCAGAGTCAGACCTTGTTTCGAGTCTGTTTAATTATTTCACCACAGACCTTGTTCTGAGTCTCGGTGATTAGACTTGTGAACCTTATTCTAAGTCTGTTTGGTGGTTACGCTGATGACCCAAAAAGAAGGGGGGGAAAACCAATCCGACACGTTCTGTGAACCAACCTGACAAGACCGTTGTTTGATGCTATCGTGAAACCCCAGCAAAGGGGGGAAGCCCTGTACCACCAAGGGCTCTTGATGAGGTTCTTAAGGCTGGGGTATCTATAGCAAGTTTGCTCAATCTCGAGCTTTGAAGCTCCGCTGATACACGTAAGACCCAAAGACGTAGCCGAACCCCCACAGAGTGGAAAAATAGACTGACAGCCAGTCCATTGACAAAATACAAATTCAGAAACGTCCCGGTAGGTAGGAACTGCAAGGCTTACCGGCTGAAACCCTCTGGTCCCCGCCTTTCAATTGGCCCATAGCAGATGGGGCATGCGAGGTCAATTGTCTTGGGTTTCTGTGCTGCTTCTGTTTCCACCTGGAAGAGAATCCCAATGGTTAAGATAGCAAGCAAAGCAGCTCATGGCAGCTCCTGCAACAGAGGAGCTGCTCCTTCTCCAAACCTGACTATCACTCTCAAAGAAACTTCAGACTTTTCTGGACTCAGACAAAGCAGTTCAAGATGAGGAAAATGACAGGCATGAAAGGGGTTGGGGTGGAAGCAGTGGGTTCAACAAAGACAGAAAGGTAATCGCTGGTTTCAAGTCCGAATCCAACTCCATGGTCTTTCAATCCATACCTGGATTGGACATAATAGCAAAGCCGCAGTTTGAGAAAACTGGTGTGCAAACGACTTCCTCTCAAGAGCAAAGAAATCACGCACACAAAATTCCTGTACCTCCTAGAAACATACTTCCCAGGTTATATTTTCTAAGTCCCGCTTAGAAGCAATCGGCAAATGCTTGTAACAACAATCAAGGATCGAGGAGGATACATCGGGGGATAGAATCTTTTGGATTCGAACCTCGGCGGGTTGCTAAAAGTCCCGCCTGATAAAAACAAGAATCCTTGGGCCCTTACTTGGGTTACGACAGACTCCGCTTGAATGTCAATCACTTCGCCTGCAACCACCGCTTGTACCACTCCTCGCCTGGCGCTAGCAGCCTCCTGGGAGAAGGAGTGTCTGGTTTGACCGCGATGTTTTTGAAAAGTTGCTGGCCATCGGAAGCGGAGCTGCCGGCTGAAATCAGGGACAAACGGGAGGACAGGGTGAGCGCTCTCGGAGTGGCGGGCGAGAGAGGCCTGGAGAGAAAGGCAAGGGACCAGCTTGCGAGCTGTCAAAGAGAGCGCCATGTCTTCTTCGAAAAGCTTAATCTCAGCGGGCAGTTCAACAAAGAGCAATCCAACTAGTGGCCCCCAGATGAGCGCTGCAGAGTGATCACAATTGCCCCCTTGCTGGATGCGAACCCTAATGTGAGGAGAGGTACCATCCACATACCGTCGATCAGCATGATCGAACGGCCGCGTCGAACACACGTTCGCCATTGTAAAACGTCGCCCCCCTGCTTGTGAATCCACCAGCGCGGAGGCAACTAGAGGAAGGAATGCGGGAAGCGAAGGAGAAAGGTCGAGTTTACAACTTGGAAACCTCATCGACGGTCAAGGTTCTCTTGTTAATTCCCGCCATATTGTATGAGGAGCGACATAAGGCCTCTTCTATAACATGCAGCATGCCGCTTTTGGTGCTCAAGGGTCGCCGTGTTCTCCAAAAGGGACTGGGGGCAGGACTCTTCACGATATCGGACCGTCCGTTGGGCCATTTTGGAGATTGTCCCTGGTGCTGATCAATCTACCTAGGTAGTAGCTGCTTGCCTGTAACACTGATGTCAACAGGCTGTGTAGGATCCTCTTCCTTCGTCTCTCCTTCGAAACCGTAAACGTAAAGCAGTTCACGAAAACAGGGGTCCTCAACTGGATAGGGGGAAGGCAGGATCAGCCTGTTGTACATTTGCTGCTTTAAGGTCTAGCTAGAGCGCTGAATACACCTTGAAAGCGCCGGAAGGATGGCAAAGAATGACGATTCTGACCTCTCCGAAGAAGAGATGGAGGAGGCCCTGGTCGAGGAAGAGCTAGATCCTGAGGAGGAAAAGCTTCTGGATGCTGGGGAGGGAGAGGATGAAGGCACCGTGGAAACAAAGGGGCCGAGCCCTCCGACCACTGCTCAGGAAGTGAACGACGATGATGACGGTGCGGCGACGGACTCAGATGATGAGGACGAGCCGGAGCTGCCTGACGTGAGCATGCCACACCACTTTCTGTTCAAAACATATGCACCACGTTGAGCAATTAGGGTTTGTGAGAAGGCAGATGCCTCTGACTGCACCATACCATGTGCTTTTGCGGCCTACGGCAGTGTATTGTAAACTTACGGTTCTTTCACATCATGTATCACGAGCTCATGCTGTATGAAATGTAGCAGTGCTCTCATTTCCTCCAATCGACTCTTCTCTGATCAAATGATGAGAAAGAGCACTTGGAAAGTACTGCCACCATTGGATGCACAGAAGGGCATCTGATCTGGCTTGGTGATTGAGTTGCCCACGTCGGCCCTCCACTCCTACACTAATATAGCAGGCTTATGGGCATGGCATCAGATACGCCTTACACTAGTTGGACTTTAGATTGGTTTTGCATGGTGGCCAGAAGTTCTGTTGGGCCATTCCATTTGTAAATGTACATGAAAGGCAGGTTCAAGGGCAAGTTTTGAGTACTACAGGGCAGTGTCGGATGCAAACGGTTTGTGTGGCCTGATTTCGGTGCATCCAAGGGTCTGATTCTTGTTCCATGGACCTCAAAAAGAAAAGCAGCGGATCTTTTGTAAATGCAAGGTTGATATTGGATCTTACAAGTCAGTTCAGAAAAGCACTAGGTTGTCCTTAGTTCAAGCGCCCAAGATGCTTATGGCTCCAGCAATCACCATCTGAAATGCTTAAAGAGGGCGTCGGAGGACCGGTCCTACTCAAGCGACCAAATTGCCCCGCAACAGAGCCAGTTTGGTCTCCGAGATGGAATTGGGGCCGTTTGATGAAATCTTCCCTCAGGACTCAGATGCACGAGTGTACCTTGAAATCTGACGCCCTCTTTAAGCAAATTTTACCATCCTATGAACAGGGGCTGCGATCCCCCTCAAAGAAGGACGTTGCCAAGAAAGAGCGGGAGCGGCTGCGCGAGCAGAAGCGGCTGAAGAAGCAGCAGCTGGAGGAGTTTCGGCAGAAGCAGAACGACTTGATTGACAAGGAAACGGTAAGAACGGTTCGATTGACAAGGAAACGGTAGCTGTTTGGGGCTTATCATCCAGCAGGCATATCAGATGAGCAGAGTCTGAGGCAAGGCGGTCTTCTGAGATTCCAGTGGGCTGTCCTGTTCCGCACAGGGGAGCCCAGCGGCGCACAGCATGCTTTCGGCCTTCAAGCTGTTTCTTGTCGATTCAAAGTTGCTCTACGGAAGGGGTTCATTGCATAAATTCTTTCCAGTGCATAAACCCTTTCCACACATTGGTCGTTGATGAAGCGCACTTTAAAATGAGTGTTTATCCCCCTCTAACACGCCCGTTCGTGTTGCAGGATAAGTCCGCGAAGGGGAGGGTGAAGTTTCTGCTCCAGCAAACCGAGATCTTTGCGCATTTTGCCAAGGGGAATGCAGCCGCAGCGTCTGGCAAGTAGGTGCCTCTTTCTAGTGCTTTCGGAATGAAGCATTGAGACATATACTGGCCCCTCGTAGTTTGAGAAAGCTGTAGGATCATCAGCCACGAATCTGGAAGATTTTGGTACGGCGTTTGCAGCAAGACCTTGAGATTGCAAAGTTGACTGGCTCATAATGAGTTCCTAAGCCCCCGAGGAACTTACGTGCTTAGAAACAGTCCGCAAGCACCAATCAAACAAAACCTGGGCCTCACCTGCCAGTAGCTTAGTAGTATCGTGCTGATGCATCATCTTGGTATAAGAGTCTCGTTGTTCTGATGAGAACCTGCCCCACTATGGAAGGATTATGGGGATGCCCATGCTTCGCATGACTTTGATTTTAGTCTTGGGTTCTGCAAGGCCTCTAGATTTAAGTCCTTCATTTACTGAGCTCTAGATTCAAGTCCTTCATTTGCTGAGCTTGCGATGTGGTCCACAGTACTATCCAGGGGCTGAACACACGTTTATGTTGGTTGCAGGGGTCGGAACTACTCAAAGAAGACGGAGCGAGAGGAAGATGAGGAAATTATCAAAGAAACGGAGGACGCAGATGATCCGGTGGTGGGAGGGGGCACGCGCCTCCAAGTTCAGCCAAATTGTGAGTCTTGCAGCTGTCTTTGTTTGAACAATTATGCAGGCAAACTCCAGGGGTCACCGCATCTGTCAATTCTTTTCTGTCTTCAAAGTAAATTTTCTGTGGATCTCTCGGTCAGACCTCAGGTGCAGAGCTTGTAGGCAGATTACGTGGGGGCTTTTCTGTAGTAAACGGGATTAACACCCAATTTGGTTCCTTTCTGTCTGTTCTTGAACCAGGTTTTAGGAAACCGATCCAGATTATCGAAGGTTCTCCTTCCCACCTTGTCCCGTGGCTGACAGTGTGCGTTCTGCTTCTCTCCAGGTATCAAAGGAAAGATGCGAGATTACCAGCTTGCTGGCCTGAATTGGCTCATCAGGTGCTACGAAAACGGCATCAATGGAATCTTGGCTGACGAGATGGTAAGTGCAATGCTCCAGGGCTGCTCACTCAGCACTTGAGCATGAGTGGGCGGTAAATGGCGCCTCTTTTGATTTTGGGCCAAACAAAGAGAGCACGATTTCGCACCGTGATGGACGAAGGCTTCTTGGAAGAGGGGAAGAAGCTGCAAATTCACCCATCCATGTACCTTAGCGTGCCTGGAGTTTTTGAGAGGAAGCATGCCAGTGACTTTCAGCAATATCATTTATCTCTGCCATCACCATTGACTTTGTCACGCTCATTGTTAGAAGACGACGAACTCGAAATTTTTGCAAGATTCTGCCACAATCGAACTTGCAGCGTGTGGAGAGGTTCACTCTCAGAGATCGTCTGCGCTTCCGGTCCTGCGTCGAAGATCCTAGGCAGCATCCTTGACAATGCTAATCCGTTGGCGTTTGCAGGGGCTCGGAAAGACGCTGCAGACCATCTCCCTCCTTGGTTTCTTGCACGAGTTTAAGGGGATCACCGGGCCCCACCTGGTCATCGTGCCCAAGTCCACGCTGGGGAACTGGATGAAAGAGATTGCGCGCTTCTGCCCCATCCTGCGCGCCTTCAAGTTCCATGGCAACCAGGAAGAAAGGGTGAGAGCGGCATTTCGAACGGCGTTGTCTTCAAGCTCGTTTGATGCCTGGGTTTGAGACACACATGGCAGACAATTGTTCAGACGACCCACTCGCGATTTGATTCTGTCCAATGGGTACGTTAGGCTGCTTGAGGGTCTCAGCTTCAGGGCGCTGCCTTGGCGTCGGTTTACAGTCATATCGTCCGCCAGTCTTCAAGTCCGTTGCAACCATTCGGTCATATCTGGATGACTGAACCACGTCGGATCTTAATCAATCGCATTATCTGGCCTCGAACATGGTTGATCGGATGCCGTCCTTGAACGGCCAAAGTTCTGTGTAGTCGGCCAAATTCTGCGATCGATTCTTGGTCGGTTGGCCGTATAGAATCGAGAGTATGTTCGAATCTGCTCTAAGTGGCCCGGCTGATCTTGAACCAAACGCTAGACACCTGAAAGTCGATTCTTGGATTGTCCGCTTGCGCGCAGGCGTACCAGAAGGACCACGAGATGGTGGCGGGCAAGTTCGACGTGTGCGTGACGAGCTACGAGGTGATCATCAAGGAGAAGAACGCGTTCAAGAAGTTCAGCTGGCGCTACATCATCATCGACGAGGCGCACCGCATCAAGAACGAGAACAGCCTGCTCTCCAAGACCATCCGCATGTTCTCCTCCAACTACCGCCTGCTCATTACCGGCACGCCGCTGCAGGTGCGGGTGCAATCTACTCTGTTTTACAGCTTCCTTCGAAAAGTTGCCCCGATCGATTGAGTACTTAGTGATGTTGCTGGAAGTTGGAAATGTCGGTTGGAAAAGTAATGATTGCAACTAGAGTCTCATTGAACATACAACGTGACCCTTTTCGAACCTCCCACAAATCGAGGCTGCAAGAGCTATCTGGGATTGTTCTGAAGTCTCTGTGAGAAGAGACTGACCCTTGACTGAAGCTGACACTCTCCATGTGGGATGTTCCGACGTTTCTTGTGAGAAAAAGCGCGCTTACTGTACCCACGTCATGGTCCTGCTTACGATAGGACGAAAAACTCATTCGCTGATATTGTGCATTCTTCCTCGCAGAACAACCTGCACGAGCTTTGGGCGCTGCTCAACTTCCTGCTGCCCGAGATCTTCAGCTCCGCGGAGACATTTGACGAGTGGTTCCAGGTTTCCGACGACAAGGACCAGCAGGAGGTCGTTCAGCAGCTCCACAAGGCGAGCGGAAGCGGAATTGAAATGGAAACGGAAGCGGAAGCATGCATTTTGACCACTATCAAAGGCAGATTGGCACTTCTGGTCGATTAAAAGCTGCCACACAATGGGGTGAACGGTTCTTCTGATAGGAGATGCAGCGATCAGGTTTCAAGCGGACGAAGGTCTTTTGGGGGCTCTGAGGCTGCTGAAAAGTGTGTGCAAGCCATCAACAATGTGAGGGTAACGAGGGTCGAACGTTCGAAGATATGATTGAAAGAGGGTTTCAGCAGTATCAGGAAAAGGAGGGTCGAACTCCCAAAGACTTGACTGAAAGAGAAATTCGACTTGGAAACCCTCGTTGCAGTGACATTCTGCAACGCTCGTTCGCTTACCTTCTTCGGCCAGAGATCTTGCATCTTTCCACAAAATGGAAAACTCAACACAAAATCCTACACGCTCCGCAGGTCCTGCGACCGTTCTTGCTTCGGCGGCTCAAGTCGGACGTGGAGCGCGGGCTGCCCCCCAAGAAGGAGACCATCCTGAAGATCGGGCTGTCCGAAATGCAGAAGACGTACTACAAGGCGCTGCTGCAAAAGGACATTGACGTCATCAACAGTGAGCGCTCGACTACCTACTCCTGTGTTTGCACGCATGCAGTTGTGCACCTACCTTCCTTCTGGAAATTGAATAGATTTTTGTTGCTATGGAGTTGGATTCGACAAGCATTTTCTGTCTTCAAGATACAGAGGTTCCGTCCAAGCAACCTGCAGAGTTATACTGGGAGTATTTGGTGCAGCAAAGACGCACATGCTTGGGAAATTGCCCAAGAAAACGGCGGCATGGATCAATGCCTCTGCTCTCCCTTCCTTGGGCGTTTGGGGCCACTGAGAGCATCAAACATGATTGTGAACATTCTTCCCCAAAAACTTTCACAAATGCATCTCCCACTAGTTCCTAGATCTCGTTCTTAGTCGCTACGTGTTTCCTCTTAGGTGGCGGCGAGCGCTCTCGGCTGCTCAACATCGCGATGCAGCTGCGCAAGTGCTGCAACCACCCGTACCTGTTCCAGGGCGCCGAGCCTGGCCCACCGTACACAACGGGGGACCACCTCGTCGAAAATGCGGGCAAGATGGTGCTGCTGGACAAACTGCTGCCGAAGCTCAAGTCGCGCGACTCCAGGGTGCTCATCTTCTCGCAGGTGGGGCTTCGCGGGATTGCCTGGTATGACAGGAGGGTTGGGTGAAAGTTCATATATTTCAACCCAACCCTTTATTTGGTCTTCATCTGGTGGAAATATCTGTGCTGCTCACAAATTAGTGTGGCTCTCTGAGAACGCGGGCCGGGCAAGTCTACGGGATGAGTGTTACATGTTGGACAGATTGCCCTGCCGAGCAAACCTTCTCGGCCTGGTTTTCCATAATGCTTATGCCGAGGCTTGAGAGAAGCTCTTAGGAGATTCCCATATCCAGAATTGCATGTGCACAGTCGCTCTGAACTCACAAAAGCGCTTGAAAGCTGGAACAAAATTGCCTTCGAAACCAGTCATGAAGTGGGACCGGAAACATTATCCACACCCGACGTGCAGATGACCCGTCTGCTGGACATTCTGGAGGACTACCTCCTCTACCGCGGCTACGCCTACTGCCGCATCGACGGGAACACGAGCGGCGAGGACCGTGAGTCACAGATTGACGAGTACAACAAAGAGGGCAGCTCCAAGTTCGTGTTCCTGCTGTCGACGCGCGCGGGCGGCCTTGGGATCAACCTCGCGACGGCAGACATTGTGATTTTGTACGACAGCGACTGGAATCCCCAGGTGGATCTGCAGGCAATGGACCGCGCGCATCGGATTGGGCAGAAGAAGGAGGTGCAGGTGTTCCGGTTCTGCACGGAGGTGAGGCGGCTTGCGAGCGGCAGGGTTTTGAGAGGGTTTAAGGAACGTGTGCATTACTTGAGACTTTCAAAGGCGTCAGTGGATGGGCAAAGCTGTCGATACACAATTGCCTGGAGTATCAGAAAGTCAATGGGTGGAACACTTTCTCTGCTGTCTAAAATTCGAGGGCGTCAGTGAAGTGGGCAAAGGAGCCGCAGATGGCTGGCCCCATCTCTAGATGCATGGCTGCCTGGAGCATTAACAGCCCGATGTACAACGTTGCGGGCTGCTGATCTTACTTTGCTTGTGTCTCTGCAGTTTGCGATCGAGGAGAAGGTCATCGAGCGGGCGTACAAGAAGCTGGCGCTTGACGCCATGGTTATCCAGCAGGGGCGGCTGGCAGAGTCCAGAGGTAAGCGAGAGGGGAGGTTCTCTTTAAACTTGCGTTTTCCATTTTGGATGCGGTATCCAAGGACGTCGAAGGTTTTCTTACGTCGTGTCCTATTTCTAAGCTTCAGAATGTCCGTCTCCACAGTCCCGAGATTTCAAACGCGAAGAGTCCTTGCAACCCAAGGGGCAGCAAATCTCTCACTCCAGCGACCCAAAGGAAGTGCACTCGCAACCTAGAATTGTCGAGATGATCGTCAGAAATTCTGCAGGACTTTGAGTCAACTTCACAGCATGCAGCAAGTACTGACGACGTTGGGTGGACACAGTGCGCTTCCGCGAACGAAAGAATTGCAGGACAAAGAGTTTTCTTTCAATCCTGTAACCCTGCGGTGAGACCTCTTTTTGAAACGGGTCAAACTTGAAACGGGTCGAACTTCACACCTCAAATGCTAAGTCACCTTGTGTGCGCGCACCGGCGAACAAGGACGAGCTGCTGCAGATGGTGCTGCGGCGCTATCCAGGCCTTCGCTCCGGCGGTAAAGAAACCCACGTCGCGCGAGGAGGAATCCGGATGTTTGGAAAGCCGGTTCCAAGTCCTAATTGAATACTTCCCTGCCCGTGCAGCGGTGAACAAGGACGAGCTGTTGCAGATGGTGCGTTACGGCGCGGAGAAGGTTTTCAGCACCGGCGGGAGCACTATCACGGACGAGGACATCGACAACATCATCGCCAAGGGCGACTCCAGCACGCGCGAGCTCGAGGGGAAGATGAAGAAGTTCACGGAGGACGCGGCGCGCTTCAAGATGGACGGAGGGGAGGACTTGTACGCGTTCGAGGGCGTGGGCTTTGAGAAGGCGAACAAGAAGCTGGAGGGCGGGGAGCTGAAGAAGATGATTGCGGAGAACTGGATCGAGCCGCCTAAGCGGGAGCGCAAGCGCAAGTGAGTGTCTTCGGGAGGACCCCGCTTCTTGCGCGTGGGGTTGTCCCGTATCTTGTTGGCCGCATAATGGCTAGGTCTTTGCTGGCTTCATTCCTCAGAAGCATCAGACTCTTGCACACATCAGTCGCATCTTCAGTGCGGTTACCACCCCTCTTCCCTCAGCCAGGAAAGGGGTCGAAGTGTACTTTCAAATGGAAGGCCTCCCCGGGTTTGGATCCGTCCTGCAATGTCGTCGAGAAAAGATTTTGCCTTTCCGAAGCTTCAGCAGACTGCCTTCCTTGCTGACGTCAGCCTTTATCCTGCGCAGCTACTCGGAGGCGGAGTACTACCGGCAGGCGATGCGGACGGGCGCCGGCCCGAGCAAGCCGCGCGAGCCGAGGATACCGCGCATGCCCGTGCTGCACGACTTCCAGTTCTTCAACATCCCGCGGCTGACAGAGATCTACGAAAAGGAGGTCAAGATCACGCTGGTAAGCTCCACTGGCCTTGCTTCTCAGGATGAATTTCAGAAGACGATATGGAAGGTCGCATCCAATAGGTTCCTACTTGCTACACTACTCGTCGTACGCTTTGCATTACTGTGATATCATGTCTCAATCTTACTGAAGCTTTCGACATCATCACACATTCACATCCGCCCCGGGCTTACTGGGGAAAAGCTTCTGGTCCTTCGCTTGTCGATATTTTTTGTTGAAGTTCTTGGGTGCTTCTCGTCGCGCTTGTGCTTGGAATTCCTCACCGCATCTTTCGTCGCCCCGAAGCTGAAGCGACAAGATGCAAACTTTCAAGGGTCTCATTTTGAGGATGCTGTTGCTGACTCTATCAAAAGTTCAGCCTGCCAGACGCATATGCTTTGTCGCGCAATCTATACTAGTGGCCTGGCCCTGGCGCAGCTGGTCCACGTTTATAGAACCTGATTAACCAGCTGGTGCCTTTCTTTCCGCAGCAAGAGAAGGCCCGGAAACAAAGGGAGGACCAAAAGCAGAAAGAGAGCGCGGCGGGCTCTGACGCCGAGCAAAAAGAGGAGGAGAAGGAGGAAGGTGGGGCGTGCCGGCCGCCGTATCACATCGTGTTGTGACGCTCGAATGTTGTGCGATGCTGTCTGCGCATCCTCCTTGACTGCGCATCCTCTTTGAGAAGCAGGCACTGTGTTTGAGTCGCTTGGATGGTTCCGCCCGTAGTTGGTCGGCCGTTCCTGCCGCTCATTGCTATTGCGTCCGTGGCAGAAGCAAGCAGTTGCAGTCGCTTTTGAGAGCGAAAGAAGCGTCAGTTCCTTCAGGTTGGATGCATGTTGAAAATGGTTTTTTTCTTCGCAGAGCCGGAGGAGGTCGAGCAGCTGACTCCGGAAGAGGAGGCGGAAAAGGAGCAGTTGCTTCAAGAGGTACGTATCGTTCCCTATAGTCCTTTTCAGTTCTTGCCCAGTCAATCGCTTTCAGAAAGGTTTAAACATCTCTGTTTTTCTTCATATTGACTTCACAAAACGTACTCACTGTTGCGGGGTAGGAATATTGCCTTGACGTGGTCGAACTCCAGCTTGGTTCAGCCGGAGGCTTAAGATGCCAATCGGTAAGTGTCTCTGTACAAACAGCACAGGGAGCTTGGTTGAAAACAGTGTCGTATTACTTCGCTTGTTACCACTTTCGCAGAGAGGGAGTCTGTTGACACGTGCTTCTAGAATCTGACAGTGATCATCTATTGCAAGCAATGTAGTGCTTGCGTGTATCAAAACCCAAACTATATTTCTTTCGATACCCATGCTCACCCGTTATCGGGCCCTCAGCCTAGGCACTGGTGGTAGGAGAGACGCACCGCCACTCGAGCTTTGCCCCGTGAGTCGGGGCGCTCATTTGATCGGTAGGCGCTGACCCGCTGGCCTTTCTTTACCAGGGCTTTGACAACTGGTCGCGGCGAGACTTCAACGCGTTCATCCGCGCGAACGAGAAGTACGGGCGGCACGACCTGGCCAGCATCGCGACCGAGATCGAGGGCAAGACGCCCGACGAAGTCCAGGACTACGCGGCCGTGTTCTGGGACAGATACCAAGAACTGAACGGTGGGTTGGTCGTTTAGATGCGAAGACTTGCTTTGGGAAACCAAGCCTCTGACTTTGCTTGATACTGTTGGACGCAGAGTGGCGACGGTCCCATTGTTTTGGAGATTGCTTTCAGTCGAGTGTGCTCGTGATTTAGTGACACACGATCCTGGCAAGGAGTTTGAACGGAAGGAAAAAGTCTTCTTGTAGGAGCCCATTGGCGCTAGACAAAAGACGTCTATGCAGCGGCTTCATCATTCTTCATTAGCCCTCTGCTGCGAAATAGATCCTGCCGTAAAAATCGATTCAGACCATCGCCTTCGTCCGACAGGGCAATGGTTTCGACTGTAGACTCAATCTTCTCATCGCCCCGTGCAGACTGGGAGAAGTTCATCAAGAACATTGAGCGCGGCGAGCAGCGCATTGCGCGCAAGGACGAGATGATGCAGGCGATTGAGCGCAAGCTGGCGCGCTACCGCAACCCCTGGTACGAGCTCAAGATCCAGTACGGCCAGAACAAGGGCAAGCTCTACACCGAGGAGGACGATCGCTTCCTGGTAAGTGCTGGGACCACCTTTCTTGAACGCTGTAGCTCTCCATGTTCGCTTGAAAGTGAGATTGATTTGGTTAGAAACGTCGGATAGTAGGATTAGGAGGAGGTGAACCCGAGCTTCTTAAGCCGCAAGAGAGAGTGCGTCTTGTGCTAGCTCTCTGAATGCCGCGGACGAAAGTCGATTTCTCCCATTTTCTGGAAAGTCTCCTTTTGGAGTTGGCCTAATGAGTGCGCTACTCGCTCCCAGCTTGTATTACCAGCCCCGTTCTTCAGAAACTCCAAAAATCCCCTCTGCCTCACCTTCTTCAACCGGTTCCTCAACCCCCTTCTCACGACCGTTCCGCTCGACCTCTCCTCCTGCAGCTGTGCATGGTGAACAAGTTGGGCTACGGCAACTGGGACGAGCTCAAGGCCGCGTTCCGCGTGTCGCCCATGTTCCGCTTCGACTGGTACGTCAAGTCGCGCACGCCGCAGGAGCTCGCGCGCCGCTGCGACACGCTCATCCGCCTCGTCGAGCGGGAGAACCAGGAGCTCGCGGAGAAGGAGGAGGCGTTCCGGCGGCAGCAGAAGAAGGCCGCAAAGGTGGGCGGAATGCACTTCAACGTGTCAGCGTAGTCCTGTCCCGCTTTCATATATACTTTTTCGCATTCTGGTTGCTCCGGAAGAAGGCCTCCACGTTGGCGGATGCTCGTTCTTCTTTATCTTAACTTCACCTGACCCTCAGTCTTGTCGAACATTTCCTTCCTTTCGTCGTTCCAATAAAGTGTGCACGATGTTGTACTGGACGACAGGCAAGCGGATACGTTTCTTTTTTATTGCGTCTGGAAAGATTGTGGGATTGCTTGTCCAACAAAAAGACCTGCAGCGCCGAGTGCCGCATTTGCCTAGTCTCCAGTCGTGACCCGCTTTAGCTTACGCGTCCATCACAGTTTTTGTGTATGCTTCTGAGCTGTGTGTGCGTATTTTCTGCAGTCTTCGGCGACTCCTGGAAGAAGTGCTGGAAAGGCCAAGCTTTTGAAAGGAACCCCTACGAACAGTGCGAACGACAGCGCTGGAACAGGGAAGAAACGGAGACAGGGCGAGCCTGCCGTCTCCACTGGCAAGAGGAAGAAGGTTTAGAGCGGCCGCAGAGTAGTATGAACCTCCGTTGACCGTCCATTGGCGCTAAGCGACTCCCATTAAATGTATATGGTGACCATGTTGAATCCGAGGTGGCAACCAGATGTATGAAGCATCCTCAGCGCTCACGTGACGCTCCATCCCCTTTCTGGTCGTGTGATAGGCCTTTTGCGCTTAGGTGGGAGGCTGCAAGATCCCAAAACCTCGGGTCGGATTTCACGTCTCCCGTTTTAACGGATCCTAGTACCTTTTTATATTAGTAATAGCACCATTTTATATTTGTAATAGCATCATCCTATATGCTTGATGATATCTCAAATTGGACAATCTTGTCGTGCATGGTTAATCACGGTTCGTGCCTCACAACAAATTTCATGCAGCACGAGTCTTTGCAGTCACCCTCAAAGAGTTCGTCCATGGGACGGTCTTGCGCAAAGCGCGGGGGCCAATGTTGTCATGAGTGCAGCGATGGATTCACGCACATGATATTGCAAGCATCCAGTACAACACATCAATACCTGTATAACATCGACGTCGGAAAGCTAGAGTCTTCAATTGTTCGTGGAAGCAGCCTTGACAAAATCAATACTCTATAACTGCAGCTCCCGAGTCCGTTGCTAAGTTCATTCTTGGTCAGATCAGGTACATGCAGTGTCCGGTCTCGGTACGCCTTTAGGTTTAGCTGGCCGGGCACGACATTCAATCTAGTGCGGGGGGTAAAACCTGCAGACTAATATTAACAGGCGTCAACTTCATCCGTAAGAAACGTAACGGTGCGGTACCGTACCGCCTCTCAATGCCCGAAGAAGCCTGAATGCGATCATCGATGTACATACTAGGTACCTACATTGTAACTTTAGCAGTGTACTGTGCTCAGGTACCGCAGTACTAACCGGCCGGTTTTTGTTCAATGCCTTTTATTCCGGTCACCTCTGATATATAAGTGTCAAAATGCAGCGCAGATGGAATCGGCACAACGCTTGGCACCAACTGAGAAATCTGCATGCCACTGCCCGGTGTACACTTTTGTGCCCGGAAGCTCCGGGTCGCGCACCTCGATCTTGGACGCAATCTCTCACGCTTGAAATAGGTATCTGGAATGGTCCACTTTTGCCGCACTTCTACCAGCAAAGTCGCCCTTCTGCAAGCAAAGAGCACCTTCCCTGTCCATCTCCTTCCCTGCTCAGGCCTTACCTGTTGCAATGGCTGCTTCGACCAGCGCCACGAAGGTGAAGCTCAAGAGTTCCGACGATGAGATGTTTGAGGTGGACGAGGCGGTCGCTCATGAGTCGCAGACCATCAAGAATATGATTGAGGGTGAGCGGACTGTTTGTCAACGTATCTTTTGCGTCACCGCCCTACAATCCTCTATGCTTCTGACGTCTAAAGCAGAACTTTACAGCTCATACCGGAGAGGTTTTTGTTCATGCTGAGCCTTTCCTCTGAATCTCGAACCATTTGCAGCTAAAGCACCTTAGCTGCGGTGTGATTGTTGTGCATCTTAAAGCTATCTCATCGGACTCTAACAATCTGCTTTGAATATGCAAAACCTGGGGTCCTGTCATTTTACCAGTAAGCTTTTTGCAACTTAACGCTTGACAGAAAGCACCTGCTGTCGTGTCCATTCGACGAACTCTTTTTATTCTGGTAATCCTTTTTGTCAAGTGACTTTTTCTCATCGGGACATCAGAGCGTTTTTGCAATCAACAAGCGCTGCGGCAGAAAAACCTGTGGGAATCATTCAAGCTATCTTCAGAGCTTCAGTTTGACAGTGACTTTATCTCGCTCGATCTGCAACACCAGTTCCGATCAATTGTTATGCATCTGTATAGTTTGCAACATCACAATTGTTCAACTATGATGCATCTGCGACGTTTGGGTATTCAAAAACTTGTTGAAACCCTGCAGATACTGGCGTCGACGCTCCCATCCCCCTTCCCAACGTCTCAAGCAAAATCTTGGCCAAGGTCATTGAGTACTGCAGATACCATGTTGATGCGGCAAAGACTACCGATGACAAACCGGCGGTTGGGGAGGAAGATGTGAAGACTTGGGATGCAGAGTTTGTGAAAGTCGAGCAGAGCGTCCTTTTTGATCTCATCTTGGTAAGTGCCGATGTGGGATTGCGTTGCTCAGGGTGTTTGCGGTGTTTTGACCTACCGCGCACAACAAAGTTGTACAAAGGCATATCTGATCTGCGTGTCTTATCCTTTTTTGCCCTTAATAAATGGTCGAAGCACCAGATTAGAATGGCATTGAGTTTCCATTTTTTCCTTTGAGAATCCGAGAACTAATGAGTTTGTTTGGTCTCTAATCTAGGGTTCTCTTTCTTTCAACACAGGAGTTGAAGCACTTGTTGGGGGCGTTTGATTAACAACACCTTGTACATTTTTTGCATTTGAACTCACGATTGGGGGCCTGAGCAAGTTTGTTCCTGGGGCTTCCTAATCTGTCAAGCAAGTCAGTGCGTGTACGTTAACCAAGGGTTTTGTTGTCTCTGCAGGCTGCTAACTACCTGAACATCAAAAACCTTCTAGATCTGACGTGCCAGACCGTTGCGGACATGATCAAGGGTAAGTTGGCAGACTCAATGCAGCGAGCTCATTTTAGCCCTCTTCCTCAATCGCATCGCTGTGAGAGTGGTGCAAATGTGTCTTGTTGGTAGTCTTAAGTGAGTCAGGTTGAGTTTCAGAACAAACATGTGAAGAAGCTGCTCAAGTCATTTGTGACAAAGTTTGGTTGGGAAAAGTGAGGTCCTGGCACTTGCATTCAGTCCCAGCCAGTTCATTCCTGATGTAGAGGAAGCATGGGTTTGTTGTTGACAATTTTGCAATTTTTGTTTAAGAGCCAGGAAGATTGCCTCAGCATTAAGTGCAGAAAAGGATTGGTCTTTGATTGGTTGTAGCCATGCCATGTAGGTACATGCTGGACAGCAGGTGGATTATTGAGTCTCAACTTTATTGTGATGCTTGCAGGAAAGACGCCAGAGGAGATTCGGAAGACATTCAACATCAAAAACGATTTCACGCCAGAGGAAGAGGAGGACGTGAGGAGGGAAAACCAATGGTGAGCAACTTCGATTCCTCTTCTTGTTCCAGCTTTATTGTTGCAGATATTGCTTCTCTTTGCCTGTCTGCTCCTCACTTAGGAGATGAGACAAGGTACGCTGTTTTGAGTCCGTTCTAAGAAGGTAGCAGGGCAATGTTCTTTTGGCAAGGTTTTAAGAACTTAAAAAGGCATCGGAAGAATGCACAAGTTTTTAAAGATTGAGCAATTTTCATGAATCCATCAAACACTTCAGCGTCCGTCTTCAACACCGGATTTGTGGCCGTCAAGTTGTTGAACACCGAATTGCTTCAAGTAACACGGTGTGTATTCTCCCTTACAGGGCTTTCGAGTAAGTTGTCGGACGTCTCAGCAAAGATCCCTCATTGAACTTGTAAATTGGTCCAATCTTTTGCATGAGAGAACTTTGCAATCAGAGTCGAGGAACAGAAGTGCCTCAGAAGTCATACTGAAGCTACCAGAAATGATGAGGATAGGTCAGTTTGTGTCTTGAACTTCCAAAGAACCATTTTAGACTTTGATGAATATTTGGATCCTGCTTCCAGGCAAGGCTTTTTGCCGCCATGGAAAGATGCTCGTCAGGTCACATCTGGGATGCATCTTATCAAACGGTCATAACTCGAATCATTTGAACTTGGAAAGTATCCACGATGTTTGGTAGTCAAGGGCAATGCAAGACCTTGATAATCCTGCCATGGTAAATTTAGGTGTTGAGGATGTTTCGACATGCGACTCGGATTGTGGCATGCATTTACACGACTGTTAAAGCACGCCAATCAACAGAGCAATGCCATGTGAGAACTTACCATGCGGAACATGATAAGTCTATCTCTAAAAAGCTTAGGTTGTGTCGTCGTTAATTAGCCTTGCTTCAATTCACATAGGATTGCTTCTACGGCTCACAAAACTAACTACGAGGAACTTGTACCCGTACTAACCGGTAAAACGGTCGGTTGTGAAATGAAATCATGCCAGATCTATGCGATGACATGGCACTCAGTGCAGTGGATGCGTGGATATTTACCATTGCACATACGATCTGATATAACGCTGCACCGTGTCCATCCAATGTGCTTAAGCGGCAGCCAGGCGCGCATGCGCCGCATTTAAAGATCGATATGGTAAACAAATTGCAAAAACCATGTATGCAGTGAACTCCTGGTTCAATTTGTCAGAACACTAGCGCTCGGCCAGATCGACATGCACGCGGTTCAGTACCAGATCTGACATGCATGAGCACTTCAATACCGCAGAGTTCAGCACCGGACCTCACAATCTCGATTGGAAGCGTGACCTCTGAACCTTGCAACATGCGGAAGCGGGTTCGATACCTCGCAAACAACGGCGTGAAAGTGCAACGTTCCCCGAATGACACCACCAGTACCTAGCTCACGTCGAGTCCAAATCCAGATTAAACCCAAGCACCCGCTTCTTCCGATTGCCCCCCTCGCCGAACTCTTCGTTCCACTTTTTGAGGTCGTTTATACTCGACGCTTCGGGAGACACGCTGGCACCAACCTGCGAACAGAGTGACCATATTAAATCAAATGCAGTTCTGACCCGACTCTCTTTCAAACCTCGGAGAACGGATTCACAATCAACCACAAATCGGGATCGGGAGGTTACTCCTTGCTTCGCACGCTGCATAAAAGTTGCCTGCTCACAGCGAATCAGCTTTTGTCCGCCATCTTCCAAGACCTCTAAGCCTCTGAGGTGTCTTGATTCCAAGCACCAGAAGTCCAGATCCACAAACAATCTCGTTTCCCACATTCTTTGGTTCAATAAACTCTCTTCTTCAAGGATTGAAAGACACCAGACGGACAAAGCCTTGGCTGACGCCAGGAAATGACGTCATCCGTGCCTCTGATAGCATTCCGTCACAAGCGACTTTAAATCTCGTGCTAGACCAACCTCGGGCACCCTTTCTGTGCAAAAAGCACCCAGCCAAAGATAGAATTGAGAAAGGCGACCACCAAAGGAGATGGGACCTAGAGACGGACGAGCGACTCGAAAGAGAGGAGTCCAAGCACAAACTCAAGCGTTTGAAGCCAAAACCCCTCGCATATACACCCACTGCAAGGCAAATTACACAAAGAATTAGAATCGGTGCGCCGCCGGCTCACCGTCTCCTTGGCCTTCTTAAAGTCGTCCATCCGCATTGGTCGAATCACCGGCAGGACCAGCGCCGGCGGTGCGCCCCCCTGGTCACTTGTACCGGCCTCCTCGGAGGCCTCGCCGCCCGCATGCCGCGCCTTTTCCGCCTCTTGCCGCTGCACAGGCCAACGCTTAGAGGGTCAGGAAAATCTCGGTCGAAAAAATGGCTCTGTGGCCGAGTTCTAATACCTACCTTTTGCCACTTGATGCTTGGCGGCATTGCGCTCGGAATCGCGCAGTGCCTCAGGACCAATCGAGTGGAAGTCAATGAAACCACGCACCAGCCAAGCACAGCCCTCCGAGAACCCGGCGGGGGCAATCAATACCTAGATACCATAGAGTCCCTTACTATACCCACAGATTCCAGACCTTATACTAAGAGGTTTCGCTAGGCAACCCTTAAGCAGCAAGCTACGACAATCAATACAAGGAGTAAGAGCAGACAGACAAAAACTCGGAAAGGATTATGAAGCATCTCTCATGAATGAGTCAGCAGGCGCGAGGAAAGCCGGACAACGCACCTTTCTCTCCTGAGCTAGTAACTCTCGAATCGGCTCGTACGCTGCTGCCACACACAAATTCTGCACGAAAAGGAGGGACAGGTGTGAAAGTGTCATACGGGCGAGCCAAGGGAAGGAGACTTGCTTAGACTTGCTTGCTACAGACATTACAGCGACTGTCCGAAAAGTGGCTGCAATCAAACACCGTTTATGCTTTGGAAGCTTGGATCCGTTCATTCAGAATGGTGTATATCGTCAGAAGCACAACCAAGGGACAGACAGAAGGCATTTTCACAGACCCCGAAACAGACAAGCTAAATGATACCGATATTTAGACAGTAAGAGAGGACTTAATGACGTCACTGCCTGTGAGGAAGCGGAATGACAGTGGAACAACTGACTTTAAGGTCGCTCCCCGAGTACCCCTCCGTCTGCGCCGCGAGCTCGTCCATGTCCACGTCAGCATCCAGGTCCTCCTCCCGCAGGATGACTCTCAGGATCTTGGCGCGGTTCTCGGCGTCCGGGAGGTCCACCATAAGCCTGCCATGACGTCAGCAACGACTCATCAGCGTGCCGTGACGTCAGCAACGAGGTTCGATCGTTCTAGCAAGGACATGACTTGGCTGAGAGGAGCAGGGCGAATGGAAGGCCTTAAAGGAGGAGCATTTGCACAAGTAAACGCAGCAGTAAAAGGAGGAAAGTAAGTGGATGTTGCCCGGTTCGGCTTCTGTGAGCTCCGTTAGCTGCCAGTATACGCTTCTTTTTGGAAATGCGGTAGAATTTATCCTCCACCCTTCTCAGTCCTGTCAAACTAATCCGTCAACATTTGACCACCCACATTATCGCCCCAGACCACTATCACCTCCTGGGCAATTTCCGAAGCATCGCATCGTCCAGGTCAGATCAAGCGCCATTGGACCACTAAGCCGCAAGGCATCCGCCAGACGACCAATATCAGGTCAGATTCCATCGACCCTTTCTCGCACTCCGATCCCTCACCCGCTTGATACTTTCCGAATGACCATAAGACCAGGTCAAGTAAACTACCCTTAACCGCGCTCAGATCCTCACCTCCTTGGCATTCTCCGGATGACGGCATCGTCCAGGTCGAACGGCCGGTTAGTCGCCGCCAGCACGAGCACCCGTTCCGTTGACTTCGTACGCAGCCCGTCCCAGCACGACATGAACTCGTTCTTCATCTTGCGCGTTGCCTCGTGCTCGCCCCCGGAGCCGCGCGCGCCGAGGAGACTGTCCACTTCGTCGATGAAGATTACCTGCGGGGTTAGAACGGGGGTTAGCAGAAGCTCAGCTGTGGTTTAGCTTCTGGGTTAGTCAGGGGTCACAGATAGGCGAAGTGCGTGCTCGCCCCCGGAGCTGCGCGCATCAAGAAGACTGTCCGCTTCGTCGCTGAAGATAACCTGCGGGATAAGCAGAAGGTGAGCTGCGGTTACAAGAAATGAACTTTAGTTCTCGCAGCCCACGCTGCATGCGGCTAACATATTCTTCCCTTTCTCGATGGAAACCACCTGCAGGAAAGACATCAAGGCAACCGAAACTTTGGCTTTTGCTGGGCAGAGTCCTAACAAAACACGAACAAGGTTTACAAACCAAGCTTAACGCTTGCTGCGCACACCTCGCGAGTTGTACACCTCCTTGGACGAATGTCGCACGCAGCAGTGGATCATTGCAAGACCTTATTGTGCTTCACATAAGGGAGAAGGACAAGGCGTTTTTGCCTTGCCCGAAGATCACATGCTCGCTTGATATGGCACACGAGATCAGATACACTTCCTCGTTGATCAAGATCCTCTGACAAACAGGGCGCGCAGAATTCGCACTCAATCAGCGCTAAGTTCTAAAAATGGATCTCGCTGGAGTTCGTAAGACGGCTCACCGTGGGCGCAATCTTGCTCGCAAGCGTGAAGATCGCCTTGACCAGCTTCTCCGCCTCACCGAACCACTGCAGATGGATGCGATGACGTCAGCACTTGCATCAAGGCACTCCGCTTTTCTCTTCTCTCCAACAGATCCAACAGTCTGTTTGAACCATGACGCAAAGCGCCGCTGACTCTCGCTGCAACTGATCTTGAAAGGCAGTCGCTACAGAGTACACTAGAGCGCACAAGAACGCCCCCAGTACTTCTAGCAGTACTGCCAGGAAGATGGTGACCCGGAGCCGACGAGTACTAAAATATCGTCTTCTTGAAAGCCCACGAAAGAGAGGGCCCGTTCTCAGACGCGCACCAAGGACAGATTATGAATAGTCTAACCTCAGACGTCCACCGATCAGACGGCTCGCGATCGGACGCCCGGCGAGTAGACAGCCTAATTTCGGTCCCCTAACGATCAGACGGCACGTTTCGGGAGGCCACCAAGCATCAAGCACATTTCGAGCACGGCTCGAAGCCGGCTCCAGATCCGTACCCTAGACGAGATACGAGACAGAAAGACGTTGATGAAGTTGGCTCCTTGAAATATAGGCGCCTCTCAAATAGACAGCCCGTTTTCGGCTGCCCATCAGAAATAAGGCACACTTAAAAACGCCCATCAGACGTCCGTGAATCCGGATCGAACGCGTACCTTGGACGAGATGCTGGACAGCGAGACGTTGATGAAGTTGGCCCCCGCTTCGGTCGCTACGGCCTTGGCCAGCATGGTCTTGCCAGTGCCGGGGGGGCCGAAGAGCAGCACGCCCTTGGCCGGCTGCGCGATTGAGAGAAAATGCTTGAGCGAACTTGCCACGCGGGAGCTTTAGGAACAAGAAAGAGACCTGAAAACAGCGGACTGTGAGCGGACGAGCTTTGGGCGCAATCGGCTCAACACTTTGTCACTGATCACTTTTCTCGAAACCCGAAAGAAGGAGATTGACCTCTCTCTCCCAGCACTTCGCCAGCAGGCAACAAGTTCGCTGAATATTGTTCAGATATTCAGTTGCCCCTTAATATGGTTCTCCAACCTTTCAGCAGCGGAACAGCGCGCCCTCTTTCCGTAAGTCCAACTTACGACGAATATTACACATCCAAACATTATGGGATTTCCTCAAAAAAGCAACTTCGAGAGATGAGATAGACTGCACCAGTAAAACCGCACATTGATGAGCTGCCCCGTTTTTAAACAGCTTCGGCCGCTGCAGCGGCAGTATGACGAGCTCTTGACGAGCTCAAACCCTAGATGTGCAACCCTAACCAGGGATGCTAACCCGAAAAGCCCAAAACGTAAAACGGTACCTTGGTGAGCTGTCCCTTTTTGAACAGCTCCGGCCGCTGCAGCGGCAGCATGACCAGCTCGCGCAGCGTGTCCTTGACGGGGTCCAGCGCGCCGATGTCGTCGAACTTGACGCCCACCTCGCTGGGGGGGATCACCTCGGCCATCAGCGCCTTCTCGTACTCGTTGTCCAGCGGAACGTCCTGTGAGTGTAAATGCGCCCAGAGTTTAGTCCGTTCTTTGACCAGTTTTGTACGAGTGTCTAACATACAAAAAGTCGGCGCCTTCTCGTACTCAATGTCCAGTGGAATGTCCTGCAATTGTGAATGTGCCCTGTGCAGGGCTGTTTCCTGACGTGTTGACAATGTACGATTGACTTTTATGATCTGCATATCTTGAGCTTTATGAGAAGCCGTCAGTGGCTTCTTGTATCCATTGTCCAGCGGGCACGTCCTGTGGGTGTGAATGCGCCCTGGGTATGGAAAGCGGGCAATCAGGGTGAAAGAGCTCAAGAGAAGATGCGCTCGTTTGCAGTGAAGAAGCCAAGTTTCACCTTATGTAGATCGTTTCACGAAATAGATAATTCATCGTATAGTAATGTTTCGTTTGTCTCGAATGAACCTGTAATTTTTCTCCAAACTGGAAGTTTCTCCAACCTCAGAAAACTACAACTCAATTGATGTAACAACAAGCAATCAGGAAGAGAAGAGAAGAGAGGATATATGCGAATGCGCCCTCGAGTTTAGCTGAACGAAAATAGATCTTTGAAGGCCAAGTCGCAGGACAGTCGGCCATGTCAGGAACACCAAAAAGGAGCAGACTCGCCCAAAGCAAGACAACAACCAATTGCGAAAACCAAAAGCCGAGACAAATAAAACAACGTTCTCCGCAAGCTCGTTCTCCTTTTCATCCTCTACCATGTCCAACACACTGAGCACAAACTCTGAAATCGCTTGATCTCTCAGGTCACCGCTTGAGCCCAAAGCAGAAAGGAAAGTACTTTCAAAAGTCAACATAAAGAATCCTACCGTAACATTCTCCGCGAGCTCGTCCTCCTTCTTCTTCTCCACCATATCCAGCACGCTCAGCGCGTACTCCATGCTTGCGAGCGCGTTACCAGCTTATCCACGACAATATCCTCATACTGACCAAGAACTTGACCCAAAACCTGGCTAGTGAAAATCCAAACCTCACCGCAACGTTCTCCGCCAGCTCGTCCTCCTTCTTCTTTTCCACCATATCCAGCACGCTCAGCGCGTACTCCATGCTCGCGAGCGGGATGACCAGCTTCTCGTCAGCCACGACGGGCTGCGCCGCCAGGTCTGACGTCAGCACGTGCGCGGCCGCCCAGGCGACCACCCGCTGCGCCTGCTCCGGGGTGAGGATCCTCTGCGAGTAGGTCAGGCGGTCGGTGGCGTCGGGGCAGCGCAGGCGGCTCGTTGCGAGGACCTGCAGAGGACGGCGAGGTGAAGGTCAGGTTTTAAGGGCTGGTCGGCTGAACGCAAGGTCTGAAGAGACGGAGAGGTTAAGGGCTGGGTTATGGGCTTGGAGGAGAGGTGTGGCAGAGAGGTGCTTCCAAGCGGTCGAGAACAGTGATCAAACGTTGAGTTAACGCAAGCGACTCAATGTGAGAACGACCCAAAAGCCGGGCAATGCAGGCTAGCGTTTTGGTCCAACAGAGCATGCAGTGCCGAAGTGGTTCAAACCTGAAACAATCTCTTGGGAGTGGCTGCTTCTCTGCTACGGCATCCATTCAGGGGCCGCCCCTTGCATAAATGCTAAGTTTTTGCGCCATTGGTTGCGAAGGCACGAAACAGCAGGAGCGCGGAAAAAAGCAGACAACTCTAACGAAAGAGAAGGTCCGTCAAACCACAGAATGCACGTACCTTGTTCAGTTGGTGCACGTTCGCCTCCGCCGCCATGGCCCGCTTGTCCGCCTCCATTTGGCGCTTCCACTCGCCCAGCAGCGCCGCATCTTCCGGCACCTTGAGCGCCACGTGGCACGGGAACAGCTGCAGCAGGTACGGCGGCACGCGCGGCTCCTTCTCGCCGCCGCCGCCGTCTCGCTTGCCCATCAATGACTCCTGCGATCAAGTTTCAAGATCTTAGATTCTGTGAATTTTCTAGGTGACTTCAACTCGGCCTCTGCTTTTCGAGCTCTTCGTTTCCTCCGATTGAAATGGCCTCGGCCAGGTACGGTGGCACGCGCACTTCTTTCTACTCGCCGCCAGTGCCTTCCCGTCTGCCCATCAATGACTCCTGCAATTTAGATGTCCGGGTTTTAGGAATTTTGTGGTTCCTGGATCTCATTTTTTCATTGGACTCGGCCACTGCTTTTCGAGCTTTTCGTTTCCTTCCAAAGGAATGGCGTCAGCAGGTACGGCGGCACGCACAATTCTCTCTACACGCCGTCGACGCCTTCCTGCCTGCCCATCAACGACTCCTGCAGCCGGAGTATCTTTCCTTTTGACTCGGCTGGTTCGCAAGCGCTTCGTTTTCACTAAAGTTCTAGGGACTCAGAATTGAAAAAGGGTTGAGCAGGTAGCGCGGCTCCTTCTTGCCGCCCCCATCTTTCCAACCTCTCAACATCATGACCTCCAACAATAACGCCCTGGAACGGCCTTTCGGCGGCGCTTCGGTCATCCAGAATGCCGACAAAAGCTCTTCGAACCTCTTCAAACCCAAACAACCCAAACCTTCAAAGTCTGAAGATAACCAGAAACCTCCGACTCTCACCAGCATGACCTTCATTTGCGGTGTTCTTTCCGCCTGGTTTGCTGCACTCCCGCACCGCTCTTTGGGTCGCTCAAATTGAGAACAACGAGTTTTCTCACCCTTCCAACTAATCCAAACGCCTGGAATGAGGCTCTTCTTTACCCTCGACCCCTAGGAACTCACGAACTAAAATTTCACCAGCATTCGCTGGTTGCTCTTCTCCTTCTGCTTCAGCAAGAGTGGCGCATACGGCATCGCAACGATTGCGTGCTCGTTTCTCCGCAGAATTCCGAAGCCTCGGTCACGTTATCGGAGTAAGAAAAGCTGAAACTCTCACCAGCATGACGTCCATTTGTGGCATCCTCTGCCCGTACTTCCGCAGCGGTCCGCGTCGTCCAAAACGAGAACAACGGCTCTTCTTACCGGGCCGCTTCAGACAACTTCTTCAGATATCTTCTATTCTTTCAAACCTGAAGTTCAGAGACACTAAATCCTCACCAGCATGACGTCCATTTGCGGCATCCGCTGGTCGGTCTTCTCCTTTTTCTCCGGAACTGGCGGTGCGTACGACCCCACGACGATCGCGTTCCCGTCCAAGCTCTCCAGCTTGGCGAATAGCGAGTCGAAGCGGTCGGAGCGGTCTTCCGAGGGAATGTCCGAGAACCACCCGGGCAGGCCGCGGATGAAGAGCACGAAGGGGCCCTTGGCGGCCTCACTACTCACCACCTGGAGAAGGAACCGGTGAGCTTAAAACAATCGCTGGTTCGTTTGTTGCGCTTTGCTAGTTATTTGTCCAGTAGCGTGCGAGCACGGAACAAAGGTTGGAAATTGGGGCGGTCCTCCGAGGGAATGTCGGGGAACCAACCGGGCAGGCCGCGGATGAAAAGGGCGAAGGGGCCCTTGGCGGCCTCAGAACTGACCACCTGGTAGGGGTAAAAGTTAGCGTTATGATGAGGTACTGAGCTCAAAGGATTTGGCCGTTTGCTTATGGCATTTTGTTCGTTTGAATTGGGTGGTTCAGAAGCACCGAAAGACTCGGAGCTGTCCTCCGAGGAAACGTCCGAGAAACAACCGGCCAGGCCGTGTATGAGAAGAACAAAGGGGCGTTTGGCGGCCTCAGAAGTGACCACCTCATGTCGAAGAATTCACGGGTTGATCAGTGATCTGGTTCCAATGGCAGGTTCAGACTTGGAATTGTGCATCCACGATTCTTGCATCCGTCCGCTAGGAATTTCGCGCACAAAGAAAAGAGAAGAACTTGCCGTGCTTGGATGGAGCAACTGTACGGGGCCAGGTTACCTATCTCTCATCCAATTATAGCTTTGGAATCGTTCATACCTTTGGTTAGACGTTTTACCAACCGATCTCTCAAGACTTTGCTGCAAGCAAAGCACTCAGCACCAGGATAAATGGACGATCGAGGATAGCTTTCTCACACATCAGAAAAATGCTATGACCATGGGATCGGTCTGATAAATAGGAGGGATTTGTTGCTGTCGGTCACGGAGTCCAGAAGCGTCAGGTGTATTTGCAATGAAAAGCAAGGGTTACAAAGATCTAAAGCATACCTGAAACAGGGCTTCCAAGGTCATCCGGGTGAAGTCCTCATGGGGAGAGATGACCTCCAAGTCTTTGGCTGCAAACCAAGGTTGATTGTCAGCTACTGGCATCAAGCTTCTGTTGGTTAAGCAGAGGACCCTCGCCCTAACGGACTGGGTTCAGTGAAGTTAAGCGCATGCCACTTCGGCAAATCTGTGCAGCCGAGTTCGTTGAAAAGGCATATGGACAGTTCGACAACGGGATCCTGACCATTAATATGCGTATCCAAAATAAGCCTACGGTCCGTTTCTCAAACCCACAGCTGCAAAATGAGACCTCTCTAGATTTGAGGTCTGTCTGGGAATGGCAGTCCAAAGTTTGCAGTAGTAAGACGTCGTCTGGCTCGCGTTTCTTACTGCCCACTTGAGCCACAATTCACCGCCATAGACTTGAATATCCAGAAGTAATAAATCCACCTTTGTAGTAGATGAACTCCGGCTCGCGCTTCTCTAACCACTCGCCCCTCATATCTCTTCATGTCACGAAACATAAGGAAGCAAATCACCTGATCCAAAAGCTCGATATTTAGACCGTTTGAACAATCAGGCCCACCTTTGCAGTAGAAGACATCGTCCGGCTCGCGCTTCTTGCCGATCACGGCCGGCCAGCAGCTCTCGCCAAAGACGACCCCCACCTCGCTCCCCGTCAGCTCCGTAACGCGACCAATGGAGTGCTGGCGCGGCTGCTTGCTGGTTGCAAGCTCGTCCCACATTCTAGAGTCCGATTCCGAGTTGCCTGCGAGAGGAATACTTACGGGCTTTTTGAAGTCTTATTCAGCAGATCAAGAAGTGGGCAAGCTGTGCGTCACTGTGTCGAAACAAAGCTCTAGAGTAGCCTCAAAGACTTCAGCAGGTTGGAACCCTTTCAAAAACATCGGGATGCACCGAATTCTGGGCATCCTTGCGGGGACAGCTCCGAGCAAGCAGCTGCAGGTCTTCGAGAAGCGCCGTTCTATGATATCAGTAGTTCCGACAAGAGCGATATCTCTCTTTGAGACATCACCAAATGAAGGATCACTCTGAAGAAATCTTCCGCGCTCACCCTTGTACTTGACTCTGTCCCCCAGCATCACTGGCAGATCCACTTCTTTCGGGGTGGTCGACAGCTCCGCGTCAGAGTCCCCCCCCTTGCCCTCCGTGGCCAACAGCTGCGCCAGGCTGGGGGGCCTTCCAAACTTCCCATTCATCTCAACGACAGGCTGCAAAAGCTGCGCAGACAAGAATGTTTCGGTGTCAATCGTTTCACGTGCAAGCGGAGCCGTAACGCTTGACACCGGGAACTCGCTTGCCGTTCATCTTCACCACGAGCTGCAAAAGCTGCTCAGGAAACATGTATTGGTGTCAACCGTCTGAAGCTCTAGTGAAGCCGTAACGCTTGACACCGGGGACTCAACGTTGTGAGCAACGCTGGTGCTTCGAGGCTTCCCGTGCATCTCCACCAATGCTTAGGGTCTAAGCGCATCACAATTGAATCAGCCCACGAACTGATTAGAATACGGGTATTATTGGCAACATCCGGAGGACCTGTGGACCCAAGCGAAGGGTTTCATTCCAAGGGGGGATTGCCTCACCTGCTTGATCATGTCCGGTCCAGCTCCGTTCATGGAGATGACGACAGGGCGTTCTGAGCCCGACGAATCGGCGCCCTCTCCCTCCGACCCCGCGCTAAAGTACCGCAGATGATCGTACAACCCAAACTTCTCCTGCACAGTGAAGTCAGGCCCCCCCTGACGTCAGCCAGACGTGCGCGGGGCCCATACCGAGAGAGGACTTTGGCGAACGGTCGAAATGCTTCTGAGGGACTCGATGATGATAGGACAAAGATCTCTGTAGTATCGGAGGAGAGAAAAAGAGATTTTCGTGCCCTCTCTAGTCCGGGCGGAGATGGCTATCTAATGCAGAGCGAAGCGTGACCACAGAAAGCTTGCGGCACTCCCAAGGCTGGACAAACGTGTGAAAACCAGAACCTGTTTTACATGCCAAGCATGCAGTTGAGCGGGAGAGGACTAAGTCCGTCGAAACTTCTATGACAAGACCGACGCCTTGAAAGAATTCCGATACGTTCTGCTGCGAGTCAGCCGTATCGAACCTTGCGACTTCATAATAAACTTCTTAGAAGCCGCTTGTAACCTATCAGAATTTTGCTTCCTCTGATTCGTGTGCCAACGACCTAATTTCTCAAAGGCAAACTCAAATCCCCATAAACGAGCTTGCACCCCTAGAAATCGAGATGCTCGCTGTCAGCGCACCTGCACTCTCCAGAGCTGTGCGTTGTCGAAACATAGAAAGCGCGCCCCACAGTCCCGCGCCATTGCCTTGGCTACCGCCTCCTGGTAACGCTCCGACCCTGCCGGATAATAGGGTTTCAGCTTCTTGGGTTTTGGAAATTCAAGGGTGTTAGGATTTCATAGCAGAATTTCACGCAAGCTCGCCTTCGAAATTTTCGCAGCACCAACGTACCAGTAACCTATAGTTCGACTCTGCAACGAACAGAAGCGACAAGCCCCGCTGACGTTTTGAAAGAATCGTGCATCGTTTCGTGCCAAGCTTCGAGATAAATCACTCTGACCGATATTTGAAGGCTCGAGACCATTCTGGACGGTCTTTTCGTTGCGCCTCCACTTGTGGCGCATTGGCTTTTTGCTTTTGGCACCGCAAGGCTGCGCCGCTCAACGCTCACGTGCATGCGATTCAAATCAAGAGGTGCACTCTACCACCTGTGGCGATTTCTGGTTCTCCACGAGATCGCAGAACACACAGGATCCTAGCGCACCAGCCCGGCAGTAAGCCTCACCAACGAACTTCTTAGCATTGCAAATGGACCACGCGTCGCTTACCTGGCGGCCCTGTGAGCAAGACACGTGGGCTCAGGCTGGGCAGTCCCTCCACGAAGTTGGCGTACTGGCCGCGCTTGAGGTGCAAAAACGCCGAGCTCACCAGGGCCCAGCGCGTACCCTCGCTGAAGGGAAGGTCAACAAAACGACCAAGTTCAAGTCGTGAATGAGCCGGTTAAGCTCTTGAACAACCGGGTTAAGTCCTTGAATAACCAGGTGAAGCTGGCGTACTGGCCGCGCTTGAGGTGCAGGAACGCTGAGCTCACCAGAGCCCACCTCACACACTTGCTGAAAACAAGTTAAGGAAGAAATCAACGGGTCAAGCTCGCAAATTGAACCACATTCAGCCGAAGATGCCCCTGGGAGAGCTTCTTGAAGGGTGCCCTAACAGCAGTCTGCTCTTCGACAGGCGCACAAATAATAAATAGGTTAGCCCGGTAGTCATGGTGGGTTGGATTAATAGGCGCGAAGACTCCGAGGACGGATTTGCTCGGGGTCTAAGAGTAGTTGGGCAGGTTCTGGAGTATTGCAAAGCGAATACGTGAATTCGGACATGAAGAACCCAGTCTGTGAACGTTTCTGCTTATCCGGAATCGAAATCAGGGCAAGATACTGTACTTTGCGATAGTCTGCTTTGCTAGCGTCAAAAGTAGGTTTTGGCATATGCCTCCGGAATGGTACGAGCTCCAGAAGGAAGGCAGATTCTTTTGAGACACAGCCAACTGAAGCAAGCTTCTTATGTGTATACCAACTCACTCCAAGGGGTACGGCAGGCTCTCGAAGCTGACGTCAATGTCCCCCGGCGCAACCACCTCAGCCGTCAAATCCTCTGCATACGTCCGTACCCGTTCCTCCCACACGCCCCCCCACGCCTCAGCTAACTTCTCCGCGTCGATGATGTCAGCGATTTCCTGCGCAGTGCTACGGCCAAAGTTGCCGAAGTTGCCCCCCCCGTTTTCATCCCCGCCGCCCGCCCAGAAATTTGCGTTCGCCTTTCGCTGCTTTATCCATTCGGGCTTTTCGTCTGCGGCCTTTGCGCGCCCCACTTTGCCCTTTCCCCCCCCGGCCATAACCCACCGGGCGCGTCCCGGCCTCGTTTTTAGTCTCGACCTTTCCTCAGCAAAAAATTCCGACTTTCTGCGGTCGACGCTAGGACCAAACGCGCGCGCCCCACGAGGACTCTCGGGGGCGGAAGAGCTTGCGGCGGCAGCGGTCTCGGCGTCGCCGCGCGCCGCACGCGCCGCGAGGAGCTGATCGCGCGTCCAGTCGCGCAGGCGGGCGCTCGTGCGCTCAAAGAAGCCGCCGACGGCGTCGCCTGCGGATGACAACCGGCTTCGACTGTGTTACAGAGTGCTAAACGCTAATCCCGCTTAAAGAGTCACTCAGGAAGTATCTCAGTAGACTTGTTCCAACTCGGCCAACCTGAGAATGACACCCTACGAGCCCCAGGGCTGAACCACTACGAACGTCATGATTGATGTACGAAGAAATGACGAACCAGAGGGCAGCCCCAGACGAAGTTGGACGGCTTTCTAAGAACAGCAAATAGTGGCGGCGGGGGAGGAAAAGGACGCTGTGCAGGCGGAAGCGACTCAACCAGAAGTTGTTTCCAAGTGCTTCTTTATTCAGAGCTCTTTGGACTTGAAGTGCTTCGAAGCACGGCGGCAAGTCCCAATTCTGACCTGGCAGAATATATTGTTAAAATCAATCTGACATAACAGAGACACTAAAACGGGGTTTGCCCGAGCGACGACGAAAAGGAGAATCAACCCACCTGTGTTTGACACAATGTTACGCTCGCGCACCATTGCGTCATACGCTCTCAGAGTACGCGCCAGCAGCCTCCCGTCCTTCATGCCCGGCTCCCAAACCTCCTGGATCAACTGCTCCCGTTGCTCCGCCGACAGCTCCGGCGTCGCCTTCTTCACAATTCGCCGCTGAACCGTCCCGATGCTGCGGGCCCTCACAATGCTCTCGCCCGTCTCGAGAACCAAATCGCCCGTGTCGTCTTCATACACCATGCTAGTTGCGGACCGCCCGTGCTCGTCGGACACCGTGTACTCCCCAACAACACGTCCGAAACCATCTCGCATCGACCCGGACCTCCTTTTGGACGCCCCAAACGGTCCAAAAAAGTTCGCTGACGGCTCAGCGTCCGATTCGGACACCCCGGAATTCGATTCCGACGGCCCAGAACTAGAGCCGGACGCTCTTCGTCGCGCTGGCCCCCAGGCCGGACCCCACGCCGCGGTGCCCCCTTCACCCCCCCCGTCTTCCTCGACCATATCGTGGTAAATATCGAGCCGCTCCGAGATTTGGGAGCTCAGGCGCGAGTCCTGCGCATCGAGCTGCGCGATGAGAGACATGGCCCGCACGGGTTTCGCAATCCTGAATGTCTCCCCCGAGATCTCGACTTCCAACAAACCCTCATCTTGTTCCTCGTTGGGTTCCACCGTACGGGGCGAGCGGCCCAGCTTTTGCACGCCACCTTGCTGCAGGGAAAACGGAGCTCTCGAGGATTTCTGGAATGCGAAAGATGGGCTTCCGTCACGCACTTGATGGTGGCGGTGTGGTTGTCTCCCGAATCAGAGTGTCGAGAAAGGCAAACCAGAAGCGGTGGGAAAGTTTTTGACAGCCTCGCTGCTGAGGAATGAAGCAGGAACATTGATCAAAGTTTTAGGCTCTGCGGCAGAGCCGTCATTCCCTTTCAATGCCAGGCGATTGTGACCCAATAAGTGATCCTCCCAGATGCAAAAGACGTCTTTTGTCCAAGGTAGGGATGAGCATGGGAATTAAAAAAAGAAGCGACAGGAACTTGTCTGGAAAAACTTGAGACTTAAGAGAAAAAAAATAATGGTAGTTACAGGGGATGGGGGAGTCAATCAGATGGTCTAAGAAGCGCTGCTGACCAGGGAGAACTACAGTGTAGCTATCTGTATAGAATTTCTGATAGGAAACTGTTGGTTTAGGGGCAAGCCTCCTGTGAGGCAGGGCCGTTGTGTTTCTAAGCTGCTGCACCAGATTGAAGATACATCCAGCACATACCTGCTGGGTGAGTCCCTGGGTGAGAAAGAATATGAAGGGCAGAAACTCTTTGTAAAGGAAGATGTATCCTTCCAAAGAATGCATGCATTATGTCAATGTTGATTTGCACAAAAAAATATCGTCAATGGACGCCTGAAATGACCATGCTTTTACAAAACCTGCCACGGCTGAATTCTGTGTGTTTCAATAAAACCAAACTATTTGGACCAGAAGAATTGCAGAAATCCAAAGAGTGTTGGCAAAAAGGTGCTGATTCTTCACACCAATGCAAGCATCAACAAAGTTTGCAAGCTTCGCATGACGGCTTATTATAGACATTTTGACACGACCACCCAGACAATGTAGAACGCTTCAATCAGAAACATCCTGAGCACCTAAACACTAAAGAAACTGGCCAAAGTTTGAGTTGACGAGTGTAAAGCAGGTACTTCTTGACCACCGAAAATCGCCCCAAGCAGGAACGGCTCAGACTGAAAGTAACCGCTGCTAAGATTGGTAGTCTGGAAGTGACAAGAACCCCAAAAGAATGGACTCACCAAGAAATCTAAGATACTTTCCCAGCGCGCCTTGAGTGCCCAACCAACGGCCGCCAGCACCGCAACCACCATCAGCCATGCCGCGGTGTGAACGGGCTCCCCCGAGGATGCTGGGGCCTGATCCGCTGCCAATGCTGGCGCGTTTCCAACCGTAAAGATCGCGCCGAGCAGAGAAGAAAGCGTGCGGGTGGACGGGCCTGAGGTGACGCTTTGCGAGATGGAGGGAAGACTCGGTGGTTGTAAACTAAGGTCGGAGTCCTCAGAGGTGGCTTGGGGGACAACCCTCCGACGGAAGTGGCAGCTAAAGGTGTGGTTCGATAGCTGGTTTGGATTCAGGTCTGAAGTTTGGTTGGCGTTGCGGCGGGCGCAAATGCTGCCAGCAAGAAAGGGTTTTGGGTGACCAAGGCAAGAACTATCATTGTTATGGGAGAAAGAACTTATAGAATTCTGTGCTCTTCGCTTCCCTGAGCGCAAGGTTTGGCTCGAACCACCACCCCATAACCGACTTCTGAGGATGACCTTGCTCATCGTGCTTCGCAACGCTGCGTCAAAGTGTTGGAGAGGATTGGTCCTGTGCTCAGAGCAAGGCGGGTCGAAATCAAGCGTGTCCTTCAGCAATGGCCTTGCAGAGCAGGGGTGAGAGCTGGCAATACTGCTGCTACCAAACCTTGAAATGGTCTGGACCCCTGCATGAAGGCTGCCTGCTGTGACCTGCAGCGCCATCTCTGCCTGATGACGAGAGGAAGGAGGATATCAAAGTTCAAACCATCGTCATGCCGCAGTACACATGGTCATCATGGAAGGAAATCCAGTCTGCGGCGTGTGCGCTTATTGAATGTGCTCTCACGAATTTAAGCGCAGGCGCGGCAGGGTCTTGGGACAACGTTCGACACCGATCCATAATTTGTGCAGAAGCAGGCAGGAATACAGTTGTCGTCGAATCGAGGTAAGCAGAGCCAAACAGAGCGCAAGTGAATTGAGACTTCTGAAGAAGAAATGTATGCATCTGGATATTAGTTTTCCGCACATTTTCTGACCTTTCCCTATGCTTGAAGTTCAATGTCATGCAATGGGATTGAAACTTGCTTCCTCAACTTGCAAGACTTACAAGGGCAGATAGGTAGCATTGGCAGCCGCAACAAGGGCTACCCTCCTGTTCAAAGTTTGATGAGCATGGCTGGCAGCATTGCCGAGTACCTGGGCTGCCCTCTCAAGTAAAGTCAGCATCTCCCGCTCGGCATCTCAGATGCAGGTTGCTGTGGGGTAATTTTGAAAGATCTTTGCGCAGCTTTCCAGTCTCTCACAACCTACTTCTAAGTATTCTAGAGCTAATTGCAACAGCTTCTCTTGCACACTCCAAAAGTTTCTTTTCACGAGTAGCTTCAATCTGCGGTGGTGCTCACACCCTTCAGAGTTGCACAGTACGGCTGAATTTGAGTCCAACTTCCACGCAAAGAATGATCAGCAATCTCTCTCGCGTCTGCCAGGCCAAGGAACCCTCGGGCAATGCAGATAGTGGTGCTCCTTGTTGGACCTGGCTGGCCGGCGGTCTGGCGTTCGGCAGCTTGACATCGTTAGGAGTCGGCTACTACCTTGGAAAGAAAAAGGAGGAGCGTGCTCAGCAGAAGAGAGAGGAGAAGCAGCAGCAGGCCAAGGAGGAGGACGCAAAGTTGCGCCAGAGGACAGTCATACCGGGGGACTTCAAGGAGTTGAACGAGGGGATTGTCCGGTTGATACGCGCGGAAGTTTGCAGTCTGACAGAACAGCTCAGCCAGGCGCTTGAGAAGAAGCAGGCGCTGATGCGGGAGAAGGAGGCGGTGGAGGGGTGCAGGAATGCGGAGTGGGGCTGGTGGTCGAAGCAGCTGGGGATGAAGTCACATGTGAGCCAGCGCCTAGACTCTTTAAAGTTAAACGTAACCAGCCTCAGATTTCTGCATTACAGAAATTGCTGGTGTACCATACTATACTGCTGGGTAGATTGCTCCTTAGCTTTTTTTGAGTAGGACATCAATTGGAAAGCGATCAGAGTTGCCTTCATGTGAGCCCCATTGGTAAAGAGTGAGGCTACTAGTTTCTGGACGCTGGGCGGTAGTGTGCGTTTCACTCTTTTGCAGACTGGTCTTCCTGCTTGGTCTGGTAAGCTAGATGTGATTGCTGGGTTGAGCCATTTGTCTAATGCAACTCTGTTTTTTCCCCTTGTCGAATCCATGCGATTCAGGAATCCATGCGACTCATTGAGAGGGGTGCGCAGGCCTTCTCAGGTTTTTTGGTTGGCGCTTGTGGTGCACTTGTTGAATTTTAGTTAACTTATTCCAGCATCCGCCCTCTTCAGTCTTTTGCATTGAAACGCTTCCAGTTTCCTGGATTATGCTGTGCCTTCTTCTTTTGAGGGGAGACTCTCTGCGATTGCATCTATGCTCAGTACTAGATTGACCAAGAGTTGTTGATTAGATTGCTAACCAAAGCATGACCAGAGCCGCGCCCTCCAGGTCATCAATGCTCAGTATTAAATTCTCTGAAACTTTGTTTAGATTGCTAAATCCGCATAGCAAAACAAGAGCCGTCCTTCCCCAGGTTATAAAGCCATCAAGACATGCGCTACTGCACCACCAAATCGACATGGACGTTTGTGTTGAGAGGATCCACGAGTTGAAGAAAAAGATAGCGGAGCTCCAGTCCTATCTGGATCGAGGGGAACCAGTCTTACGGCTGTCTCAGGACCTGGAAAACGCACCAGAGGTCTTTACGTGCCCCATCACTTTCGTAAGTCATCCTCAGCGAGTGCTGTTTGGGAGCCTTAGCAGTGCTTTGAGTTTGTACCTGGGTGCATTGTGTTTGATTTTGCAACTCGAAGAGACAAGGGTCTGCTTGCGTCTTCTACTAGCGCATGAAGGATACGTGTCAGAGCCTAGAACTTTTTTCCCTAAAGCACAGGGCCAGTCCTTCGTCTTACTTTCCTCAAGTCCCGTCCGTTTCCTTTCATCCCCGTTCCACGCCTTGACCACTGCCGCACCCTCTTTCGACCTTGTTTCTCCGACAACATAACGTCATGGCTTTTTTTCCAACATGACAGTGTAGTCAGTCGTTACACACGCCCCGCTCACATCTTGTAGAACTGGATTCTGTGAGTATTAAGCTTCTTGCCAGTCAATTCATTGCACCGTGCAAGAACACATGGAATCCCGTAAACCAGATGTCTGCGCACTCCACACCTGAATCCCTTCTACCCCCCCGAGCTAACCCCACCCGTTCCCAGGCTTGACAGTATGACTCGTAGCGCTTTTGTTTTAGGAATCGAGACTTCTCGCTTCTCATGAAAGGCCCGCCCTGTTCCTTCAGGACGTCATGGACTCGCCGGTGGTCGCTTCGGACGGGTACACGTACGAGGAGGGCAGCATCCGGAAGTGGCTTCGAACGAGCCGAGTGTCGCCCAAGACCAACGAGGATATGCATAGCACTCTGCTGCAGCCCAACAATTCCCTCCGCCTTGCGATCAAGAGCTGGCGGGAAGAGGTGCACGCAGGTCACAGCAAGATGTCCGGAGAATTGTGACGCTTTAGGAAAAGATACATGTGACACTGCCGTGCGGGCTGGCCATGTTAACGTTGACATTGGAACTAGATTAAAGTCAAATGTTTGCGCTGAAGTCTGGGTCAGGTTGAGTCGAGGTTCTGGTTAGGGCATTTGCTTTAGTGGTAGGTAAGTGGTCACATTTGGCAGGCTAGCCATGTGATTGTTAAGCTTTGGTATACGCAGATCAAGGGACAGCAAAGCCAGTCGAGCTCGTGCAGGTAATTGGAGTCCACTGACGGCCCGGCCAATCGTGGCTAAGTAGTGTACAGAAGCTTCTTTGAGTCGTGTATATGCAGTCTGTGCCATAGGCCCGTAGCTTTGATTGATAGATTGAAACGGCAGGTCTGTACAGGTTGGAGGGATCCCTTAAGTCTTGATAAAGTTCAATTCTTGCAGGAGACAAAGTTATTACTCGATCCAGACGTACCTCATGATCTGGATCGACCAATGAATCAACAATCTGCGCGAGGCCGGATTCTGTGCTAGCTCTTGCATCCAGCGACTGAGTCGGTGGATTGATTGGCAGGTTGGGGCGCATCGACCACAAATGTTGCTTCCAAGACATGCCTGACTGAACCAGAGTGCAGCGACCAAAGACGCATGCATGTGTGTCAAATACACACCACCGTCCGTACTCAACGACTTGGAATATGCTAACCTTTTACTTAAACTTGAGAGGATCGATCGAAGCGCCGCCCTGTTGAAAGATCATGATCTTTCAACAGGGCGCTGACCAGCCTTTAGCGCGCTGATGTACGCGCGCTGATGTTCATGCACTCGGAGCGCTACCGCCCATGTGAGAATTCATGATGTATCTTAGTAGCTAGCATGAATGATCCTATAGGCCCGGACCGATCGCAGGCTACAACCTTATATTGTGGCGGATATGATCATATATACCGCCATTTAACGAGCCTTACGTTGTCTATGTACACAAATTTGATGGAGATTAGATCCGGCCTTAATTTAACATGGGCCGGTGAGCATGTGTGATTTGAGCACTTGAATGGCGCATATTTCCTAGCGAATGCCTCGTGCTGCCGCCATCTCCAAACTCCATTAAAAGTAGGAGTTGAGCTTCACGTTACACTCTCTCCGTGTTGGTTCAGCTCAAGTTATTTCTTAGTATAGAAGTGGCAATCCGGTTTGTAGATCCACACAAACAAAAATGTAGGATACTATAGTAGCAACTGTATCAAGTGATCATTACACTGCGCAAAGGTCTTCTGATGTCGTAACTGGAAGTGTCGATTATAGAAGAGCGATCGCGCTGCTACCTCATCCCCAATGCAAACTTGCAAAAGTGACTGGCAATTTCTACACAAATTTCCCGGCGCAGGTAGGACTGCAAGTCTATCTTCGATATTTCTCTCTTCTATCGACGCTCCGTTTCTACTTGACCAATCTCTAGCTACGCCTTTCTTTGCTCCACCCGTCTTCAGCGGTCCTCCCCTCCCTTCTTCTTCCTATACCTCCCCCCATAGGTCGGCGGAGCGTATTGCGGGGGCGAATAGGACTGCGGACTGGGGGGCGAGTAATACTGGGGACTCGGGGGAGAATATCCGCTCGGAGGAGAGTAACCGGTCGGGGGGGAGTAACCGGTCTGAGGGGGGTAACCGGGAGACGGAGACAGGTAACCGTCAAAGTTCGCCTCGGGCGGGGCTCCCGTGTCGGGAGCCGGAGGCTGGCTGACGGTCGGGGGGCGCGGCTGGAAGGGAATTCCCCCGAGGCGCTCGTTCGTGTTTGTGTCCGCCAAACCGGTTCCGTCGAAGGGCGGGTAAACAGTCCCCGGGCGGGTGCTGCCATAAACCGGGCCCAGGGGGCAGGGCAGGTTGATGCGCCCATTCACACCGTTGGGGAAGAAGCCGCCCTTGCCGTCCTTGGAGCCGAAGGTGAGGATGCTCAGGACCTGCGGTAAAAAAGGCGACATTGGTGAGAAAAAGCGCGAGGTGAAACAGGCGCCACGAATACACCGCCGAAGTGGTCAGGAAAGACCGTTGGCGCTCTTAGCGAGGTGCAAAACGATATCGGCGCACGCAGAGAAGTCGGAAGCCTTTCCGACTTCTCTGCGTGAGAAAAAGCCCTTCGACGTCCTTGGAACTGAGGTTGAAAAGCCACCAGGCGACTTTCTCGAAGCTTGCTCTGCCTGAGATCCCTGTCAGCCAAACGAGAATAGAATATGAACGAGCAACTTCGAGAAGGAAGGACGAGGTGCTATGCGAACAAACCTCTTTCGCATCTGCTGCGCTCTTGGCAAAAGAAAGGAGTCCGCCCAGTACTCATCCGGGTTAAGACTCCAAAAATGGGGTTTACATGTTCAAATACGACCGTCTACATTTCTCGTACCTGCTGCGGCGTGCGGGAGAAGGTGACACCGTTTCCGTCAGTGGGCACGATGTTGATCCCGCCGTCGAAGAACAATCCCTGGTCGTCATTCTGTAAGGGAACGAGGGATGTGAATGAAGGCTGATCATCTTTCTTCGATAGAAAACCATCCATGTAACAGCAAAAAGCGATCTTAAAGACAGCCGGATATTGAGACGACAATCCGACTCGCTCTCGTTTCGTCGTGGATAGGAACGGGGGCTCAAGCTTGCTTCTCTTCCAAAATTTTCTGGAGTCAGGTGACGTGGGGGTAACTGTAGATTGTCTGACCGATATCCTAGCAACCATTCTAGTTTTGAACACGTCAGCCGCTTAATGATATGCTCAGAAGACGGCCCGTAGCGTACGAACACACGCCGTTCGTAGGGCCGCTTCAATAAGCTCATTCTGAGGATAAAACCCAGAAAGGTTTTCTCTTGATATAAGAGTGAACTGCCATAACTTCTACTTGATTGCATTTGCCCACGAAAAACCCGTAACCCAAAAGTTCTAAGTCCTGACTTCCCAAATCCCTTGAACCCTCACCTGCGGACCGTCCAGGCTGTCGCGGTACTGGGAGATCGCCTCCACGACTTGCGCGACCGTCAGGTTGAACGGCGGCACCGGTTGATCGCGCCGCTCCCACAGAATGTAGCGCTGCGCTGCGGACTGGTAGCCAGCCGACGACGCCAAACCCGCGGCGCCGTCGCGGAGGGTCGCGTTCTCAATCAGCACCGTAATACCCTGTATAAAGGAACAAAAGCTTGCATATATAAGGTTCCAGTTGTCGATCGAAGCATTGTGATGCCGTGTATTGAACGAAAAGCTTTGGATCTGATTCTAGGCACGGATTAAATTTTCGGGGACCTTCTAAACACCTCTAATTTTACAGATGGTTTGACCAACAAAACTCGGCAGTCGACGCCAAACACGGGGCGCCGTCGCGGAGGGTCGCGTTCTCAATCAGCACCGTAATGCCCTGGGCGACACAAGCAGAAGATTTTGGACGTGACATTAGAGACAGAATAGCGTTCTGTGTTTTGCAGGTTTTTGAGAGTCATAGGTGGTCTAACAAACGAGGATTGACGGGCGACGTTAAACCCGCGGCGCCGTCGCGGAGCGTCGAGTTCTCGATCAGCACCGTGATGCCCTGTTTTCAGAGTAAGATGCTTTAATCGGTTTGAAGCCAAAACGAGTTACGCGTCTCGGAACCGGTCAAGAAACTCGAATAATTTCTATGGGTGCTTTGCGAAAAAAGACTCGGCAGGCATTCAGTCCTCGGTGTGACGTCCGGGTTGCATTCGAACCGAGGGGACCCTGCTGGGAATCTGAGAACATTATTGATCGGGAGAGTGTATCTTCTGTGGGCAGTCGCTTATTGTAAGGAGAAATTTTGTGATTGGATTGGTATTTTTTGTCGCTTTGTTTGAATCGTTCTTGCAACCATCGCACACGGTTCTTGACCGTTGATCCTCCCTATCCATTGGTGCAGCCTGCAATCCATATTTTGAACGGACCGGAACGGAAGTTGCACACTTACTAGGGGAGCCACAAGGCACCATACTCAGAAACACTTTCATAGGCTCGTTTTTATGGGACGCAATCCGAGACACATCACGTTTTTCACATACCCCTCTCGTCCATCATTCTGAGCGGTTTACAAGAAGATCAGAACGAGCATATTCGGACGCCCAAAAACCACAGAAGATTGTGACAAGCATATTCGGACGCGCAAAAAGCCCAGACTCGGACGCTTTCAAACGGCCCCCCCACCTTGTCCCCAGTGGCCCCGATCTCCTCGAGCGACCATATCGCGATGAAGACGGTGACGTCATTGGCGTAGGGGTCGAAAAACGGGGGCCCAGCGTATTGGGGGCCGAACTTGAGCACGACCGCGTTCCCGACAAAGTCGGCGAAAGCGCTGGCGTTGATCAGGGGGCAGGGCGAGGCGAAGCCGCCGATCGCCGAGCGGATCAGCCTGACAAGGAGAAGAAGTAGGGGTTCGCGGTCTAATAAAACAGACTCGGCTAGGTTTGCGCCGTTAAGGACTGCGAGAGAGGATTTGCTCGCAACGAGGTGAAGCCGCCAATCGCCGAGCGGATCAGCCTGCCAAGGCGGACAGGTAGGGTTGGGTTAAGAGGATCGATGAAACCGGTTCGACTGGGTTTGCAACGCTGGAGAGTGAGAGAGAGGATCGGCTTGCAAGAGTGGGGAAGATTGACCTGCGGATCAGCTTGAATATGAAGGATAATTTAGTCGATGACGTTGCTGAGCAATGAAAAAATGTCTCCGTCGTCAGCCCGGGAGAAGATTTTGAAGCCAACGCGGGAGAATTGCTATGGCGACAGAATGGACTTTGATGCAGGCTAATAGTTGTCAATATGGACGATTCAGAAATCGTACAGATACAACGATTGATTTCCCAAATGAGACTGGCAAGGGGAGAGGTTTTGAGGCCGAATCTGGCTGGACAGGAAAAACGGGGCGCAGAACAAAGTACTTCTCACGCAAAGAAACGTGCGCGAGCGCGCAGAAGGAAGCAACACGCGCGCACAGATTGCCGCTAACACCACGCGCGCGCACACCTGACGTGGCCCGCCTCGTCGCGCGCGGTCTCCTGAGCGAACGGCAGCAGCTCGGGGGAAATATTTGCCCGGGCGGCGCCGATCAGGGGGGGCCCTCCGGCGACCAGAGAAGGGTGGAGCGGGACTCCGAAGGTCGCCCACGCGTCGAACTCGGCTTCCAAGCACTCGGTGTTAATCAGGAAGTTGTACAGGTCGAAGTCGGTGTAGCTCTGTTTCGCTCCGGCGCCGCCTGAACGAAAAGGGCGGAATGAGAGCGGAGTGACTTGGAAGAAGTGATTACAGGTGGGGAGGGTCTGATCGAAATGAGGCTGTACAAACAGAAGGGCACTTAAAAACCTTGAGAAAGTTTTGAGGAATCGCTGAGTCGACCGCAATTCCACGAGGCAGGGACTCGTGAAGATGCTACGGAACCGAAAGCGTACTGAAAGATCCCAACGTTTCCGCAAACACCTGCTATCCGCCAGACGCGTTTTCGAAAGAGTCCCGCAGAAAACGCGCCCAGAAACCAAGCAGGAACCCATGATCGGGCGATGCTTCGACCAAAGTTTTCCAACAAGAGCATTCGAGATTTGCTAATCCTTGCAAATGAAAGCACCGCAGCCCACATCCCGTGTAGATCAAAGTGGTCTGCGGCCAATAGACGGCTCTCGCGAGTTATTTGTCGCGTAATTCCCTGACATATTCCGTTTCATTTCTCGCCAACTTTGAATCATGTCAAAGGAAGCTCAAAATCAATCCGCCCACTTCACTCAATTCCGAGACGTTTCAGAGGAGTGTGAGAGTAGTCAGCCCATGTTCAATCACAGAATATAATATTGAACATAAGTGAAATCGGCGAAACTCACCGGCCGCTTGGAGCCACGTGCTCTGGACGAAGGTGAAGTCCGGGAGAACCTGGCCGTTGGTCACGATGGGCGGCTGCCCGGGGAGCGAGTTCGTCTGCTGCGCCGCGGCCGGCCCCGCGGCCGCCAGCGCGAGGGCCACGGCAAGGATGCACGCGAGCTGCAAACAGAGCGGATGGTTTGCATGAAATGTGGGTCTAATCAGGAGAACTGAGTTCAGCCGGAAAGATCAACTTTCGCTTGAGTCCTTCAATCCACGATCATCGAGGTTCTGCAAGAGGGTATAAAGGTAGAACTAGGTAGCCCCATTTATCTCCTGTATGACCGAGAACTTGGAGGAGAAAGGATATGTGGGATAGCCCCCCTGGACCCCCCGGTTTTGGTGCTTAAATCTAAGGAGTGGCGTTTGTTTGACTTAAACCACCAGCCCAGCAGACTACGTCTTAGTCGAAGCATCACTTGCATACATGTGAAACACAGAGGGTTTGGGAACAAGAACATCAAAACTACATCAATTTGCGCTTCTGTGAAGCGCATGTAACCATCATAAACCCACAGAACCTGTGTAATAGACCATGGAACAAATCCGTATGAACTCAAGAAGAGGAGACCACCACGTAGATCGATTTCGAACCCAAGAGCTTTCAGGAGAGGAAAACAAATGAGGCCATGACACGAACCCAAAAGCCCATTTGAGGAGGCGAAGGCGCGTCTGCAACACTCCTCCAAACAGACGAGACCCTATTGGCTTATCGATTGAAAGGAGGTCAATTCCCAGAACATTCTGAAGCCAATCAGCTTTCTTGCATACAACGTACCAGCTCAACAATTGGCACGATACTGCTCTAAGATCGATCCAACCACGACTCTGATCGCCCATTGACTGACCGCCATTGTGAAGAAGCCCCGACCACGTACCTCCATTTCTCCTGCCTTCCACGCCTGGCAAGAGGGAGGAGCGCGACGGGTGAGTGGATCGAACTGGTAGCAAGACGCGGTACAGAGCGCCTTTTCTGCCGGTGGACGTGGTTGTGCAGTGGAAGGCGGGGAAGCTGCTGCGGGGCAAATCGACGGCGGCCAACAAAGCGCTGCTTTTTGGAGCAGTTGAAGCTGAAACTGACCTCTGATGCGGGTTTTCGAAGTCCTTGTGGGCATTCCAGACACTCCTGCACTGTGACCTTTGAGACAAGTCTACTCTAAAGAAAAATCAAGTATGGTCTTATCGGATGGAGTAGGCTCTGTCGCACTCTTCGACTTTCGCAGTCAGTGAAGGACTCACCGAGTGCGCAGGGCGCTCTTCAGACAACTGGGAAATGACGTCAGCAGAATCTTGCAAGTGCAGGGCGGCGACGGGTTTGTCAGTTTCAGGCTGCCCATCTGCTTCGTTTCAAAGCCACGTGAAATAACAGGCTTAGAAGCGCGAAAAACTTGTCTGCTCTGTGTTTCGTGTCTGAAAGTCACGTGCGGCGAATTGCATGCAAGGCAGCGGATAAGGCAGCATCGTCGGCTCACTTTTTTCAGGTTTATCCCGTTCCGTAGTGCGTTTCTGTTCGTCCGTTCCGGCGGATGCTTAAAGCGCATCCAACGGAACGGAAGGTTTCGTAGCAGTTTCAGGAAATGCAGACATGTTTCGTCATTTCATAGTGTGTACTAAGTGCAGTGAAGTTTTGGCAAGTTACATGAATAGTACGTGATAATGATCATTATCAAAATAGCGGAGTGATAGTTGCATAATTTGCATCAGAACAATGCTTATGCGTTTGAGACTGTAGTGATTTAGGGAAAGTGAGGTATGATGTAGCAGACCATTGAGGTGTTTTTGTCACTGTATACTATTCCAGAGATGCAGCTTTGCGTGATGATTGCTGAGCCAAGATAGATTTGTGAATGTTCTGCGGCCTTTATACAGGCAATTGTTATGTAATGCTGTTCTTGTCTTGTGGACCGTATCAAAATGAGTCCTTTTCGGGTCAACTTCAAACACACGCAATGGAAGTAAACTCTCGTGAACTGAGGAAGATTTCTCCTCAATCCTGACGGTCACTCTCAGCGTTGATATATTGTCTACTCTGCAAACTCTGCCGTGCACTCTTACAGTGACAGCACCTTATTGTCTAAACAGAATTCAACTCCGGGTGTCTTCACCGTCCCTGGTACTTTCAAAAGTTCAACTCAAGGCTTATAATCCTTTTCCTTCTTCTCGTCCTTCTTTTCCTTCCTCTCCTCCTTCCTCCCCTCCTTCCTCTCCTCCTTTTTCTCCTCCTTCTTGCGCTCGGGGGAAGGCCCCGGGGAAGGTCCGAAGGGCAGCTTCGGGACAGTGGGCGCGGAAGCCCCCTCCGTGCCAAAGGGCAGCTTCGGGACAGTCGGGGCGCGCTTCTCCCTTAGGTACTCGTCAAACTTCGCCTCGGGGGGGATCCCCACGTCCGGCGCCGGAGGCTCGCTGTTGAACGGAGTTCCGGGCAGGAACGGAATCTCGTCAAAGCGCTCGTCAACCGTGTTGGGGTCAGCGAAACCGGTCTGGTCGTAGGCCGGGTAAACGGTCCCCGGGCGGGTGCTGCGGTAAACCGGGCCGAGGGGGGTGGGCAGGTTAATGCGCCCATTCACACCGTTGGGGAAGAAGCCGCCCTTGCCGTCCTCGGCGCCGAAGGTCAGGATGCTCAGGACCTGCGATGGAAATAGGCGCGGGTTTAGGCGCAAGGGTGTGAAAAGGCACAAGGCGCAAAAAAACGGCAGGAAGATCAGTGTAACATGGTCTAGGAATGACTGGATCGACTCGGCTCGACGAGTAAATGATGACTCGGTTTGATTAGAGACTGGAGTGATCCAATGCTCGAGTTGGAAGAGGTTGAAAGATCGGGAAAGATGATTCGTATGTGAAAAGGGCACAAAACGGACTATCTTTTTCCACAAGCAAGCCGCGCTCGAAACGGATGATCCAGTCGGCAGCACACCAGAGCAGGTGTGGTTCCTGTTCTCACTCGCTGGCGGCAAGCTCTGACGACATTCCCGAAGCAATCCAAATTCTATTCAGTTACACTATTAACCGGCCAATCGTTCGTTCTTTGGCTTCAGTCCCTTGCATTAGGTGAGGAGAGGAGACATGTCGTACCTGTTGGGGTGTGCGCGAGTAGGTGACGCCGTTCGCGTCAGTGGGCACGATGTTGATGCCGCCTCTGTAGAACAGCGGCTGGTCATCATCCTGTACGGCCGGAGGAAGGAGTAAATATTCACGGAAGAGAACGCTGGAAAGTCGACGTCAGATCTCAAGCGGACTGCAAGAACGGCCCCAGAGACTTCAAGACTTTGAAACAACAGCAGAAGAGAGAAGGACCGCATTTCGAAGCATGTGCAAATGTTTCCAATCGTGTGAAGAAGATGCTGTCAGGATGTAAGAGCGTCGAATCCCAACAATCCCTACACTCCTCAGCTTTGCAATTGAACGAAAATCACAGATTCTCGCATTCGTACGATGCAACAATTCTCAATTTTCGGACACGATTTGTTTGCTAGGACGCTTTGAGAAGGGTTGTGGACCTTGTTTTGGACGACGTAGGAACCAGAACCTTATGAAGCAAAACTAGCGTCTCAAAGCCAAGCTTCAGACCCACCTGCGGACCGTCCAGGCTGTCGCGGTACTCGGAGATGGCCTCCACGACTTGGGCAACGGTCAGCTTAAACGGCTCCACCAGCCTGTTGCGCCGCTCCCACAGAATCCACCGCTGCGCGGCCGCCTGGTAGCCGGCCGACACCGCCAAACCCGCGGCGCCGTCGCGCATGGTCGCGTTCTCCATCAGCACCGTGATGCCCTGGTTAGCGGTTGAAACGAGTGGGTTAAAACAAGGGTTACTTACTCTTTCATGAAAGATGTACGCGGAGTTTCTGATACAGGGTCTTGATGCCTCAGAAGAGGCAATTGAGACAGGATGCCATTTGAAGGCGGTTACTTCCGCGTTCACTCTTCATTAGACATCAAATCAAAGAACAGATTTGGACCTCAGTTGCGGAGTCAAAGTCGGAGGCAAAGGACTCGAGAAGCAAGAAGAGCTCTTTATGAAAATTACAAAGAACTTGATCTGAAACTGTCAAACGTAGCGTAGACGTTCTGGACAAGGACGGCTTCGACGAATCTTCGACACGTTCTGAGTGTCCGCAACCGAAACGCTTTGCAGACCTTCAGACCTCAAGACCACAAGGAGTAAACCCAGAGCGGACGCTCGTAACCCGAGGAAAACTGATTGAACGTGCCTGGACGGAACGAGAAGAGACCATCCAGACATTTTCAGCGGATCGATTCTGGAACAGCAGGGCAGCACAAACTCAGACTTAACCACCTGAACTCAGAACAAAACCACATAAAGCTTTTTACCGACGCTAACAGCCTGTAACCTTGAATTCTGGAACCGGCCCCGCCAACCCTGTCTCCGGTGGGCCGATCTCCTCGAGCGCCAAGATGGCAGATTGTATTTTAAGCGTTGCTTATCCAGGCCAGGTTACATGTGGTTTTCCCCTGGTTTCCTAGGGGTTTAAAAAACGGGTTGACCCCTAGAACTGCCCACCTTGTCCCCGGTGGCGCCGATCTCCTCGAGCGACCAGATGGCCAGGAAGATAGTGACGTCATCGAAGTAGGGGTCGAAGAAGGGGGGCCCCGCGTACTTCTTGCCGAACTTGTGCGTGACCGCGTTCCCGAAGTAGTCCGCGAACGCGGTGAAGTTGAGGAGGGGGCACGGGGAGGCCAGATCCGCAATCGCCTCGCGGATTAGCCTGGCACCGGAAAGGGTTTAGAAACGGGTTAGCAGGTTAACGGGTGTGAGTGACTTGGCGCGGCGCGCATGCCGCAAACTGGGTGAAGTTGAGGGGGGACGGGGAAGGCCAGATCCGCGATCCCCTTGCGGATCACCCTGGCGAGGGAAAGGGTTTATGATTGGGTTAGCCGCTTGAGTAGGTCTGCATCCGTGCCATCTGAAGGGTAGAGGGTTACCTCGCGACGGGGCCGGTTGGCAAGAAAGAAGGGTCTCAAAGCGGGTCACTTGTCTGACCGGCGAGAAAACAGTTGGTGGAGGCGGGGGGGTCAAAGAATGGCTTATCTAGTTGGTTTTGTGCCAACGGATGCTTGAGAACGGATTGCGAGAACCTACTGCGAAGCGGAAAGGACGGGGCCTTCAATAAACCTGTCTGACGGAATGAAAGGCCTTGTTCGCACTTGATCGAAGGCACTTTTAGGTCGCGACCAGCCACGTTTCTCTTCCCTTTGCTTTGACCAGCATGAGAGAGTCTGGCATGATGAAGCTTCGCGATTCGCAGCCGCTCCCAGCACAGAGCGTCTTGCAAAAGCGCGCGCGCGCGCTCACCTGACGTGGCCCGCCTCGTCGCGCGCGGTCTCCTGGGCGAAGGGCAGCAGCTCTGGCGAGATGTTGGCCCGGTTGGCGCCGATCGGGTCGGGCCCTCCGGCGACCAGAGCAGGGTCGAGCGGGACTCCGAAGGCCGCCCACGAATCGAAGCTGGCTTCCAGGCACTCGGTGTTGGTCAGGAAGTTGTACAGGTCGAAGTCGTTGTAGCTCTGGCGGGCCGCAGAGCCGGCTGCGCGGAACGAGCGGAACAATAATGGAACGGACGGAATGGTGAGCGGGAAGCGAGTTGAAAATAGACGCTCTTTTCTGTCGGTGGGCGTTTGGGCAAGCGTGACAGGTGGGCGACTGTTTGCAGGAACATATTGTCAAACTCTGTCGTGCGAAAGAAGTCCGAAGATTTCGGACACTTTACATACACTTCTCGTTCAGTAAGGCTCCGCAATTCCTCTTTCTGCAGAGTTCTCTTCCAACAGAAGCGTCTGATCTGCAAATCGCCCCTGGACCTCTTGAGAATTTCATTCCAACGACTTCAAACTCTCAAAAGATATCCTGCTACGTTTGAACTGTTGTCAACAAGGAAACGAGACCGGGGCACTCACTGGCCACTTGAAGGAAGGTGCTCTCGACGAAGGTCCTGTCGGGAAGCACCCCGCCATTGAAAACGACCGGCGGCTTTCCGGGCAGCGCGTTCGTCGGCTGCGCCGCGGCCGGCCCCGCGGCCGCGAGCACGAGCGCCGCAGCAGCAAGGATGTACGCGAGCTGAGCGCGCGGATATCAAATAACCCTCAATTGCGTATTCAGGAGTCGATGCAAAACGTAGATGCAAGCCCAGGTTTCGAAGCAGGATGCAGCTACAGACACATCGAATTGGCTGTTCCTTGTGTACAGCGATAGCGCCCGTCTGCTCCATTCCTTTGAGAGACTACGGCCCTGTAAGTGGGCTGACTGGAAAACACTACGAAAGAAAGAGACCTACTCCTCAAGAAAATCCATGCAGATACTCATGAAGGACAGAAAGGTGCAAGCTTCTCAAACCAATCACGGCAGCGGACAAGATTGCTTGCCACATGCTACTTGGAACCTTTATTCAGCAGCCAATAGACTTTCTATTGTAGAGCGACCAACGCGCTCTCGGCCCACTTCTATGGCTGTCAAAAGACAAAAACAGGTTGACCAAATGAAGACGATTTCGGACAGGTTGGTTTTAGAGAAGCACTCACCGCCATATTTTCCACCGCTTCTTCACGCAAAAAGAAGAGCCGAGAGAGAGGGCGTTGCGGGGGAGCAAAAGCTTCAAGGGAGCGGTGAATGATAGAATGATTCTGTAGGCGCCTGGAAGCGACTTTCATAGGCCCACTTTCTGCTGGCCTGCGCAATCGGCTGGTGAGTCTACTGATGGTCTGAGGCGCCTGCAAGACTCGGGCAGCTCTATGATGCAGTCATGATTGCGTGTGTGGCGCAGTCACCCTTGCTCCAATGTTGAATGCTGATAGCAGACGAAGTCATCCACATATAAGGGCTTTGAAATGAACGGCCACGTGTGATGGATTGCAAGCGAAGCAAGCAGCCTCTGCCTTTTCGACTACCGGAGAGCATTAATTTCGTGTGCCCATGTGCCGATCCTTGCAACGGTGCTTCTTGTTGACTATTTCGGGCCCTGTCCGAATTTTGGTTTGTATTTCTCGATGCGCCGCTTCGCAGGTTCACAGAATGATTCTGTTTTGCAATTGTCAGACAGAGTTCCTGTACACGTTCGAGCAATGTCGGAGCATACAGCAGCAACGGTGAATGCCAACAGAACACCGATGCCCGAGCACATCAATGATGAGTTTCTCGCTAAGTACACTACATAGCAGGAATATGATAACGATGTAAATCTTGTCACTAATGTGCACAAGCTTCAAGTGCACCGTACAAGTTCCCATTATTGAACTTAGAACATTCTTGAAGGTTCAGTTGCTCCACGTCCGGGGCCCCTGTGAGAATCTCAAACTCTAGCTGCCTTAGTTGACCTGTTATCAACCGCAGATTCTTTGGTCAACCTCGGAAAGCACGAACGAGATTTCCTTCATCAGTGAATCTTGCAGAATCATTCAGTCTAAGTCATATTCGATTCCTTTTTAGGCGTTCTAGCGAAAGTAGGCCGTCCATCTTCGCCTATAGTCGATTCACACAATACATGGCAGCTTCTACTAGGGTTGCAAAGTGGCATATGAGTGTGCGCCTTTCGACTCCGATTCTTGAGGTACTCAAGAGTTGCCTCCATGCCAAAGAACGACAGAAGGATACAAATGGGCGTGATAATCCCTGTACGTACGTGTTTGACCCACTTGATACACCGTGCTGATGCAACAATTTAAGCCTCAATTTAGCACCCTCGGGGGTGTCGGCCTTGAAATTACTACGTAGGAGGTGCGTGCAAGCGACTCAGCTTTAGCTAGCGCATGAATGTGTTAATGTGGCAAACTTCTTGGTTTCCCTGTATCTGCAGGCTCTGATTGGCTGTTTTACTGGAGATTGAGATGACGCGTCAGCTTCTTGGTCGACACGCAGTCCACGATTCCGGTCGACTCACAACCGGGCCAGGCCTTTTGTTGCTCGCGCACAGCTTGTTGAGCGAGCCACAACTCCCGCTTAGGTGACGTGCATAATGCAGGCGGTGCGTGACGGTTGTCTGCCCAGCGCGCGATACCGTATGTGGCTTGCGCATTTCGAAGTCATGGACAGGTCACAGGCCGCATGGGCGCCCGGGCGGCGGGCGCCAGGGAGTCGGGACTCACTCGACACGAGCCGCGCGAGGTTTGCCTCCGGAGCTGCGCCGTCAATTGCTCATTGCGTTGATCAATGCATGATGCAAGGTGCTGCATGACCTGTTCTTTTCAGTAAGGGCCTCTCAAAAGCCCGTGCCCAGCAGAGGCATTCATGCGTGATCGCAGCTCGTTTTGAGAACGATATCAAGGGAGAGTTTCTAGAATTTTCTGCTGATGTTTTCCAAGCTTCCCTTGGGTCTCTTCTCAGAAGCCCGTGCCCAATAGCTCATCAAGGAGTGATCACAGTTCCATTGAGGACAATTGCGAGGGAGAGTTCCAGAGTTTCTGCTGCAGCCCGCAGATTAGCTGCGTGTGAGCCAGTTAAATCATAAGCATAAAGTAAGGGAGGGAGGAAACATTCCCACTCTTCTAAATCGGCTCAGTCTGCTCAATCTTCCAATGTGAGCGTATGGCGCGAGTCGAAGCTGCAAGCACTTGGAAGATTTGGAAGGGGTACGTGGACACCCCGGAGGGCCAGGTGCACTACCACCGCTGCGGATCGGATGGCGCACATCCCCTGATCTTGCTGCACCAATGGCCGGATGGGGCGACACAATGGGATCCAATGTTGCCAGGTAGGTGGCAGATGCAAACTGGTGATTCAAGCTTACGTTCTCTGGTATGAGCTCCTATGCGTGCATCCTTGGTGTTGTTGGGTGAAGATACCACGGTAGATACATACCCCGATTGGATCATGCCTCCTTGGAGAAAGGACAATTGGAGGTGTGCAAGTCAATAAGAGCGTCAGCTACTTTTGCAAGATAGAGAATGTCTTCTGCATCTTCACATCATGTAAGAGAACAGGACCTTGAGCTATTGAGCAGGTGTCGCTCAGCAATGCGTTGCGGGTGCTGTCAATAAGCTCTTCTTAGGCAAGCCTGAGCTGCATTTCAAGATGCAGCTGATTATCACACCTTGAACACACTTCAGGAAACGCCACCACTAGCTGTGCAGCTTGAGCTGCTTTCGGGGCGTCCAGCAAACTGCCGGATCCTTTTTTCAGCTGGTTCACTGGTTGAGAGCTGTCACTCTGCTTTCTGCAGACTCCACAGGTTTCAATCGTTTGATGAAACCAGCAGGTCTTGCTTGAGGCAAGGCAGTTTTGTTGCAGTCGTTAGCCTGGTACTGTGCCCCAGCTAGTGTTCTCTTGATTCTTTTCATCTTGCCATTTCTTGATCATGAGTCCCCATATCAGCCGAGCTCCTTCACAAAGACCTGGTGCGTTTGGAACCCTCCTACAATCTGCCTCATTGGGTACGTTGCCTTTGGAAAGTCCTGGGGACACCCTTCGGGCTATGTCCAGTTCCTTGGGTCCGAGTCCTTTGGTGGAACTGCTCCTCACAAGACTTCAACATGATCCATGCATTTGCACCCTTAAATGATGTCCTCCCTCTCTGCAGTGCTTGCTGCTAAGGGCTTCCTTGCTATAGCGCTGGACATGCCGATGTTTGGACAGTCCTACAAACCAGAGGAGGAGCCAGATTTGGGGGGCTTTGCAGAAGGTGTCCTGGCCGCGGTGCAAGCCCTGGGGTATCAAGGCCCAATGGACTATGTGGGGCACCACTCCGGTAAGTCAAACAGCATTGCATTCAGATGTGATTGAGACGTAATGAGACATGCTTATGTTATATGCGTCACATTCAGTTCAAAATCTGGATGGTTGTTGCGGGTGGATACCCCATTTGTACTCAATGAAACAAGTCACTGCAGGCGAGGTTTCTTGAGAGTTCATCCAATGATTAAAAGCTTCTCAAAGAGGTGATGAGAGGCGATCCTTGTGTAGATGCGAGAAAGCAATGAAAAGGTCACTTGAAGGCTTTGACCAGTGTTGACTTCCCAAGTTCGCTTTCCACGCTTTCCTGTTCTTTCACCTGATGAAAGCTTGATAAGCCAAGTGCATAACTGAAAGAACGAGCTTCTTCGATGCAGTAAGGCCTCTGACTCTTGGTACTTGCCTAATCAAACTGAAAAATGTTCTGCTGTCCAAGAGCTACTGTTATGTCTGAAACAATCAAGTTCTACTTCATTCAGTGGCAAATAATCGGAGACCTCAGAATTCATGATCAAGAATGACTTTTATATCTTTGCGCTTTTCATGCCTAAGTTTCTCCGTCTGCTGCCCTCATGCTGACAACTTCTGAATGACTGAACGAATGCCGAAAGGGCCCATCGTAATTGTGCTACGATTCTCACCCTAGGGCGCTGTTAAGGGGCCGGGAATCCTTCTGCTTGAAAGGGAATGGCAGGCTTGATTCACAGAGCTGGCAATCATTGCGTTCTCCAGAGGTGCCGGGGTGGCCATGTGGCTAGCCGCCAACCGCGTCGACTCCGTCAAACGACTGGTCCTGTGGGGTGTCCCCGTGCTTACCCCGGAGCTCTTCCGGCGATTCAAGAATGAGGCGGCGCCGGTTTACGACGACGACGGAGAAACGATAGCCGCCGCCTGGAAAGCCACGCGACTAGCCATGCCCTCGCTGTCAACAGATCGGGCGTTGGGCGTCCTGGTTGGACGGCTGCAGATGAAAACCGATGCCGTGTGGATGCACCATGCGGTTGCGGACACTGACTTCGAAGAGCTGGCGACTCAGGCGAGGCCCCCTTCTGGTTGCAGCCATCTGCCACTGATTCATCACTTGCAAGAGTGTCAAGCAGGGGCCCTGATCTGTTTGTAATGTACAATGGTTCTTTGCTTCCGGTTCTCCCTCGAAGAGTACTTTGATTCGCAACTTCGACCAGCCAACTCGGTACTTTCACAAAGGTTTGACATGGAGGTTAGGTGCATGTACACGAGTCTCGCTGCCCGGGTGGCTGCTCTTGCGATTCAGAATGTCGCAACAAGGTGCAAGTTCAGTTGGAGACAATCCTTTCTTACCGGTTTTTGGTGCACCTGTGATTCAACGAGTCTGCAGCAGATCAAAGTCGGCCCAGGTTTTGAAGTGGCAACTCCTTGCAGGTTCAACAACCGGTTCTTTGCCTAGCAAGCGACAAGGAGATACTGGGCCCAAACACACGCAAATGTACGTCTCTATTTCCCAATGCCGTGTATGTTGACATCCCAGGGGCGGGAATCTGCGTTGCGAATTCCCACCCGCACGAGTTCGTCCAAGCAATCTCCCAGTTTGTGTCTTAGTACTTTAGCTTCGTCAGTCTTCCCAATGTCCTTAGATAAGAATCCAGTTGCAGTGATTGGTATGAATCAATCCAAGGGTTGAAAAGAATGTGAACCCACCTGTATTTGAGAAGCCTACATCCATGTCATGGATGCCTCGGCGTGATACATTGATTAGCATCGAACAAGTGTTCTTACAAGTTTAGCTCTTGATTGGCTTTGCCTTGTAGTAGGATCCAGTGTGTTGCTAAGATTAGCCCCATGTATAATATCGAGAGACAATTGCGGTTTGATAGTTGCGAAAAAGTTTGAACTTAAGAGGTTGTGGATTGAACGACTTTTTAATCAAAGTGACAGGTTAACCTGGAGGCATTGCGCCCGCTGGGCTCGAAGGCTGCGGACCCTGAATCGCAAAGTAATCCAGACCTTGATCTCCACAACAAGCACTTCCATCTTTATCGGTTAGTGCACAGAATAAAGAAGGGAGCCGGGAAAGTGAAGCAGGGGGAAAGTCGAGCAATATGGTCAGAGTAAGTGGTTAGTCTGCGTGTTTGCTTTCTTGCACATTAAGTGGAGTTACAATGCATGCTCATAACCGGGTTTCATCCGACGCGCTATATGGTCTTTTGCATTTCTGTCGTACGGTTTCAAGATATGGAATGTATCTGATTCTAACTCTGGAGGTCACGACCATTCGGATTTAAGCCGATTCAAGTTGTCGGAAAATCCATGCAATCGATAGTACGTACTAGTTGGTGCCTGGCCAATACAGCCCGCTATTATGACCGCGTCGCGATACAATGGCAATTCATGATTCGATCACTCGAACGATTAATCTGATTGTCATGTGTGATATGCTTGCGACTGTGATGCAACCGTCGGAGTATATCAGTTACTGCATGAGATAAGTGCCGGCAGCTCGCAAAGAATATGTGCGGCCACCATGTGCAAGCTCTGCACACTCGTCATCAGATTTTTAGATTCCGATCATGGAGAGACCACGATCATGGCTAGCCCTTGCGCATGCGCGTATACTTCTAATGTTCTCCAATTATGCAATGCAATGCACCAGACCGGACCCGAATTTTGGATCTCCCGGCACGTTGCAGCTATCGACCATGCATACGCACTTTATTGCAAACAATGAAAACAATGAGTTTGCACCCCATGCAATCATAATGATGGACGCTAAGTTTCAGAACCATAATCTAGGATATAGCAGAAGTCGAGCGAAGACCAGCCAAGCGTGTTAACACAAACGATACTTGATTAAGAAGCCTAGACAGAGCGCGCTGCACTGGCTAGCTCACACGCTGATATAACATGACGAGATGTGTAGATAGCCATGCACTGCCTGAGGGCCAGATGCAGACACATGCGTGGTTCGACGGCATCATTGCATGCTGCATGTCCCCAGCAACTAACTTCAGTGTCTTCCGAAGCAGGCACACTCCCCCAACGACATGCTTGCAGCCCGCTCAGATGTGAACAGATGCAAAGACCATTTTCAAAGGCGACCGATTCATCATCGGACCTTTGATCCCCTCAATGAGCCTGTCACAACGTCCGCATCATACACACTCTCAGACTCAAAACTGCCACTCCCCTCTCTGTGCTCATACCGCGCCCTTTCGGACGCTTCCAGACACCCTTGGTTGCACTTGTACGTCCAGCCTCCAACGTGCTCTAACCAGTGTCACCAACAAGGCACGCCTGCGCCTTGCCCTCTCTCACCCCTCGTAAACTCGACCCTTGCTCGAGAAACGAGCCTACTGGGCGCTTTCCCACCCGCTGGCAGCGGAGGGAGCGGCGGTCCAGTCGGCGGGGGCGGCTGCGGGGGCAGCACCGGACTCCCACCCTGCAAAGAAAAACGGTTGTTAGGTTCAACTGACAGAGGGCCCTACAGGTACTTGAGTGCAGGGTGGCCGCAAAAAACACAACCTAAAGGCAAGCTCGAGTTGTAAACAGATCCTCTATGATCACGTGCGAACGTGCGAATGCCAACCGCGTCTTGGACAAACGTTCTTGGGCTTGCCGTGGATCATGATGGATCCCTTGACGGATGCTCCATATACATGGCCTTCAGCCCACCAGGACAACAGATCACAACAGACCTCGTCATCGATCTTTTTTGACCCAGCACCGCCGAGACTCCACTGTATTCCCCTACCTGCAGCAGCCGGGGCAGCCGCGCCGCTCCACTCCTGTGCCGCCGGCGCCGGGGCCGCGTTCCAGTCGCTGCCAGCAGCCGCGGGGGCAGCCGCAGTGGGGGCTGCCGCACCGTCCCAGTCAGCGGCGGCGCCCTGCTCCCACTCGGTAGCGGCAGCGGTGGGGGCCAATCCAAGGGCGGGGGTGGCGCCGTACTCGGGGGCAAAGTCGGTGGCCGGGGCATCGTCCTCGCCGGGCTCCTTGGTCTCCTCCGGCTCGCGGTAGAAGAACAGATCGACCTGGAATTGTTGAGTTAAGGTGAGTTAGTAGATGGGTGTGAAAGTAGAAGAGACAGTGACTCTGAGACCATGACGAAGTAGGCAAGACAGGAACTGAAGTGGAGAAGGGTCTCGTTCAGCAATCTAACAGAAGGTAGAAAGGAGTTGAAAAGACATAAAAAGTGAGATCGGAAACATTCGGAGGGGTGGCTGTGCGCGCTCAGTCAACCTGATGCCAAGAGCCACCGTCTGGCTGTCCCTGCACATCCAGAAACCAGTCCTTGCTTCATTCATTGCTGCTCCCAGAGTGGCGACAAAATCTGGATCGTTTGTAATCCAGCTCAAGCGCCCGTGAGAACATATCCATTTCCTACGCAGAAGACAATTAGACCTTGCAAGAACTGCCCCTCACCATGACGTCCCACGGCTGCGCCGCGGTGATGGTGCCGCGCATCTGGAGGACCATCCTGGTGAGGACCCAGTAGAGCGCCCCGATGGAATGCTTGCCCTTGTTGTTGGCGGGGATCGCAATGTCCACGTGCTTCAGCGGCGAGTCGGTGTCCGCAAACGCGATCGTCGGGATGTTGCCCAGCGACGACTCCTTGATGGGCTGCACGAGAAAGAGGACGACCAAAAGTGAGCCTCAACCACAACAGATTGAGTAGACGCCAAGGCGACAATCAGGACACGACAAGAGTTTGTGATTGATGTCCTTGCTAACTTCTAGCCGAAAAGCCTTTTCTGCAACGCTTGTTTAAAAGGTCCACTTGCTGTGACCGCAGCCACCAAGACTGGCGCCATCACTTGGCTCATCACAGTAGCCATGACTTGCCCAAGGCAGGAAACTTCTCTCCTATTCACCGGAGTTGCTTCAAAAACATTCAAGTCATTTAGTCACCCCCAACAACACTGAAGCTACACCTTGCCCCACATCCTACAACCTCGAACACCTTTCTCGGGCCATCTGTCACTTCAACACCAGCTCCCAACTTATCACATACGAGCATCTTGTTCCCCCACCTGGTGGTCCGTCCTGGGGTCCGTCAGGATGAGCAGCCTGGGCTCCAGGAACGACTCCTGGATCTGGTTAGTGAACGTTCCGGGGGTGTGGCGCCCGGCAATGGAGTGCGCCCCCGTGTAGGTCGCAAACTTGAGCACGGCGCGCTGGCCGTAGGGGCGGGCCGACTGGACGCAAATGTCCTGGGGGTTCTCAATGGCCACGATCACACGCGCCGCCAGCTGGAGCTTCTCCCACGTCTTGCCCAGGTTGATGATGTAGATGCCTGGAGGGACAAGGAGTATTTGCTGTGAACTTCTGATTCTGGAATGATGCACTCTTTGCTTGAACTTGCTGCTTTATCCTTTTGTTGCAAGTGGATAATGTTCCAGGACTTGCCCAGACTCACGGTGTAAAATGCGTGCAGGAGCACTGGAGAGGGCGCCATTTCAAAAATGATGTTTCAACACTGAAACGCATAAAGAGCAAGCAACTCGCGTCTCACAGAACGCATTTGGGTTGTAAATCCTGGACTCTGTGTGGGTTTTGAAGTCGGACTGGCATATTGTCGTGCCCCCCTTCACTGACGAGCACTCTCTGGGCATAGTCTCTACACCAACTTGACAAGCGCCGCAGCGGTGGGACCCTTCGGCAAAGGGAAAGGTGCATTCTACCAGTCTCCCTGCTTAGTGAAGGGTTGAGAAGCCTTTCCAGATTACCTGCACCTCTGTAGCTCACATTGACTACGCCTACTGTATGAGTAGCTCAAACATTTCAATCACTGGCAACCAATCCAGCCAACATTTATGCCCAAATTGGTAAGCCTAGCTGCTTCAATAAAAGCAGATTGCGCAAGATGGAAGTGCTCCCCTCTGGAAAAAATAAGCTAGATTGCTGCGAAGAAGCAACATCACCAGACTGACTCTGCACCACTACTGCCATTACCGCAAGTGAGGGATCGCCCAACTGCATGTACTCAAAAGATAAGCTGGCGGATCCAATCATCAACATCTCGCCACAGAATATAGCATACCAAGTACCCTTTCCATCATGGCAGAGGGCAAATCAGACACCGTTACCGCATGCTAAACCCCTTTGCAGTTTGCTTTTGAACCCTCAAATGTAAAGAAGGAACCTTTGCAATGAGGCCCAGCAAAGCTACAGAGATGTCTGCACTGTGCCTCCTGCACCTCTGAGAGTGCCATAACCAAGGGCCTTACACTCACGGCGCCAACCGCTGAACATACACAAACAGTACCCGAGGCGAGGAAACTTCGTAAACCAAGAAACCCAGTGTCCCCCTCAACAACTGCCATTGCGTGGCCAGACCAGGCTCTGTCTTCACAACCCTGCATTCAGCCCCCATTTCTTGCCCCCGCCCTTCATGCGCTCAGGTTTGAACCGTCAAAAATGCCTCTTCTTGGCACACATAACCCTACTTCCCCCTGCCTGTTTCCCACTGCCAAAACCGCCAAGCGGTAACGGGGCCTGCCCACTTACCATCGGCGCGCCTCTTCCACACATAGCGCTCCATCTGGAAATCGCAATTCTTGGTCCCGAGGTGGACCCCAGCTGCCAGCAGCAGCTGGATGTCGGCCTCCTTCTGAGAGAGCGCCATGATTGCTTGCTTTGCCTGCGCCGCAGAGCGCCAACCCACCTAGCGTGCTAGGTGAAAGAGGGAGGGCCAGCGTCGCTTGCTGGCGTTTTGATGAAGCAGGGGCACGTGATGCGCCCGCTTTCGTATACGTATGTGCAAGCACTCTGCCCGTTTGATTGTAAAACTCTGCCCGGTAGTATGTACCGGCTTATTTTAATGTTAACCGGGAGTTGTGAAAAGAGCGACAATCAATATCGCAGACCTACCCATTTTGTCGCTGTTGATTTCAGAGCCGGTGAAAGACTTTGACCGCGACCAAGTTGCCGGCTGATCAGGAGCACTGCTTTTCCCGCCAAGATTCTTGAATTGCAATTTGCACTCATGAGCAACTTAGGGAGAAGATCAGCCAGAGAATGTAGCCTCATGTAGGACGCTGTTTCTGTTCTCCTGCAGCAACGTTGCAAAGCTTACGGTATCTGTTCTTTTCCTTAGGTATCTGTCCTGTTTGGAGCTTCTCTGCCGGGCAGCCGTACGTTGGATTCCGAGGGCCAGATTGAGCCGGGCTGTGTTGGTGTGTTAGAGACACGCTGGCTGCTGGGAAGACATATAAGGCATCTCAGAACAAGCTGGACATTTTGAATCACCTTCATAACGATTGCTTCGAAAGCTTTGGAGAATATCTGGCAAAAAGATTTTGGGGCAGCTTCAAGTCTATGCTGCAAGGATCAGGCGGCTGCTTTCCTACAAGCCTATCGCTGGGGCAATTCAGTTGCTCGCCACTTATCGAATCCTCTAGTCCCTAAGTTCTACATTACTTCAGGGCGAGAGTCCGGAATTCCTGCTACCGTATGTAAGCACAAGTCCTTTGAGCAGGCCCACATTTGTCTGCGCAAGTATAATGGATCTTACCATACTTCATTGAGGACCGTTTACCAGCAGGCATGATGGCAGGGCAGGAATTTGGGATACCTTTGAAACTCGCTGACTTGGAGGATGGGGATGGGCCGTTCGCTCTGAAGGAGCTTGATGAGAGAGCTATCTCTGCACCCCACGAACTTGCAAAGAGTGAGCTTCCTTCTGTGCGACTCCTCTTGGCAGCCCGCCTCTCATGGTTGTAGAGTTTACAAAGTGACGAGAGGCAACGTAGTTTGTCCTCACTGCAGAAATCAAGTGAAGGCCAAAGACCTTAAGTACAACTACCCAAAACAGCTGTCTGTTTTGTTTGAAGCTTGGATTGACAACCCAAAAGTTCTAAGACAGATACATACCTTCCAGAGGGCATTAGTTGTGTAGCACTGGCATGTTTAATTCAATCACCACCCTGGTACTAAGCATATCATAGATTTCACCGGCCACCCATACCATCTCTGGCCAACAATTAAGAGAACGCACTCAAGGGTAATTCGCAAATTACTGTCATGATAAGTAAACAGACATGGAAGATGCGAGTCAAAGGCGTGCTCACCCAACGCGTCACTTGAATGCAGCAATCTCCCAAGAGCTTGGTTTCAAGGAGGTGGTGGACATTGAGCAAGAAGAGATCTTTGCCCCAGTCTACTCCCTTGTGAGGTAAGAGTGCTACAAGGAAAATCAGGACTTTGTGCCCACATTTTGACCTTCTAGTTTATTTGCCCACTACATGCTAATGGGCTGCATCCCGTATCTGAAGAGAACCGTCCAGCGTATCAACCTTGGTTTGCGAGATGGGACAAAATGGTCTCCCGCCTTCGTCGTCCACTCCGCATAATCTTTCATCCGTGCGAGTGCACAGCGCATCAGTGAAAACATAGTCTGACATAGCAGGAGCGCTTCGCAACAGCTTTTGGCAGGGATGCGAAATCGATTTCACCTTGTTGCTAACAATGTCGGGGCTACCATCACTTAATCCTTACTCCGTTCACTTGAGCTCTCCATACGCTGACAAAAGCACAACTCCCTCTCTCGCCTCGCCCGCAGACACTTTACAAAACTGCCGGCGACTGCCAAGGTCCTGTTGGTGGACACTCTGTGCACAAACCTCCTTCTTCTCAACCCGTCCATTCACTCCCTGGTCACGTCCACCAAAGACAGCACAGAAGACGGGGGCGCCGAGGGCTACGCCTCGCTGCTCCAGTCCCACAGGAACGCCCTCAAGATCTACGTGCTGTTTCTTCATGAAATCTGCGCCGCCGAGGAGAAGGAAGCGCCGGCGGCCGCGGCTGAGAAGGCGGCCACAGCGCCTCCAGGAGGAAGAGTGCGTGCTTATATCCGTTCAATCTGCTTTATCATCCATTCGAGTTACCTGTGGAAATGTTATTCAAAAATGCGGATTCGTAGAAGGCAGTTGCCGACCACTGTGCCAGTCTTGTGCAACACAGCATTTGGCCGGGCCACGGCATGCACTTTATTCTCCGCAGAACCTCGCCAGTGGCCTCCTGGGTCTGACCAGATACTAGCCAACATAATTCTGGCTTTGGAGATCCGAGAAAGCCATCACAGAACAAAGTCCTTGACCAGTGTTCTCATTTTTTTTCTGCCTCCTTCCAGCGGAGAGCCCCCAGCAAGAAGAATGCGGCCAGCAATTGGGACTGGGACTTCCAGCGGCCCCGTGTGATCCGGCCCCTGGCGGGGGCGCTCGAGGCGGACCTGAAGGAGCTGTACCGCATGGATCAACCAGAGGAGGCCCTGTTGCAGCTCTTCACAAGGTACGGTTTTGATTTTTATTTTTAGGAATCTGGTTTGAGGTTTCAAGGTGGGCCAAGTTTTGGTGCATCCGGCTGTGCAGGGTTGTCAAGAGGCGATGCAGTCAAGAAGAAAAGTCAGATGCTAACTCTACTTCAGGGGTTTGAGTTCGTGAAGCGCTTAACATGGTCCACTGCAAACCATCTCGTGTCTGGCTGACCGTCTGGGCGTTTGAGATCCGATCGCACAGGAGGGATATCTGGTTACAGGGATTGTCGTCAAGCCTAAGGAAGCCTGTTTGGAAGGAGCTCAAGCACGTTCTTTGGCCTCAGGCAAGGCAGACAAGTTCTCAGGTTTAAGAAGGCCGGCTGATTCGCGAGAGGCAGTTGGTATCCTGCTTCCAGAACGACGCTTGCCGTACTGTTGGATGGGCCTGCTCAAGGCTCGGCGCCCGGCAAATCATAGTCGTTTGTAAAAGAGTATTTGAACCTGTCCCACTGCTTACGTCGATTTCACAATCATGGCCGCCACCATATCGTGTTCCCGCTGCCACAGGTTCCAAAAGCTGAACGGATTTCTTTCCTTATTTGTAGGACCGCCTTTCTGATGCTCGAGAACCCGGCTGTCCCGCGCGACCGCGACGCCGACTTCAAGTCCGACGTGTACAAGATCCTCGCGCTCTGCTGCGCCAAGTACGACCACACGCTCCCCGTCACCACGACGCTCATCCACTCCCTCCTCAAGTACGAGCACTCCCCCGGCCCGCTCGCCGAAGTCGCCACTCTAGTTGCGACCAAGTACGATGACCCCCGGCTCGCAGCGGCGGTGCTCCGCGAAATCGGCCAGATGGACCCCCGCGAGCTGTTGCGCGACGTGGGCGGCGCGAAGAACGTCAGCGCGTTTCTAGTGGAGCTGGCGGAGCGGCTGCCGAAGATCGTGGCGCGGAACTTCAGTCTCGTGATGGTGCATATGAACGGGGAGCAGTACCATATGCGGAGCGCGCTGGTGATGGTTCTCGGGCGGATCGTTGCGAAGGCGTTCGACGAGAAGGAGGAGAACACGGCTGCGGAGCAGGCACGGCTCAAGTCCAAGCAGGCGTTGCTCGACGTTCTTCTGGAACGGGTGCGCGACGTCAACTCCTTCACGCGCACCCGCGTTCTGCAAGCGTGGTCGTACCTGTGCGAAGAGAACCAGGTGCACCTCGGGCTGTTCAACCGCGTGACCGAGATTGCGACCGGACGGCTCGAGGACAAAGCGTCCAACGTCCGAAAGGCGGCGCTTCAGCTGCTGTCGACGCTGATCGTGTGCAACCCGTTTGCGTCGGACTTGCGGGTCGCGCCGTACGAATCCACCCTCCGGACGTTCCAAGAAAAGTTGGACAAGGCCGAAGAGGACAACCGTCCGAGCGACGAGGAGCTGCTGGCCGCCGCGTTTGGTCCAGGCAGCGGCGGAATCCGGGCCGGAGAGCAAGCGGAACGGAACCCGGATACGGAAAACGGAACTGGGGAAGCGTCGGCCGACGAAGACGCGGTTGAAGACGGAACGAGAACGGATGCTCCTGCGGAACCAGACCTTGAGCCGGACCAGGAACCCAGTTCTCAGTCAACGCAGCCTGAGCCTGAATCCAACTCGCAATCCACGCAACCAGAGGCGGCAGGGTCTGAGCAGAATGCCGCGTCCCTAACCCGGCTTCGGGCAATGGTGGCCAGTCTGGACGCTGCTGTCAAGTTTACGAAGCAGTTAGCGAAAACCATGCCGGTTTTCGACAAGCTGCTGGCGTCGGCATCGGTCACTGACGTCACAGAGACGATCCAGTTTCTGGAGCTGGCCAAGAGCCGTAAGTGCGAGGACGTGGACGACCGGTTGCGGCTCATGCTGCCCCTGGTGAGGACGTGCGAATTTCCTGTCTTCAAAATCATAGAATGCGGACTGGGGTTCTGATTTGGCCTAGGAAAGGTCGCGGTAAGGTGGCCTGAGTAGGGCCGCCGCCCAGCGAAACTTCGAAACGCTGGGGGCTTGATCGTATGGGTTCTCTTCTCATCTGTGCCCTGAGCTTGCGAAATTGTTTCCTCGGATCGATGTGCCTAGGCCGCTTCCAGTACGTGCATGTTGCATGTCGACAAAGGCCATCCCTTCCACTTTTCATCGGACAGGCTATGGTACATCTAAGACTGGACTTGTGTTTGTAGCGCCCATTTTGTCCTGCAGGTGTTTTCGCAGAAGGTCAGCAGAAGACACGCCATCTTTGGCGCGCGCAGAAAGCCGTACGCCGAAGTTCCATACAAAAAAGGCCTTTTTCAAGCTTGCTCTGCTGGAAATCTCTATACTTGAGTCAGATTTAGAGTTTTGGGTTTTTTGCCAGATTTTCTGCCGGGAGGCCAGCGTGAGGGAGGCCGTCTCCGCCGCATGCGAGAAGCTGTACGTCAAAGTCTCGGAAGAAGGCACCGGGCAGCGCGGCCTGGCGGACCCCAAGCTGGCGGCCAAGAACCTGGTGGGCCTCACCATGGGCGCGTCCCTCGGAACGCTCGCGTCGCTCGAGGCGATCGTGGTGGACTTCATGCACCGGGAGCTGATCACACACGGCATGGTGAGCTTCAGGAAGAGCTTCTTTAGATTGGTGGCGATATCCTGCTTTTAGTGTTGGTCGAACGTTCCTTCTCGGAAAAGGGGGGTGCGTGTGCCCTCGCCCTTAACGACTTTCTGTGGACTTCCCAAGAAATCATGTAAGCACTGGTGCTCGTTTCGCCGCTGTGCCTTAGTCTGTAAAGGTCAACACCTTGTTTACCGTTTGAGAAGCAGGTAGGTATCTCTCCCTCCTTCCCCGGCTTCAAAATTCAACTGATATCCCTCTCCGTGCTGGGACTCCCTTGCGCTGCACTGGATCCACTTTTGTCATTCGTTGTTCAAGCATGGGTCACAACACACATTCACCCAAGGACAAGGTTCATTTCTCCCATGCTTAAGGCCCACCCTTCCATGAGCCTTCTCTCCTATACAAATCAAGTGTTCCGGATTCCATGATATGTGTCGATTCTCCCGTACATCTTCCTCTTAATCCTTTCTGTTCCGCCCCGTCTTTTTATACGAGCCTCCTTTTTCTTCTCCACAGGTGCGCGCGCTTTGGGACATTTTCGAGGGTCGCGGCGAGGCCATCACCCCCGCGCACAGCCGCGGCGCGCTCGCCGTCCTTACCATGGCCGCCAAGGGCAACCCTGACGTCATCACCTCTAAGCTCGACTCGCTCCTGCGGCACGGCCTCGGGCCGCGCGCCCAAAAGGACCCTCTCATGGCGCGCTACACGTGAGATCTTCTTCTCAGCTTAGCTGACAGGCGTGGTTTTGTATCAAGACAATTTTCCACTTCTTGAATTTACAGCATGATAGCCCTCGGATCAACTGCTTCTCAAACCACTCCGCTGCAAATGTCGTTTGGACTGACTGTACGTACTTAACGTTCTGCTGAGGGTGTTTTCGGAGAACGGAAGGTGTTAGGCGTCGCTTGTTCGCTCGTTTGAAAAGATTGATTCTTAAAGCATCCTCAAGTCTGCTCAATTTACTGCAACCTTCGGATGCGATGCAGGTGTGTCGCACTTCAAAGGATCGCCCTCGGTGGCGAGCGCGAGAAACTAGAGTCGCGAGATGCGGTCTTCGGCGCGCTGACGTGGCTGGTCAAAAGCGCCCCCCTGCCGGACGAAAGCTGGTACTCGGCGGCAGAGCAGGCGGTCGGAGCGATTTACGCTCTGCACCCGACGCCGGAGGTCGTGTGCGCAAGGCTGGTGAGAGAGATGGCGGGGGGGGCGTTTGGGCGGAGAAAGGACACCCCCGGAGAAAGCGGGGATGGTATTGGCGAGCGAGAGCAAGGGGAGAATGTTGGCGAAGGTGGGGAGAAAGAGGCGGGGATTGTTTCAGAGGGCGAAGGGGAGACTGTGAGTGGAGACGCCGAGAGAAGGCCAGAGGAAGTGAGCGCACAGACTGGAGAGGAGCAACGAACCGGGGAAGATGCGGACGGTCCGGCAGACGCGGTCGAAGGAGCGTCCGAAAGCGCTGACGTCACTGGGGCAGAGCAAGCGGCTTTGCCGGAGGTGGCAGGAGAAGCAGACGAACCGGACTACGGTGTGAATGCCCCCGCTGGAGGGGCTGCAGCAGCCAAACCCACAGCCAATGGAGCCAATTCACATCCGGCGGACGATGTGTTCGGGTGCTCGGTGGGTGCGCTGAGCAGGTTCCTGTTTGTGGTGGGACACGTGGCGCTCAAGCACCTGGTGTACGTGGAGAGCTGCGCGAGGGACGTGCGGAGACTGCGCGTGGATAAAGACAAGGAGGCGGCGCAGGCGGCAGCGGACCGAAGGGACGCGGAGCTGGCGGGGGTGGAGGTGACGCAGCAGACGCAGGAGAGCGCGGAAGAGACGGTGAGCTTGGCGTCTCGCTCTATATTCTTTCCTTTAAGTTTTGACGAAAGTAGACTCTTGCAGTTTTGATTGTGTTACCCTTCGGGGGACGAGCAAAGTCTGGGACATAGCAATGACGGTAACGCAGCAGACGCAGAGAGAAGCGACTGTAAGCATGGAGTCTTAAGTCTAATGTCCTGGAATTCTGGAGATTAGGCTGTTGCGTTCTGTTGCCTACACTTCCGGATGAGTCGGAGAGCTTCGGATGATGTAAAGAACGCAGGAGAGGGTAGATGAAACTGAACCTTTGACAGGCCGGCCTCTTTTTCCTATAGCTTTCCGTTCGTCAAATGATCGGCAGGTAGAAGTGAGGCTTAGGAATATGAAGGGACTGGAAAATTTCGGACATTATTGCTAAAGGAAAAGGAAAAATCCAATCCTGAAAGGCCGACGGTATAGCAGAAGAAGTTAACTTCGAACAAAGCCGTTTGACGTGCACATTATTGCTGACGTCACCCAGCGTCATCCCTGCAGGACAAAATCAACGAGGAGCTGGGCGTCGGTTCCGCTTCCGCAGACGCACACTTGGACTCGCTCTCCGAAGCGGCGGAGCGCGAGATCCTGTCGCCGCAGAACCTGGTGGGACACGTGGCGCCCGTCGTGGCCCGCATATGCCGCTCGTCGGCGCTCCTGCAGGAGCACCCGCTGCTGCGCTCGTCCGCGCTGCTCGCGCTCTGCAAGCTCATGGCCGTCGACGCACACTTCTGGTACGACTTTTACAACCAAAGTTTTGACTCTACAACCGCAACATTCTACTATGCTTTTATTTGTCTCGTCACTGTTTGGGACTTTGGGCTTCTTTTCCGGTCATTTCGCCGTCTGTAGAGCGCTTGATTTCCATGTTTCATCCTCTCTTGTTCCGAAGTACTTGCGCTCTCCAAATTCATGGCCGTCCGCGTAGCCTTCTGTTCCGGGATTTTGAGAAGGGGTTTTAGTGTCCTGGGGCTTCACCTCCCTTTTTCTTTCTTCTTGTGTTCTGCTGGAAGTTGATATTTTCCGTTATGCTCGTTTGGAAGTTTTGTAGGATGCGTGGCTATGGCTTCTATTGTTTCCTTCTTTGACTTTGCTTGGGCTCGTCAACGAAGCACGCTCTTTGAGACTTCTGGTATGGCTCTTGACCTCCCTTCTTCCTTCTCGTCACCGTTTGCGACAGTCGCTTTTTCCGGCTCGTTTTGGTTCGTGTAGGGGTGATACCTTCGTCTTGTCTCCTCCCTTGTCCGGCTTTTTGCACTCTGCAAGTCCACGGCCGTCGAGGCGAACTTCTGGTACGGCTCTACAGAGTACGTATCAAATCTGCTGTAAGGTAGGCTACCTCAATTCAGGTAGGCGTTTCGTTGTCTTTTTTGCACTTTCCGCCTTCCGCTGCCGTGTCGCTCCTGCTTAATAACACCTCTTTACCCTCCCTTGCAGCGAGGCCAATCTTCAGCTGCTATTTACACTGGTCCGCAACGCCCCCGAAGAAGCCGTCCGCTGCAACTGCGTCGTCTCTTTAGGCGACCTGGCTTTCCGTTTCCATTTCTTTGTCCGCTTCGGCTCATCACTTTCTCATGCGTATTCACACCTCTCTTACTCCCTACCGCAGCGAGGCCAATCTCCAGCTGCTGTTTACACTGGTCCGCAACGCCCCCGAGGAAGCCGTCCGATGCAGTCAGGTCATTCCGCCCGGTGACCTGGCGTTCCGTTTCCGTTTCTGCTTCCGCTCCCCGTTCCCCTGCTTACTCACACCTCTTTTACCCCCTACTGCAGCGAGGCCAATCTGCAGCTGCTCTTCACGCTGGTCCGCAACGCCCCCGAAGAAGCCGTCCGCTGCAACTGCGTCGTCGCTCTGGGCGACCTGGCGTTCCGGTTCCCCAACCTAGTTGAGCCGTGGACGGAACATGTGTACGCGCGCCTGCGCGACGAGTCGGTGCTCGTGCGGAAGAACACGGTCATGGTGCTCACGCATCTCATCTTGAACGACATGATGAAGGTGGGTTAGGGTTGAGTTTGAGCTGGGGTTATTTTAAGTTTCTGCGGCGTTATGGTCGTCAATACGTGCATCTGAGGATCGGTGCTCGTGCGTAAGAACACCGTTATGGTGCTCACGCATCTTATCCTTAACGACATGATGAAGGTGGGTTACTTTCTGGGTTTGTTGGGTTTCAGCTGGACTGGTAGGTTTGAAGGGCTGGTGGGTTCTGGCGGTTAGCGTGGGCCGACGCTGTATCCACTTTGAATTCGTCGATCTCGTGCCGCCGACAATGATGGTGCTCACACATCTCATTCTCAATGACCTGATGAATGTGGGTGAGGGTTTCCCTTCGGGCTCAGGTGATTTAAGTCTCTGCATTTCCGCAATATTCAGTAAGTCGTGCTCATTCACAGCACGGTGATTTTGCTCACGCATCTCATCTTCAACAACACGACATACAACATGTATCAGGTCTGGGCAGGGTAGCGGCACGCTTGCTTGCTTGCTTGGCTTTTTTGGACGAGTCTAATGCAACGGGTGGCTTTGCGTACTCTCAGCCATGACCGGGTCGGAATGCTTCAACTCCTTTCATGGTCACCCACTATCCACGCAGCGCTCACTTCTTGTAAGTAGTGAGTTACGTTAAGTACGTTGAAGACGACCAACGTGTGGTGACAGGGATCAGTGTTGACAGGTACTGGCGGTGTCACGGATCGTCGTCAGACAGACTTCTCCGTTTGAGAAGGCAAGTGGAAATAAGAAGAAACGCGTAAGAAAATTGAAGGAAGAAGATAAAGAGTTTCTCAACCACTGAAGTAGTTGCGCGAGCGTGCAGGTGAAGGGCCACATCAGCTCGATGGCCATGTGCTTGGAGGACGAGGACGAGCGCATCCGGGACCTCACCAAGCTCTTCTTCCATGAGCTCTCCAAAAAGGGTGAGAAACAACTTCTTGGCGAAGTTTCTTAGTCTCGCATCCAGAATGTACGGGCTGCTGTTTGGCTGTTTGGTTGCTCAGCGTCGTCCCGTCAACAAACTGATGGTTGTCAATGCAGCTGTTGACAAGAAAGCTCTCGCTTCAAACATCGGGCACGTGAATGCTTGTACGCTGCTCGCAAGCGTTTGCTCGATCGCTCAAGCTGCAGTCCCAGAAGAATCTGCCAGCCGCCTGTCTTGGCCCATAACCAGCTTATCTTTTTCCAGTCCCAGGCAACGAGTCAATGTTTCACGAACTGCTCTCCGACCTGAAAGAGGTTTGTATTGTGCTGTTCGAGTCACTCCACTCCCGCTCTTCCCCACTCATAGGACTCGGACTCTTTTCGTTCTATTCAGGCAACAACCCGATCTACAACCTGCTTCCCGACATGCTGAGCCGGCTGTCGGCCGATGCGAACGTTCCTCCTGAGAGCTTCCGCGCGATCCTGGAGTACATGCTGGGCTTCATCGAGAAGGACAAGCAGACGGAGGGCCTCATCGAGAAGCTCTGCAACCGCTTCCCCCAAACAACGGGTGAGAAACTTTGGGCGCTCACTTCCGTCTCGATCTTGAAAGCGGGCTCAATCCCACGGTATGACGGTACCTTGAAGTGCCTGAAACACTAGAAATCAGAAGGCTACACGTTACGTTTTGGGGATATAGGAGGAGCACCGAAGAGTACCGGCTCTTGAAACACAGGTAGCACTCGAGGCTTGAGAACGTTGATGATTCGTTTGTTTTGCACTTGAGCAACATTAAACCAGCAAAGTCCATCGGATGGCCCTGAAGAAGATGTATACAGGGGCAAGTGGAGTTCCTACTTCGACGTCATAGGATCACGAAGTCATAGGATCACGAAAGCGTCCAAAACTGTAACTGTCGCTTGCTTCGTTGTTTGCTTCAAAAGAACATGGACCAGCAGAAGTGGCGATTGGCGAATGCCGCTCAAATAATGGATAGATCACGCTCCCGCTCGACTGACGGCTCGAGGCCCCGTTTTTGCAGAGGTGAAGCAGTGGCGCGACATCGCGTACTGCCTGGCGCAGCTCAAGTTCACGGACCGGGGCCTCAAGAAGCTGGTGGAGCACTTCAAGAGCTACCAGGACACGCTCTTTGACGACGAGGTGGTGGAGCACTTCCGGACCATCATCTCCAAGGTGGGTTTTTTGTAATATGGCTTCAGTCTGATTGATACATGGGTTACCATGTAGAGTTGGGAAATGGAGCGCTTCGGTCAAGATTGCGAAAAAGCTGCGGTGTGAAAACCTGCGGTGTCTGAAGGAGATGCTCGAAGCGAGCACCATCATCTCCAAGGTGAGCGGCTCAAAACTTCCTATTCGCCATAGAATTCATCTTGATCAAGGAAAGAGCCACTTCAGAAGCACCGGCGCCAGTGAGGGCGCCAGTAACTTGACTTTCTTCCCAGTAACTTGAACGTTTCCATGGTAATGTCCTGAAGAGCTTACTTAATGGAGAATGGCAATGGAGTGCGTGCGGGCGGGGCCCAAAAGCGCCCTGGATTTCCTTCACGAATTCCAACACATCGAGCTTGTAATGGACGTGAGGCACAACGAACAGCGTGCAACTCCTGTTTCCAATTAACCTGAGAAAGAGCTGCAGGTCTGCTTCGTGTTTTCCAACAACTCTTCTTCCCTGCGGTTCGCTCAGCGATCGTACCAAACTGCGGGCCCCTCAAGGCGAGGCTATCGCATCTCTACGTCCGTTGCCGGCTAACCTGCACTGCGCGTGATGTCACGCTGACGTCATTCTCCCGCTCCCCTCCCCCCCGGCAGGCCAAGAAGTTCGCCAAGCCGGAGATGAAGGCGGCGGTGGACGAGTTCGAGAAGCAGCTCACGGCGACGCATGTCGAGAAGAAAGAGGACTGGACCACCGCGCAGAACGCCGCCCGGCGCGCGGCCAAAGGCGGCGGCGCGGCGACCGCCGGGGCGAGCCAGGAAGAGGGTGAGTGACTCAAACTCGGTTCGTGTTCATGGCGTGTTCAAGATGTATCTGCTTGCTTATCGGGGGATGCCATGAGCAAGGGAACATATCTCAGAATCTGGTTCTCATAGATTCGGCTGCATTGGGGCATTGGCTCGCTTATAGAGCGATGGTATCAGAAAGCGACATTCTTCAGAGTGGGTGACGGAAACCTCGGCTGGAGAAGTGATCGGAGCGATCGGAGTCCCGCATTGCTGAAACTTCAGCATACATTTGCTCAACGTGAGTAAATCCTTGTCACAACAGGGCGAATGAAGGCTGCTGTAATGGCCTTCGAAAGAGGAGGATTCTACGTCATAGAGTGTTTTTGGAGATGCAAGAAGTGGAACCTCCTCCAATTGAAAAGGCCAATGCTGCAAGGACCTGCTGACACAGTGTCTGCGCCCTCCAGGCGATGCCGATCAGTCCGCAGAGGCAGCTGGTGGCGACGAGGTTCCGGCGGAAGAGCAGACCGCAGACGCACCGGAAGCGGATCTTCCAGCAAGCGAAGAAGATGACGCTTTGGAGGAGGCCACGGAGCCGGAGGGACAAAAAGCAAAAGGGCGCCGAAAAGCGGCCGGCAACGGAAAACGGGCGGCGAAGAAGGTCGATTCGGCGTCTGAGGAGGAAGACGAGAGCGAGATTGAGGACGGGGGAAGCGAGGATGAAATTGAAGGTCAGGACGATGAAAGCGGGCCGGAAATGGCTGCGGGGTCGCCCTCCGAAACTGGGGCTAAGCGGGGAAAGGAACGGAAAAAGGCGACCAGGAGAAAGGTGGTGGAGTCGGAGGATGAGGACAGCGGCCTCGGGAGCGAGAGCGAGGAGGAGGGCGAGGGTTCGATTTCGAACGGCACGAAGGCCGGAGGAAGGGGTGAGGGGAAGATCGCATCGAACGGAAAGAGCAGCCGGGGTCGAAGGAGCGCGGTGCGAGCGGGTGAGGAGAGTGCGGAGGATGAGGAAGGGTTCGACGAGAAAGGGGGGGAGGAAATGAGTGACGGGGAAGGGGGGGAGGAAATGGGTGACGGGAGGGGGGGGGAGGAAATGGTTGGCAGAGAAGGGGGGGAGGAAATTGGTGACGGGGAAGGGGGGGAGGAAATGGGTGGCGAGACAGGAGGGGAGGAAATGAGTGATGAGGAAAATGAGGTTTCTGAAGATGAGGCGAAGAGCGAAGACGAAAAAGACACGAAAGCGGAAAAAGAGGGCGACCAGACTGCGTTTGAGACGCAGAAAGCGGTCGCCAATTCGAGCAAGAGCCACGTTCGGAACAGCAGCGGACTGGCGGAGAAGCCAGTAAAAGAAGAAGCGTTGGGGCGGGGGGTTGGTGTGAATAAGCAATCTGGGGCTGGTGTCAATAGGCGTTCAGCGGCTGGTGTGAATAGGCCGTCTGTGAAAAGTGAGCCGGAGGAAGAGGACGAGACGGGCGATGAGAATACGTCCCCTCCGAACGCGGGAAAAGGCGCCCGCAAAGAGGGCTCAAAGGCAGCGAAGGCTGCGGCTGCGCACGTGAGCTGAACTTTTTTGCACGTGCACTGTCACTGTTGAGTTTCTGAAGAGCCGGAAGCTCCTGGTTGCCTTCTCCACGTTGCTGCAGACTATCCGTTTGCTTTTTCTGCTCATCTGGTGTCTACCCTTCATCCCACGGTTGGGATGCGTCCAAATATTGTGCTACTTTGTTTCGAGCAAAAGTTCCGGCTATGTTGGATTGTCTCACCGTCGTTCGAGCATCTGGAAATTGTTGCATTCCCGTGCTGCACCCTCCTTCAAAATCGCTCCTTCTTGCCTGTCCCCTTCATGTCAAGCAAAGCCAGTTGGTTGCCCATTATCGCTAGCCCAAGTAAATTCGCTGTCTGCCACGGGCACTGCAAGTAGAGCAAGCGACTCAAACTCACACAGAGTCTATCTTACCCAAAGCTCCTCCTATTTGCGCTGTGAAATGCTGCGCGCATGACGATTCAAATTCTGGTCCCGAAAGTAAAGGATTTTGCCTTACAAGGTCCAAGGAATTCTGAGTGTCCGCTGAGAGTTCGAGGTATGCTGTTGACCCACAGCCGTTCTCATCTAGTCTTATTTCTGGTCTTCTGAAAAAAACCATCTCAAGCAAAAACAAAAATAACTAATATACAATAGATAAAGTTTTTAATAAATAGACTATTTCGACCTGCAGCGCCGGCGGCGCGCGATCCTGGACAGCGACTCGGAGGATGACACTGAGGAAGAGTCCGACGACGAGTGCGAATCAAGCCCCAAGCGTGGGGCCCCTGCGCGGCAGTCCAAGCGCTTCTCACAGTCGTCCGAGAACGAGAGGTGAGGGCCTGCCGTAAACTCACTTCTTGATTGTGATTTCCACGTTTCCCGTTGGGGTTCCCAAGCGGTAAAAGATGCTTCGGAGGATGCACATGGCTCGGGAGATAGCAGCGGTCGGAAAAAGAAACGTTTTGATGCCCCGTTACGAGCGTGTGGTGATTTCTTGTGAACATTCCTGTTATCAATTCCAATTGCCACACCGGGAGCAATTGCTTCAGCATTGGATCTGGCACATCGCAGACTCGTGACAGCGTGCCTCTGACAGGTCTCTTCTTCTTGCAGAAGACCACTTCAGCCCCTTCGGTGATGGGGAAATACATGAAGGATGGCTGTTCTGAGGCGGATCTGCGTTCAGCCTCGCCAGGACGGGTTGCACGATACGCCTTTTTGCTGTTCCACCTAAATCTATTAGGCTTTCACAATTCTCTGTAACGCTGTTTCTAGAAGTAGGTCTTACCGGGTCCTTGCTCTTTCGAGTGTTCGGGCCAGATGCACTCTCGTCATCATGACTGTGCGAGAACATCTAACTGTCAGGCAGTGGCGCCAAACACTGCCAAATCCTGAGAAAAGATCAGCATTTGGAAAGTCCTGCTCTGCATGTGAACGGGCTGTCCAGTTGATTGACATGGTCAAGCATGTGCTGGCACATGCGATGGCAAGTGCTGCACATGAGCACGCGTTTGTAACCATCAAGGCAGTTGACTCAAGACCATGCATCCTCCAAGTCTGAATCACAGACGCAGAGATCCGAAATCGCAGGCCACTGCGCTTGCCATGAGCTATCCAGCGCCTCTGTAACCTTTGCCAGCCATAGTCGTTCACTGATATGTATATACCATGGTCGGATCACAGCTGATATACAATCAAGATCCACATAAACGCGCGAGCTGCAGTTGAAGCAGGCCCGGCCGGAACGATCATGTTTACTAGATGCACCATGTAAGCTGCGCGCACTAACGCATGGCTTTTGCTAGCTCATGCTATTGGACCCCGGCAACTCTTCGCATGAGCTGCATTGTATTAGCATTGTTTACGGATGTGGGCCAAGCTGCCTGCCTCAATGCGTGCACAGGAAAATAAACCTAACCCCAGCATATTGTAAGTGCGTGACGCAACAGTCACGTCACATTGGCGGCCTTGCGAAATTCTAGCATCAAGTGTACTTGTCGACAGCCGCATCGAGCTCAAGGTTTCCTCCCAAGTTGAGCTATCTGTACGGTCAACCTCCACTTCACGGATCTACCTGCGGGAGATCTTCGCTTTCGGCATCATCTTTGCGATCTCCTTTTTCCTTCGCTTCTCCTCTTCCCTGCATGTTCGAAACGGAGGGCTTTCAGGATGCTTAAACCTCTCCCTTTCAAGACGTTGCAGAAAGGTCTCGCGTGTATCGAGGTACTTTCACAGCAAAGTCTCTTAACTTCGAAAAATTAGTAGACCTTTTAGGTGAGATCCGGCCATATTTCTAAACCGGACCTGCTGTGGAAATCTCTTTGCATCATCTGCGTCAAAGTCAACCTAAGATCAACCTCCACTATGCAATACAAGGCCTTCATGACAACAACCTCACCCTCTCACGAACTTAACTTAAGAATCCTAACGAGAGGGATCCCCCCCACCTGCGCTGCTGCTCGCGCGACAGCCCCGCGAGCGCCTCGTCCTCCGCGGCCTTCTTCTCGGCCTTTTTCTTGGCCAGCAGCTCCGCCTGCTTGCGCATCTTCTCCTTGTGGTCCTCCTCCACCGTCTTGCTGCGCCGCTCCTCGGCCTTGGCGCGTTGCTGAAGAATCAAAATGAAGGCAGAAGTTTAGACATAAGACTAAGAGGACACAGTAAGAGCGAAAACAATGCATAACAGACTTTTCATCTCATGACTGGATTTGATCGGATCACTCGATCACTCGATCCCGAAAGCGACCCCTTGATGAAGCGAAAAGTCGGTCATGCGGTCTGATTTCAAGTCGACTCTTGCTCCATCCTCTGGCTAGGCCGCTTCTTCGCCTTCGCCCGTTGCTGTCGTTGAGAAATACGACCATGAGTGCTATCGGCAGCAAGCTCTGACGGAGCAATGAGAAAGTGGATAAACAAGTTGGTCAGCCAAAACTACGCCCTCGAAGTCCCATTCGATGGATAAGGATTTGAACAGAGCAACCCTCTGCTCGGTGAGAACAAAGATGGAGTATCGTCTCAGTTGGGTCGTTAGGCGCAGCCTTCGATGAGAACGATGTATGGAGGTTACGGGATTTCGGTTGGGGTCAGTACGAGAAAAACAATCTGTCTCACCTAGGGAGAGAGGCGCAGCCTACCAGTGAGGACGATATAGAATGGACCCCGCGATTGATTACAAGTGTTTAGATCATCTCAAAACAAAGTTCCAGGGAAAGAACGGGAAGGCAATTGAAAGCCGGGGCAGAGTAGCTGCAAAACTTAGGAAAAGCCAAATATGTAAGCCCCACCTGGGGCGTCAAGCGCAGCCTTCCAACGAGGTCGATGTAGAAGGGAATCATCGCAACGAGGCGCGTGAGGTCCTCCATCTTATCGGCGGGCGGCAGGTTGAACACGAAGCTGAGCGCCTTCTTCCAAGGCGGCGGCGCATTGTCGGTGAAGTGCATTGACACGAAGTAGCGGCCGTGCGTCGCAAAAGCTTTGTCGCCGAGGGCCTGCGGTAACGGTGAGATTCTTAAATCGTGCTCTTCTGTTTTCTTTCTTTGAAGACATAGTGGTTACATCGAGGAGATCCAGGGACGTGATGTGCAGAGTGTCTGACATGCCAAAGTTTGACAGCTCGAGTTGGATATGAGCTTTGTCAAAAGTGCAGCTTGTGACGGGAACACAGACATGCTCATGGGCAATATCTTCCAGGGGTACAAACGCCAATAATGTCCCTTGTGAGCATGTTGGCAACTCCTTAGCATCGCAATCCTATCAAGCAGCCCGCAGAAGGCCGCTCGCACTGAGTCCAACTTCAAATGCGACCTCAGACAATTTAAGTAACATAAAGTGGAGTAAAGAAACGAAGGCGGAGGCAAGGAGAGCCAGGATGACGACGATCCGACGTCTGAACTTGAAGCATATCACTAGCCGAGAAACCCGCCGAATCGACGCGATAGAATCTAAAAGAGCACAAGAGACAACGAAAGCGAGAACAGAAAACGATAAGAACCACCGTCATGAGTACCATAACCGGTGTCAGCTAGGCACACACTCACTCAGCAAACAGGTCCCTATTCTTCGTAAAAAGATTGACACCGAAAACTGCTTGAACAATATCAACGTGACGCTCTCTTAGTATCGGGAACATAGAGAGAACGGACGAGCGTAGAATTGCTACCAGATCCAGCACCACAAGGGCAGCAGATGCGCGACCATACGCTTGCTCTCCGCATTTGAGGTGAGGACGAGCACGAGCCGTTCAGAGCCACAGAAAATGAAACAGAATCAGAAAAGAACAGGACCTCCAAAATCACAAACATGTTCTCGTACCCGATCCAGCGCCACCTTGGGCAACAGGCCCGCAATCCAGGACCTTGCTTTCCGCATGTACGGTAGGGACAGAAAACGAACCGTTCAGTAACAAATACTGAATTTTGAGATGACTAAACCTTCAAAACACGAATACTTTTTCGTACCTGATCCAGCACCACCTCGGGCAGCAGATCCCCGATCAGGTCCTTGCTCTCCGCAATAATGGTCAGCTCTTCTGCGAGGCGCTTCGGGCGCGGCGCGTCCACGATCGCGGCAAACTCCCGGAGGTCCTTCTCGTTCTTGACCATCACTTTCGCGGTGCGCTTGCGCGCCAGCGCGAAGATGAACGGCTCCATGTCCTCCTCGTTCATGTACACCTCAAACCTGGGTTTGGAAGATCCGGGTTAAGGGATTCATGGGGTTAAGAATCTTCAGTTCTGATCTTTGGGTGCTGCCTTTCCAAAGTAAAATGCTCTATGTTTGGCATCAGCTTGTATGTGCGCTTGCGACCCAGCCCAAAGATGAATGGCTCCATGTCACCATTATTCATGCACACCTCGAACCTGGGTTTAAAGGTTTAAAGGTTTAGCGGTTTGAGACTTTGGGGTCTGGATGTTCGTGATTTGAGCAGGTGCGGTTTGGAACGTTTGAACGACTTGGCTTTCACATCATCTCGTCCTTTGTCTGAGCATCGACTTCCATGACAGCCGTGGTCCGAGCAAGAGAGTGCAGCTCGAAAGCAGTACTTACCGGATGCGGTCAGCCGCGGGCTGCACAGCCGAGATGGCGCTCATGACGAGGTCCTGGCGTGCGCGCAGCTGCATGGTGGCGAGCAGCGAGTGGCAGAAGCGCCGGCCCGACGCGTAGAACTTGAATGTTGCCTGGCCCTCCTTAGTCATGAGCGCGCGGTCGCCCTCGCTCGCGGTGCCCACGCCGAGCAAAGTAAAGTTCTTATGGAAAATCTTGCCTGCAGAAATCGGGTTATAGTTCCGTCAATAGGTCGGGAGGCTGGCGACCGGGGGCGTTACAGCTCCAGAAGCCTGAAAAGGGGGTCATGAGGCTGGCAATGCCGACACCAAGCAAACTGAAATTCTCGTGGAAGATCTTGCCTGCAGAAATAGGAGTGTCACCAAGTCGGGAGAGGGACGAATCGGGGTGCGGTTAAAACCCAAAACTCTGTAAAGGTGGTGGTTATGAGTGCCCGATCGCCCTTGCTGGCAGTGCTCTCTTCGAGCAGGGCTGAAGTTCGTATGGAAGATCTTGCCTGCACAGAAGGGTGTTTGCCAGAATTCTGCCAGGTGTCGGACCAGGACGCTTCGGGGCTAAGCGGGATGAAGGACACGCCCAGCAGGCTTCTTACGTTCTTACGGAACACAAAGGAAGGTGTGGGGCGCGAAGTTGAAATGAAGAGTTAAGAACCGGTAACATGTAACCAGATAGCGAGCTACAGTTGTCTTGAGACACTCTGGCTCCGAGGGGAAAGTGGTATAGTGAGAAGTTGGCGCATGGGCGGAGGGTTAGAGCGGAGGGTTTCTTAGAACCGACACGCCGGGCTAAGGTTGGAAAAGTTGGAACGGGAAGCTTGGGCAATACATAGGAGTCGTATTGAAAGCCTTGTTTGTTTGCCGAACAGTGAACGAGAGTGAGACTACTGAAACCGGCCGAGTGCTTTCCAGTAACTAAGCACATCGAGATTGCCCAAAACTTTTACCACAGAAGTGCAAGAATCCAAGAAGTTTTCTCGTTCCTTATAGAGATAAGGAAGAGCTTCAGTCCCTTGCACCGCAGCCACGCACCTGGGTCCGCAAACTCGGCCGCAAAATCGCGAGCAAACTTCTCGTTGCGCTTTCCCCCCAGGTAATAGTTTGCCAGGTAGCCTAGCAGCAGCACAACCCCCACCGCCTCGTAATAATACGTTTTAGGGCCGGAAGAGGACGTAACGGGGGCCGTTTTTTGCTTTTTAGGAGTCCCCTTGGACTGGCCGGAGGGTTTTGTGACCGGCTGCGCATTCTCCATTGCTTCAACACCTTCAAATTCGTCCTGCAAAAAAGGAGTCGGTGTCAGGGTGCAAACAGAGCCCGCGAAGCTGGTGACCTTGACACTGACGAATGAGAGACAGTGCTCGGCTTTCATTGATGTCAAGCTGTAGTTATGGCTCCCAAGCCGGCAGCTTTGATACGGAACATCTGGGGTGACGGAGTGATGCGATCGAAGCATGAAGTTTTGCATCGTAAAGAGTGAGAGGCTTGTGACTCCTGAAGCTTAAGAAAGGGCTCGACTCTGACACGAGCAATCAGATTCGAATGCAGTGGCGTAAGGTACGAAACTTGTCTAGAGAATATCACTGGGTGCCGCTTAAGTGGTGGCGCCACGTACTTAACCATGTCCACATTCCACGGGGGCGGTTGCGAGAATGCCGGAAGCAATTGGAAATTGACTTGTCCGAGTAATGCATGGTGAATGAATCAACATAAGCTTGGCCATCTAAATCCAGGGTAAACATAGCTCCTTTCCGTTAAGTTAGAGGTGCGGTCCAACATCAGAACTTCTCATTCCTTTGACTCTGAATGTACACTAATGGGAATTCAGATCGGAATGGCCAGAGCAACCAAAGTGGATTCAGCGGATCCCGCATTCTGATTGAGCCGAGTATGTTAAAAAGAGGGCGCTTGACGTATAAAACCAAAGCCACAAGGAAATTACCTCATCCCACTCATCCTGCCTCCTCTTGGCCCCTGCCGCCTTAATCGTCATGTCAGATCCGACTTGCAAATCCTCGTCACCATCATCATCCCCCTCCTCTTCCGACCCCTGTATAGAGCCCCTGCTCGCCTGATACCCTTGTTGTATATGCGGCTTTGGAGCGACGACAGCTGGGGCGGGCTCATCGTCCTCCTCCCACTCATCCCCAAACCCTTCCAGCTCAGCAGCGCGCACGGTTTTCATCCCCAGGCTCAGCTCGAATACCTGGCCGCAGAGAGCCAGGAGTGCGAGCACCGCCAGCCACCATGTCCAATGAAAGCGCTGCAGGCGCAGGGCCTTCATGAAGGGGCGCAGCATCGTGATGGCGTTCTGCAGGGCCCACCAAGTGGCGCGCCAGATTGCGCCCTTTCAGCTTCACGATTAAGGTGCTGTGCTGGGAAAGTGTGTCGCCTTGTTCGTCAGGACCTTCGTGTTTTTCTCGTTCAAATTTACTCACTGTGTACCCTGAGCATATATGCCCAATAAACAGTCCTCCTATGAGTCGAACGGCTTCGAATATATGGATCAAACTTGATCCTGAAAGTTGTCTTGGCTCCTTGCAGTTTGAAGTAGACCTAGAAAGTGTAACTGGATAACAGAGGCCTAGGATCCTACTGCATATTCAACTTCAAACATGTGCCTATTATAGAGACGATCCTTTACAATATATTTTTTATGCTGCTCTTGAATGCTGAACTCCATTTGTGAAGGACCAGAGGGACCAGAGCTGCATTCATTCGCAGGGAGTTGAGGAGCAGGAGAGGCGCTAGTAGGTATAGGAAGTGCAATGCGATTGATGGTTGCCTAACTTTGCCCTGACATCTGGTTCTTTCTCAGGATCTTCCCTGGAGGAGCCATGGACGAGCCCGATGAAGTCGATTACGGCGACAGCGATGATGATTTTGCAGACCTGGAAGTGGACTTGGACGACGGGCGAGATGCCTTGCCGCAGCAAGAGGCCGCCTGCGAGCCAATTGACACCGAAGCGGGCCTTCTCTGCTCTGACAAAGAGGAGGGAGAAGCCACTCCCAAAGCGAATCCTCTGGTTGCAGACACGGGAGCATCCTCTGAGCTCGAGGATGGGGAGTTCATCATGGACTCAGAGCCAATGGTGATTGCTGCAACTTTGCTCTTGAGTATGCTCCGCTCTATTGCATTAGTAGAAGGAGTTTCAGTGGTGAACATGTATGAAATAGGAAGGGGTTTAGACATCAAAATGAGTCGTTTGACGAAACCTCTGGTCTCATCAAGGGGCCTAGCAGAGAGAACAGCATTCCAAGTTCAGACCTCTTCATTCCCGCTCTTTGTCAACAAAGACAGTTCCAAAATTCTGAATCATGTAGACTTCCAAGAAGGGTTTGCAGCAACTCCGAAGTTGCTCATCCAAGTTCCAATGACAACCACCTGTCAAGTCTCGCGCTCAAAGTTAGGGACTGTGCTAGTTCACCAGATCCCTCTCAAGCATCCAGGGCAAGGACATTCCTCTAATGCAGAAAATTACCTTAGACCGCCAGTCAACGGGAGTAGATTTGCAATGTTCCTGCAAAAGAACGTGCTCTGCATTTTCTCAATGTGGAGCTCTGCCAGGGCTTCTGAGGGAGACCAATTTCAAGAGCCCTGCACCTGTTGATGAGAGGAGTAGTTTGAGTAGCAGGGTTGGATGTGACTTGCAGTCTGCTTGATCGCTTAAAACCGGTCTCTGTTTCTTGACGTTGTTCCACAGAGATGGCTCTTCTCTGACAGCACGTAGCTTTATGATTCTCAGGATGCTTGCAAGGAGTTGCATGCTTTTGGTTGAAAGCATACAGGAACAAACAGGGAGGGGCTAGAGTCAACTCTAGCTAGCTGAACAACTGTCTACTTCATTTGAGCAATCCTGGGTGGTTCCATGCTTCAGCGAGCGGAAGGGAAGGGTGGCAAGACTTTATGAACGGAGCAGATATCCTTCTCAAATTCGTTCGACTAGACGGACTTGAGGTTTCCACGGGTGCCTGATGCTCTCTGGTGCCAAAACGGACAACCTCTGCAAATTCTCTTGAGGTTGATCAAAGTAAGCTGTCAGTCTGCTCAACCTGTTCAAATAGAATGAGGAAACAGGTGCCGCCGCTTGCTTCTCACACCTTGCATTGCGGTGGATACGACAGCAGCTTGAAGAGACGGCGTCCGTTCATGAAGCTGCGTCAAAGAGGCAGCCGGACTTTGAAGATGGCTACTCTGAGGACGAGGAAGGAAGGCGAAGAGGAGAGCAGCACAGACATCGGCGTAGTCCGGGAGTAGAGCCAGGTCGGGCTGTTTCACACCGCAACAAGCACCTGGATCGAGCGCATGACACTCTTCAAAGGAGCAGGGAAAGGGAGAGGGATCGAAGAGATGAAGCAAGGGGCAGTGTGGTGCCGCCAGTGCGAGGTTCAGAACGTCACCCGATCCCGAACCAAGGGTAAGTGAAGGCCTGTCCACCATTGTTTGGTCACGCCAGCGCAGGCATTCCTTTGACAGCAGTCTCTGATTGTTGGAGGTTGTGTGAGTCTGCAGCAATCATCATCCCGTGTTGTTGACGCTTACTATCTTTGTGGTGCAGGTTCAGGAATGGCTATTCTGATGTGCACTCCCTTGTCCGTGTTGGTAAGCTCCTGTACATCAAAGTGCTACTAACGTGGCGAAGGCTTTTAGAGGATGTGCATAAGGAGTCTGATTGCATTCCTTCTTCAGACCTTGATCATTTCGAACAATTCAAACCTGCCTCAAACAAGCGATTGCAACTTGCAGATTGTCAGAATTGCTATCATATCTGCATGTGGAATGCACTAACATTTGGGAAGTAGGCTAGTCAGAATGTTGAAAAAGAGCGGTTCAGGAAATGCATCATCCAAGTAGAAGCTGTACAAGCTTGCTCTTGAACAATCAAAGTGGTCTGTGGACCCTTGCACAATCACAACCTTCGCACGCCTTAACGAGATGCTGTTACCCTATTAGTCTTTGACCAACTTCTTTAAGTATTCACTGCATTCATTGTTTGTGATGGCATCTTGTGTTTTGCAGGCTCTTACCCTCCTTCGCATCTGGCCCCCCCCCGCCAGATGCTTGATTCAGAACTGGCTAGGCGTCAGCCGCATCCCCATGCAAGCGGACCAGGGGTCCCTTTGCGGCCAACGTTTGGCCCTCCACTGGAGATTCGTGCTGGAAGCAGCCTGGCGGTGCAAAGCGTGCGCTCAGGGCAAGGCAACTCCCAAGTCCATGTGAGTTGCAACAATGAGCAGGTCAAGAACGGAGCGAGTGCAGATGTTTACAGACAGCTTGGATCCTGCTGCTGTTCATGCTTCGTTCGAGATGGTCAAGTTAATTTTGATGGGACTGGAAACTGGTAGCAAAGGTCCTTCCCTGCTTCCTTGGTCTTTGGACAATTCGGTCGCCCTTATCCCTTGATTGTTTCCCTTTAACTTGCACAACGATCCTGTTTCATTTCTTGATATCCTGTTTCATTCTTCAATATGCAAGAGCCAATCCTGGAATCTCGTAAAGAGAAAAGCAAAGATCACTGACATGCCCTCCACCTCAGTCTCATGACAAGGGCCAGCAGAACATTTCAGGCAACATGCTTTCATTCTTCTCATCGCAACTTCTGCAAGGCCCCCCCTAGCAATCGGCTGGTTCTCTTTTCTTATCTCGTTTTCATTCCCGACAGATTGTGTACCAACTCTCTGCTGAGCGCCAGCCGCATCTCCATCCAGCGCCCCATGTGCTCCCCCAACCACCGCTGCGCCCGCCCATCCTCAGCCATGCCACTTTCGACTTGCGGCCCCCTTTTGGCGGCCCACCTCTCCTTCCGGCCGGGCTGCACCCGCTTCCAGTAATGGCTGCGGGGACTGGTGCGAATGCGCACCGGGTCCCGCTTGTCGCTAACGGGCCTTTCCGCCAAGGCGGCAGACCGTCGAACGCTCCTCCCGGCAGGGATCCGCCTCCCCCCCATTCGAGGAATGAGCATCTGCACAGGGGACATTCGAACAGCCCGGGGGGTGAATTTGCGAGGGGAAGTCGGGCCCCCAAGGACGTTCCCCGGGGGGGCAGCGGGAGGATGGAGTCTGTGAGGGCGCAGCTGGAGGACCAGGGGAACCTGCGGGGGGATCCCCCCAGGGTCAGGTTGAACGGACACAGAAGCGCCGTTGCGCCCCCGCCGCCGCCGCCGCCTCCAAGGCGTGCAGATGAGCGGCCGCTGACGTCACGAAGCCCGCCAGCTCCTGCCAGGCGGGCAGATGAGCGGGCGCTGACGACACGCAGCCCACCAGCTCCTGCCAGGCGCACGGATGAGCGGCCGCTGACGTCACGGAGCCCGCCGCCTCCTGCCAGGCGCACGGATGAGCGGGCGCTGACGTCACGGAGCCCGCCAGCTCCTGCCAGGCGTGCAGATGAGCGTGCGCTGACGTCACGGAGCCCGCCAGCTCCGGCAAGGCGCGCAGATGAGCGGATGGTGACGTCACGGAGCCCGCCGGCAGATGCCAACGGGAGGGGGGAGGCGAAGCAGCGGCCGAATGTCTCACCGGAGCGAACGAAGGAGGTTAAGCGGCAGAAGAGTGAGGGTGCGGCGGATGATATTAGCAAGGAGAGGGTCACGGGGTGGTCCGAGGACAGAAGTTTCCGGGGGAATAAGGGAAGGTCTCCTGGGAAGAGTGAAAGCGAAGGGAGGGAGAGCGGGGGTTCGAGCAAGCGGGAAACGAGCGCCGACAGGGTGCAGGACTTCCAGCGAAGCCCTGCGGTCGGTAAGAATGTTGACATTGAGAAGCAGCCCAGGACCTCTGATGGGGACCGGAAGCTGACGGAGAAAAAGGAGGAAGGCTTGAGTAACGATCGAAGGGGTAGCGAGGACCGCAGAACTTCGTCGGTCAGGGCAGAAGCGAACGGGGAGGCGGACAAGAAGGTCTCGGGTCGAGATAGCTCGGAACCGCACAGGAGCGCTTCTCGCAGTTCCCACGAGTTGCGGAGGTCTGAAGAGGGCGACCGGTCGACCAAGAGAAAGAGAGAGGACGACGCCAGGGGTTCGGAGGAGAGGGAGAAGGAAGCGAGGGAGAAGGAGATGAGACACCGGGCGCTCCAGATTCTGGAGGCGGGCCGGCACAAGAAGCGGAAGGAGAGGGAAGAGCAGCGGAGAAACGACCCCGGGGGGCATGAACCGGGCACGTCGGGGCGCGAGGGTCATCGGTCGGGTTTGCAGGGGGTGAGGAAGGACGGGAGGGACAAGAAAGCCCAGCGAAACTATCGGCGCCCCTCGGAGTTCGATGACAACGACGAGCGGTCTAGGAGTCGGAGCCAGGGGAGGGGCGATAGTTCCGAAGAGCCTCGACGGAGGAGCGCGGATTTATGGGACAAGCGCCCGCTGCCAGAGCCGAATGGAGTGGGAAGAACCGGGCGGGGCGGCCATCCAGTTCGGTTGGACGAAAAGGGCGATAGTTTCGAGCGTTCTCGGGGGGGTTTGTGGGCTGACAGGGGCAACAAGCTCGGAGACGGGCACACACAGCCAAACTCTCGACGGGTGGTCGTTGGGCTTGGTGCGATCGAACGAAGGCCGGACCTGCCGAGGTTTTCCGACCGGGACAGGGACTTCAGTTCGAGCAGAAACGCAGCACGCGAGTCTCCCGGGCCGCCGGGGTTTGAGAACAGGGCCCCGGCGCCAAGGCCCCGTTTTGGGGGTAATCCGGAGACTTGGGTGGGGCGGCTTGGAGACCCCGACCGCGCTGATGGGCTGCAAAGGAGCGGAAGCGGGCCAGTCGTCAGCATTGGGGCGAGGCAGCCTTCCAAGTAAGTTCTGGCTTCTGAGTGCCAAGTTTGTGGTAATATCGTCGGCTGGAAGTCAGACTTCTGTGCTGTGTTGCAGCGTCTTGTGCAGAATCGGGGCGAGGGGCTTTGAAGCGTGATATTGTACCGAGGGGGTTTTGCAGCGCGATCGTTGTACGCAAGTCTGAGGTGCTTGTGTCGCCAAGTTGGCCGATATGTCAGCCGTTCAATCATCGAGCAAGTTATCACTGCACGCACGAGCTTTCTTCTATCTACTTGTCCGATAGAATTTCTTTGAAAGTAGAGTCTGTGTATATCCAGCGTCAGTATGCAACTGTGTTGACGTGCCATAGCTCCTCGTTTTAAACTACAAAACTTTCAAAGACCTCAAACTCGTCTCGATTCCCACTGTTATGTCCCGTGCAGAACGCTTGCTGTGAATAATTTGCCGGAGAACATCAAGTCAGGGCGCATTCTGGACATCTTCAACAAGTACGGGCCAGTGCAGGTAAGGCGCTGCCAACGCCTTTTCAAACAGTCGCAGGCACCTTTCAACCGTCTCGGAGAAATAGGCAGATGACTGCGTGGGACCATCTTTGGTGGGCGTGGATTGCTCTGTGTGATCGGAGCGAAGGTGCTTGCAATGGGTCGGGAAGAACGTTCTTTGATCCACGGGATCTTGTGGTTTGCTTCGGAAAAAATGCCCCGAGTTAGATCCCCGAACTGTGAGGCTGCCTCAACCCGCATTTTCCAATCAATGCACGTCAGCTGCGTCTTCTGAATCCACCGCATTCTTATCATCTGCAGCTAGTGCGGCAGACAGGGAAATCATCGGTCGAGGTCACTTTTCGAAGAGAAGAAGAGGCGAAGGCTGCACGCGCAAATGTCCACAGGTAAGTGTGAAAATTCCACGTCTAATTCCGCTTGCTTGATTTCGACATAAATCTGACAAGAAGACTTTCCTTGGAAACCGTCAGATAGTACTACCTTCCAAAGTCGGCGTCTCCCTGTTGTTGATGGTCCTGTCTTCCAATCACTCGGTGCAAGTCTTTTCAGGTGTGTTGACTTGTGACGATTTTTGTTTTTCGTGACCAATTTTGTTCTTCTTTCCAGGATGATCAAGTTGGAGGGCAAGGAGGTACTGGTAGAGTACAAGGCACCAGTCTCCGCATAGCATGTTCTGGGCTAGAACCTGACGTTATTGTCACGTCAGGACTGTCGTAATCGAGCAGCTGATTTTCCCACGCTTTCAATCAAAGCAGGTTTCTCTGACGTGGATCTGAACAGTGATCACAACAAAATTCATTGCGGGTTTGCCAGCATCACCCGAGTCGCTTTCGTTGCTAGCCAACTCTGAAACCATGGACACACACGTGCAGTGCATGTACATTTGCCCATCAGTGAGTCTTGCTGTTCATTAGTTTGTATGCAAAAGTTCCTAAATATATGGCCTCGCGCGCGGCATCCTCACTGAAGGCCTGCATGCCCTTCCAGAGTGCTTTGTCCTTATTGATGATTCTATGAACAGAAAATTCCCATATGAGCTGTGTGCATGACCGTCGATCTGGGTCCGGCCATGTGCAGTGGCTAGGTTCAATGACACATACGTGGGCGCTGGGCCCGGCGTTATGTACGAACTAGAGGTAACGCGCGTTGGCTTGCGCAACATTTACCTACATTTGTTAGAGGCTGCCACATATATACATAATAGCCTAGCTACGTCCCGGCCAGCTGGCAAGCCTTATGATCATACATGACAAACATAAATATCACATGTTGCATGGGCTCATGTAACCTGGCGTGGCATGCAGCGATTGCAGTAATTGCTTGCAGAGGCCACCGCCAGACCAGATTGATTAATCTACCCGGATCGGGGCCAGGCAGTGCTCTGAGCCGGCTGTATGCAGTGATGCTTCTAACCTTCGACTTGATACAGTACGTCAGCAGACAGTACGTAGCTGCTGCAGGCTCGATCATATCACTTCATGTGCACATGCTGCTCCCAGCAATTAAACATGGTTGTTTGCATGGACTGAATGCATATATTCACAAACCGCAACGTTGAAAATTTTGCCCGTCTGCACTTGGTGACCACATTGCTATTTATGCACTATCTGACATATGCGTGCTTCAGACTAGACTCGACTAAAAAAGCTAAAAGTATTTTAGGCGGGACTATTGACCGTCGGCTTTGCAAGTCATCGCTCCTTTGCTAGCGTAGGCCGAAATAGGGGCTTCGGTTTCCCAAGCAAAGCATCTTCGCAGTCCTCGTAAACGTCCGCCCCTAGCTGCGAGCAGATACGTCCATAAGATTCATTATCGGTCAGTCAATCGTGGCACTCAAGCTCCTGTCCCATTCGATACAGAGTCGTACGATGGCAACAGCACATCATGAAAAATACAAGGGCAGTTTCGATCCTAGAGTTGGAGCTTTACAGACGCCAAACATACTTATTGGCAAATGCAGACTGCGGGCGCCAGTAGATTGAAAAGCTCTTGTATCAATGACGCCACCATGACCTAAAAACTGATGCGCTTCAAACAAGGACTCACCTTTACATGGCTGAACGTATGCCCAAGCTCCTCATTCTTCTTGGCTACCAAAGAAAAAGCTTCTTTAACTTCCTCAAGAGCCGCCCCATCCCTCAAAGCGGCCGCTTGTGTGATCACGTTTTGTGACCCTGTGCTTCCCAAGGCTGCGTTTCTTTGCTTCCAGTATGCCTCTATATCCCTCTGCTGAACCGCAGCGGTTGTTGCTGGTTTCTGCACACATTTGCAGTACCACCCATGAAATGCAACCCCCCCCTTCTTGAGGATCTTCTTCAATATTCTCTATAGATACCCGCAGACATATCAGTACTTCTATTGAAGATCCGATTGCAATGGAACATACTGAAAAGTCCGTTCGTTAAGCAGTTTCCTCGTGGTAATGTCTACTAGATCATTGGTGTTTGCTTAATAGTACTAAGTGTCTGATCCCAACAAATCAAAGCATGTATTTGAATTGGATTCGCCGCCCCGCCTAGTAATAGAACCAAATCAAACATTCCTGAGGAGATGCTACTTGTAGGAGCTACATTCTCAAGGCTTTTGTGCTGTGTCAATCAGCTTGTAGCCTACAGCAGTTTCTGAGATCCTAATGGTTGTACACAGCGCAGTGCTCTCTTTAAGGAGGCCTCCACCAACTTGTGCCAGATTGCACGGGCTAGACTCGTTTGGAACGACATCTGGTGTGCCTCACCTTCGTTTCGTAATCCATCTTCTTTTCTGAAGGAGGCCGACCTGAAGATAGTTGGGAAGCCCTGTCAGCAATCGGATCAGTAACAAAGCAGGAAAGTGGTTGTAGCGATCAGTTTGAGTCTGCAGATACTCCCAAACTGTTTGAGTCTTCAGCAAGTGTAGGACCTGCTTCTGGGTCGAATCTGCAGGGGAAGCACCCTCTTCCATCACGTACGTAGGCAAAGCAGTCTCCGTGGACCCCACCCCACCAGACCATGTCAGGCTGTATGCTTAAACCAATGGATTTAGGAAGATTGCTACCTTGGATTTTGTTCCCAGGTTAAGCATGACGCGCTCGTTCAAGGTAGTGTACCTAACAACAACTGTCTACAATAGCCGTTGAAACTGCTCGTCCTTAACATACTGTGTGAGCAACACAGTCACTGACGTTCGGTTCTCTCTGCGTACTCACCAATTCAAGGTAGCTCGTGCTTTAACCGCTCACCTGGAACAAGAATCTTGTGCAGAGCTGGCCTCCATGGTTGCATCTTGGTTGAGCTCTGGCAGCATTCTCTGCGAGTCTGTCCAATCCTAAGAACCGAACCACCGACTTTATGCTCCTTGAATTCTTTACAGCCGTCAATTAGCTGTCGATGAGATACGCTACCTAACGAGGAGCAACTTGCCCAGCTTGAAAGCTGGCCTGCAAAAGTGGAAAGCTTGTCATCACAGTCAATGCTTGCCTGAGTGTGGAGCTACGAGCTCAATTCTTGCTCAACGCATTGCTCAGCCGGCGACATTTCCCTGATACTCTCTTTTGCAATGCAGATGGCGAATTATGGTGGCCTTTGCGACTCTACTCATTGCTTCAGATAGACATGCTTTCGAGCTGGACTCAGCAACTTCTGATATATAAGGAAACAATCATGCTGACCAATGTGGAATGGGGTGGTACTGTCCAATCCAGTCGCAGCACTACATGGTAGCTGAAGTAGGTTAGCGTAGGACCTTCCACACACTTACCATAGGTACCTATTTACGGAAGGTGTGGGTAGGAATACCGTGCCTACGTGAGGCTACTCTACAGAGTACTGTAGCTAGGTTCGGCCGGCCTTTGAGGTTTCGGGATTACCCGTCGGCTGATTCGAAATGCTTCTATGGCCTAGTTGCATTGGTAACGCTTGGTAGAAAAGTGCCGGAAGCATTACTTATCGCCTGCGCGCGCGAATTGATAACAAGTCCTAATTCTTACAAGTCATGGTTGTGCACGGAGCTTTTGGTATTGAATTTACGAGGGGCGCATTCCAAACTTGAAGTGAGGATCTAGCAGATTTGTCTCAAACAAATTCTTGACGTTGGAGAGGATCGTCTCTGATGTTACAGCATTGCCTGCCATGCTCAGAAGTCCATTTGATCGAAGTTCTGCCACAAAAATCACTGCAGGCCACAGTAGGTCACAGAAAAAGGGGACAGAAAGATCTATCGGAGAACATTGAGAGAATTTTATGAGGGGCGGGACGACTGGAACATAAAGGGACCACACAGTGAAGAGTGTAACGGGGAGCAAATACAAGGAGGAGTGTCGCAAGGGGCAAAAGGGCGTTCCTGCTTGTCTGGCACCTTGTGATCAGTTGCGTCTGCTTCAAGAACGGAACGTATGTAGGCCATAAGGTGCAGGAGAACAGGAGCAAAGAGCTTCCAAGATGGTAAGATTGAACGTTTGAGCCGCTTCAATGGATCTGCAGACAGTACACGGAATGCCGAAATGTTGAGGGGCACGCTGCACTCGTCAACGCTCTTCTTTAAATCAAGGGGAAGGGCACCGTGCTGCAACTTTCATCTGAATCTGGTCATCGAAAGCTCTTTAGCAACAGTTCTGCATCCAGTCGTCCAAACTTTCAAAGCCATTCAAAGGCAGGGAATTGTGACGAAGGAGATGCAAAAGCGCCCAAGCAATCTTGCAGACGATAAGATACCTGCTCAAGATCGCGCTATACATTTGACCTTTTGTTCTGAGCACCTACATCCCAGATGGACGCCATGCTTAGCTCTTTTCAGGAAGTTTGAATCTGCTGTGCCTCAGCATTGTCAGCATTCTGACAACTCTGCTTGTCCTTCCTGAATGAAGCCGGCCTCCGTGCGCTCCGACGCTACTCATGGGACGCAGCGGTCGAGCAGCTCCAAGACGCAGGGGAAGTACAAAGTGGTGAGAGCCTGGTTGACTACCAGCATGAACTCCCCAAGAACAATCGGGGGTCTGTAGTTTGGCCATCATCAGCTATTTTGTGCACATTCAATCAATGAACTTTGAAAGGAGATGCAACGGAAAGCAAGCAAGATATATTGGCAGTGGAAGTGAAAGGTGGAGGAGATTCTCCTAACAGTTGACAAAAACTCAATGCTTGCCTTTAGAGAGCGTCAAAGAAGACACTGCACGACTGTAACGTCCTTGCCTCTCACGAGCTTTGTTGCACTGTTGTCAGATCTCAAGGTCCAGCACTGTGGACGAGTCACTGTTTGGAAACAATGGCATGCCGGTGGTCACACGGAGCCCCACAAGAAAGCAAAAGGAGAACCAGGTAAGCAAGCTCAGGGTGCGCGCAATGAGCTCCCAAACCAATTGGTAAGCTGCACCAGCTGTTGGTGAACAGAGGCCTCCTGCTGCAACCTAAGCTTATACGGCCATAAGTCAGTGAAACCTTCCTGGACCAGCATCAACCAATCCTGAACCAACAAGCGAGTTGACAGCCTGCTGATTCAAAATTGAAGCTGACTTATCGAGAGTAGAATGAAGGTAACCAAAGTAGTGTTTTAATGTTGCTAATCTGTGGACAGAACGGATGCTGATACCACTTCTTGAAAAGAGCACTTGAGCTGCCTCCTCACCTGACACTCGAGTTTAAAAACAGATGATATATCCACACTGCAACAGGAAAACACGCGGAGTCGAAAAGGGGCAACTCAAAAGGAGGACACAGACAGCGTTCTCCTAACGAAGGGTGACATTCAGCGAATCAAGGTGAGAACGGTGTCCTTTACTTCTGCAGGATGCGCCGGCTGGGAAACGACTGTCGTTGGGTAGGCAAGTCGTTTGTGACATCCAGTCAAAAACTCTCATCTTATCTCACTCGTCTGCTTTCGGTACCGCTCAGCTGTTGAATCCAGCTTCTCATGTTTTTGATTTATAAGTGCTAAAGGGTGGCTTCTCATCGATGTAGGGGACAGGGCTCATCACGAGCGCAGAAGAGAAGGAGACACTAAGATGTATGCACGAGACGCAGAAGGAGCAGGAGCGGGCGGTGTCTACCCAACGAAAGAACGCTATGCTCAAGGTGGGCCGAGTAGAAACCTTCCCAGAAGTCCTTGCAAAGCTGCCGCCTGTGACTCTGACGCTTCAGATGAGATCGTCAAGTCGGACGGCTGGAGATAGAGGTCTGCTGAACACTTTCATCGATACAATCAGAATCTCATGAACGCGATCCAGGTCTGGTCAGCTTCTGATGAGTTAGGTTCGCTTGATTCTGCTCGTTTATACGAATTGAGTGTGCTGTTTGTCAAGTATCCAAAGTCTCTCAATCCGGTTCTGTCCCTTCTGGGCTTGCAGATGGAGGAGGAGAGGCGGAAACGAGCGCCGCTGACAGAAACAGACCGGCTGAAGCAGGAAGAAACGTCCAGGTAAGATATTTCTATGCAAGTACTTTTATGTCGAGGCCTTGATAGAGTTGTTTTGCACGCTGCCGCGTGACCATCCGAAAGTTCAGAGGTTCCTTTTCGTGGCTGTCATGGAGCGGACTGAGTGCATTTTCTTCAATGCTGCTACTCTGCAGTGACTATTGATTGGCTGTTGAGCATGTGCAGTAGATAAAACATAACGGCCAGCATCGCAAGCAGCTAGGCGAGGTTCTGACGAATTCTTACTGATTGCATAAGTTCGTCTCAACCAGCGCCGGCTCTACTACGGCGTGCAGCATGTGTAAGGCCCCACTCAGCGGGTTAAAAAGAGGCTCCACGAATTGTTCAGGGTTTGTTCAATCCACCCTTTCCCGATGCAGCATTCTGTCGGCCGCCAACCAGCAGCTAGACGAGCAACTAGACGAGGTGAAGCGGATGAATCAGATGATGCTCTACTCCAAGTGCATGACCGTGAGGGACAAACAGATCGAGGAAAAGGTGCGTCCGGCCATCTGAACGCTTGTCTCATCGATTGTTCCGATGCTCAAGACGAGGTGATATGTTTGAAGGTCCAGCACCTGCTCTGCACCTAAGTCGAAGTGACTGGGTCTCCAAAACCCTGAGCGCCAGCAGAAACACGTTTCTTCCCAAAGAGACACTTTCAAACTGTTTTCTTAAGGGATGACATTCCTTGATCATGCTTCTTTCAAATGTGGCTCTTCGGATGACAGCTTCTTACCTAAAACTCTTAAGGACCCAGGCTGGATGGTTGTTCCGTTATCATACCTCCCAGACCTGTTACTGACATGTTGATTCGGATATCATTCGGTTCGTTCCAACCGCCGCTTCACATGTATCTCTGCTTTCGAATAGAGCTGCACGGATTGGTTCGTTTATCTCCTGGCTGGCCTGTACAAAAGATTGCCGTCCTGTAGTGATTGGAAACGGTCCCGCTATCGTTGCAGAGAAGAATCAAGGAACAGGAGGAAGCAGAGACTCGGCGTCTAGACGTTGCAATGGAGGCAGATCGGCGCAGGGCACTTGAGGAATACGAAGAGAGGGAGAGGAGGCGCGTCGAAGAGTTCAAACAGGGGAAGAAGGTCATCGAGCTTCAAATCGAGGTCAGTGCACTCTCAAAGCCGCGATTACTCGTTGTGGATTCCGAAGACTTCGGCCTTGATTTTTGTTCGTGAGTCGGGTTTGGAACGTACTTCAGGACCTTTCGGGAATCGTGCGACGCACAAGGATAAAGTTTAACACCTATAAGGATCTAAGAGCTATAAGACACGCCCGGGGAATGGGTGGGTTGGTATGGTGGTTAGGGTGGGTTCGGGTGCCAAGCGCGTCATGTTTGTTGGTTAGGTTTCTACTCAAATTGCCACCCCGAGTACTTTCTTACGGGTACTAGATCCTTATAGGTATTGAACTTGATGGGTGTTGCGACGCCAAGGATATGGGCCCATCTAAGCACAAAAAAGCTTACACCGATGAGGACTGCTGGTGCTGAAATTGCCAGGGGATTCTTGAAGTCTGTTCGACCCACGGGATGCATTGCCATTAAACACAGGCGGCAAAAGGCCGGTCCTGAAAGGTCGTGGCAAAAGACGACACGTTTCCACCGCGAGCGCCTTCTTACGCTTCGATTGATATGTTGTACAGTCCTCAGCTCTGAGTACAGAAGATGAGGGCCGGGAGCCTTGCGAAGTGATCTCTCTTGACGTGTCGCCGTGCGGGATGACCGGCAGGAAACGGGCTATCCAGGTTTATCACAAAACTCGCAAACTTTTCCTTCAAAGCACAAAAAGTCAAGCGTTGACAGCAATTCACGTTCTAGAAGTACGAGCTTAGATACCAGGTGGCATCGAAGGCTAGTTTTCCACGATTTAGCACGATTTAGCACCAAATTAGAACAAATGCTACCGGCTGAGAGCTAACCCCTCTGCGGGTTATCTCCTTGGTTCCAGGAGCGCAAGCTGGAGCGGCAGCGGCAGGAGGAGCGTCCAGCCGTGCCCGACACGATCGAGCTTGAACGGAAACGATAACCCCAGCGGTTCAACCCAACAATAGCAAACTTTGAGCTCAAGCGTCACGGGTGAATCGCTAACCCCCTAACGGTTATTTTTCAGGAGCGCGAGCTGGAGCGTCAGCGGCAGGAAGAGGTCCTCGCGCTGGAACGCCAGGCCGTGCTGGACGCGATCGAGCGCAACAAGGCGGAGGAGCTGCGCCAGATGCAGGAGCGGCGCGACGCGGGCGCGCGGCTGCTGCAGGCAAGCCTGCGCGCGCGGACCGCAGACTTGCTCCAATGGCACTGTCACAGCGGTCCGACGTGTAGTTTATGAAGTGCAATCAAGAGGGCGACCTGAACTTCAGTCTTAGCATCACATAAAGTGTTGGCTGCTAACCAGGCTGATTAAGAGACTATTCTCCTGTGTTATGAAGCAGATTCGATGCTAGCTTTGACATTGTGCCGCCCAAGTGTGTTTATTGGACGTTTCACCACTTCCTAACCACCCATCAAGAACTCAGAACCATTCATGTCAAGGGCGAAAAAATCAGAAGCAAACACGTGTCCAGACGTCTGTTATAACGGAGAGATCTGGACCGTCCAACCGTTATGCTTGACAAACTAGACGGTAGTGACAGCAAAGACTTCTGTCCCCAGCATACTGGCAACGTTCGCTTGAACCAACAGTCACTTGAAATAAGATCCAAGTCACCGGGAAAACAAACAAAAAAACCTAACCCAAAAGATGACGCGCTCCGCACCCGAACCCACCCTGACCACCAGCCAACCCCATCCGTCTCCCGGGTGCCTATCTTAGTTCAAGCGCCTGATAGTTCAAAGAACGTTGCCAAACTGTCCCCAGCCAGCTCTCAACTCTGCGGTCCGCCTGCAGGAGGTGTCGCGCAGCAACGCGGCGCTGATTGAGCGCAAGAAGGCGCTCGCGGCCGCGGAGCGCGAGGAGGAGCTGCGCATCGCGGCGTACATCGCGCAGAAAGAAGCGCGCGAGGCGCAGGTCGCGGAGGAGCAGGAGCGGGTCAAGAAGGACCGGGAGCGCGAGGTGGCCAGGCTGCGCGGGATGCAGGTGCGCGCGTTTTAAAAAACATTGAGGAGATGGGCTGGTCGTCTGTTTTGTGGCTCTCTCAGAGCCCCTCAGAATCGACGAGAGGAAGACCGCTGATTGAACTCACAGAGCTTCAAAACAGGCAATCAGATAGAGGTTAGATGCATCCTGCAAGTGATCTTTGGGGGATCAGAGTCGAAGAAAGGATTGTTGTGGAGAAGATTGCACTCGTACAGCGCCGGAGTAATATGAGCAGTCATCGTCCGGGGCAACCCAAGTACGCCGTCCTTAAGGAGCCAAGGAAAAGTCTTTCCAACATTTGGCTTCACAACCTTTCTGCAGGAGAAGGCCAACGACAAGCAGGCCGAGATCGACGCGCTGCGCGCGCAGCGCACGCAGGAGGCGTACGAGCGCGAGTGGCGCGCGAAGGAGCGCGCCGAGGCGGAGCGCGCGCGGCGGCTGAACCAGGAGCTCGCGGAGGCGCGCGAGCAGCAGAAGGTCCTCAAGATGAAGCAGCTGGCGGACTACGCGCAGGCAGAGCAAGCCGAGTTCTACAGGATCATAGCCGAAAAAAGAGGTGGGGACGATAATCTTCTCTGGTCTCTCGAGGGTACCCGGCATTTTCATAGTGCCTGATTGTCATGACGCTTACAAGCAGAGATTGAGTAACTGCGAGCGTCGTGTGGAATGTGATTGGTCTGGATACTGCTTCAGATCAGCTGAAGTGACTCCCGTTTCTTTTAGGCGCGTTGGCAGTCGAATCGAGAACTCTTCGCGCCCATAAGACGAGACTTTCCGACCTGCGGGGTGGTGAAACACAAACGCGAAAGGATTCTTATCAGATCCGTCTACTTCCTCTCCCCTGATTCGAGAATCAAAGCGACAAGTTTTAAGGGCTGTGTCGCTCTAAATTTCACGTCTAGGCGAACCGTTTCCATCGACCATTGTACAATCGCCTATCCACCTTTGGACTGACCACACACTTTACCTTTCCATCGCCCCTCCATAATCAATCCCTTCTTGTCAATTCTCCGTATAACCTCCTGCTCGCGTGCAGAGATGGAGAAGCGCGAGCGCGAGCTGGAGCAGCAGGCGCAGCGCAAGGAGGTGGAGCACAAGGAACAGCTGAAGCTGCAGATCGCGCAGCGGGAGGAGGAGCGGCGGAGGGAGCGGGAGGCGCACCTCAGAGAGGGGGATAAGATCAAGCAGAAACTGCAGGCGGAGAAGGATAAGCTGGAGAGGATACGGATGAAAAAGCTGCAGGATCTGGAGAAGGAGGGCGTGCCGGAGAAGTATAGGGCGGAGCTCATGACGAAGAAGCTCATGAAGTGAGTTAAATATATGTTGTGATTAATTTTAGCCGCGGCTTGTAAGTGGGGCGTTCTGGAACCGGTATTTATGCTGGAGACACGGATTCCTTTTCTGAATGTTGCAAACGGAACAAAGCCGGTAGCCCGGCCAATAGAAGAGAGCTCGAGGATGTTGAATCTTACCAACTAATCTCACGGTTACTTCTACGTTTAGTGGCCAGAGCAAAATCAGCTCGATGTTGAGGTTGAGGTTTAGTGGCGATTGCTGCGGAAGCTATCTCAAAAAGCACATTGTCACGACTGATGTGATTACATGCATTCCTGGCAGCCGAATGGGCAAACGTTCAGACTCACTCATTCCACTGCAAATGGTCAAATTCGGACAGTTCTCTTCAGATACACCATGATTTGTTGGACTTCTAGCTCGCCACTTTTACCAAAGGTGACGTGGCAACAACGTGTCATCACTGAGGAGAGCGCAGCTGAATTAATAGATCTTCCCCCGATCTTCCACTCAAAAGAAGGTACCTATGACGTTCGGTCTGATTGACCTCAGTGGGCCAGGCGATCCGTACCGTAGAAAAACGAGATGGCTGGGGGACAGGACGATATTGCGTCGCAGTCGACTTATTTTGGACGTCAAAAAATGGGTGCTTCAGTTTTGTTTCCAACCGGTTTTGCATAGTTTACATCAAACCCGACCCAGTACCCTGTCCTGACGTCGCCATCACTGAGCTCCCCGAGGCTAAATGTTGCAGACTGCGGTTGTTATGTGAAGATTGGACGGCTGCGACGCGGATTCGGCCATCTTGAGCCGCCTTCTGCGGTCCACCTTACACTGGCGGGTTGGTGGCCATGATAAATCGGTACTTTTCCTCAGGCATGTCAACATTTCTGCTGCTGTCGAGTCGGTTGGAGATGTTGGTCGGCGCATGTGCCGTAAGAAAGGGATCTTACGGGCTTCCAAGTTCCAACCCACCCTTTCACCCTAAGTCACCAGTCTCCCAGTCTTCGTATAGATAGTATTGAAGCAGTACGTTTGGCAGATATAGGCCATGTATGACTACCATCATTGTGGCTATCATAGCGTATATCATTGATCTCATCGTCAATCACAAAATGTGTATACCGCAAGCACAAACTTGATCACGGACGCTTGTGCACTCATGAAAAATATGGTTGCGCGATCCATAACTAGCGAGCACTTGATCCATTGAACGCGCAAGGTTTGGAAATGTGATAGGCACGAGGTACACTTTCTCCACTTTCTTACAATTTACCAACCCGTCTTCAGCTTTGGATATAATTGCAGATTTCCGTCACTGGTTATCAGCCTGAAATCGTATCTCATGGCTTGCTCCGCAATTGCCGCATCGAAATAATCGGTTGCGGCCTTGCCAGGCAAAGCCTTCGATGCCCTCAAGGTGGTAAACCCAATGACGTCATCTGCCGTGACCTCATCAAAGATGGCCACGTTCCCCGTCTTCTCCAGGAAATCTAGCATAGCAACCCCCTCCAGAACCTTCCTCCCCCTGTCCATTACTACGATTCGACCTGAGCGATAAGAAGTCGACCTCAAAAACGACCGGCAACGACACGTATACATTCGTGAGTTGTTCAAGGAACAGCCTCGTTTCTTTTGACATCTGATTGCTAAGACTTTCCGGTGGTTTTTGCGAATCTGCCTTGGGCTCAATTTCAACCGTTGCAAAAACAAATCTGCACATGAGTCAGGCAAAAGTTGATCAGGCAAAAGTTGATCAAAGTCACCACAAAGTGGGCATTGAAGTTTTAGGAGTTTGAGGGCAGCAACCGAGGCCACGAAAGACAGAGGACACCTTTACGAATTGATCATCGAACGATGTCCCACATTAACAAGCGCAACTCAAAAAAGGCTCTCATAAACAACCGCAACGTGATGTGCTGCATGCGACCAGCTAATGTAGTCCGAGTCGAACAAGCAAGTCGAAGCACGCTGCTCGGAGAGCCTTCTGATCGCTAGGCTCAAGTTGGGTGGGGAGCTAGAGACCAATCCAGAGCAGACAAGTTACCTGTGAACTAAAACAACAAGACCTTTCACATCCAGCGGCTTCACATATCGATTTCAAGCCCATCTTCTTCTCATGAAGTGGGGCAAAACGAAGGACCAAGAACACAGAACGACCAAGAACAACCGTCTTACCTTAAGACTGCATTCGTGTCTAACATTACGCGACTACTCTGGGGCTCCTTCCACAGGTCCGGCCCGCTCAAATGATTGGTTGCTGCATTGGGGGTTTCCGTCGCCGCTCGTATTCTCCCCGCCGACCTCCTCGTTCGTGGACTCCACACACCGACGTCCCGAGCTCCAATACTCGTTGCCCGGGACGTTGGCCACCCGAGATCGAATTGCGTGTAAGCTCAGCGAGAAAGGATTGAATGCAATTCAGCACGGCTTAGCAGGTGCAGGTAGCACGTGGGAGGTGGCATGTGCCCCGAGCATATTGAAAGCTCGTTTTACATGAAATCGAAGCCTTTTTTGAGTAAGATTCTTTCCAGACTCTCACTTCTCATTTACCCATAGAAGGGCAGCAAAGACGACTGATATAGAGACAAACTCCTAAATTCTCAAAAGTCGAATAGAATTTCCAGAAACTGCGCATCTGACCGAGAGCCAAAGTTAGGCGGGCGATGGTTAAAGTCGGTTCAAGCGCTTTCTCTCAATGACCTTCCTAGTAATTGATAAATTGAGAGATCAGAGCAATTCCAACAAGGGGGAGCAGCATCGAGGATGCGATTAAACAGGTGTAAGGCCACACGATGCAGTCTTGCATGATACCCTGCCAAAAGACTCTTGGCGATAACTGGAGAGAAGCGTTTCTGAGGAGTATGTGACGGCAGCGGAGAAGCAAAAAGACGGCAACGGAGAAGCAAGAAGAACTCAACTCTGCAGAGGGAAGACTCGAAACGAGACATCTTCAAGGTAGACAGCGCATGTGAGTCAGCCGTTGTTTGAAAGATTGGCAGCTCCAAAGAGGTTGCTTTACAAAAAATTTGAGAAAGGTGTTGTACTGTTTCTGGACTGGAGTTGAGGCACACTACGAATGTTCTGAAGAGATGAAAGGGACTCAAAGCCTGGTGGACATAAAAGCAAGATTATGAAGATGGAACCGCAAACACTTACATAAGACCGCCGTACAACATTCAAATATTCTGCACCTTGCTGGAGGTTCTCCTATTCGGGGTTGCTTCTGTTATTGTGCCCAAAATGGACACAAACGATGATGAGAAACGTCTAGAAGGCGACTTACATAGCCCACATGCTGCCGCCGGTAGATGGGGCGGCCGTCCTCGTTGAACCCAATTGGCTTGGCGGCGAGCTGGTCCTCGCGAAGACGCCTTTCGATCCTCTCAGCGGCTACAACAGCAAGAGAAAGTGCATCAACAATCTGCGAGAGTTGCACCGCAAAGTGGCTGATCACTGTGACCATGGAGATCTACACCACATAACGTAAGGTAACGAGGTGCTGAGTATGAAAAGGTTCTCTTCTTTAATTTTCGAGCCTAACTTGCTGCTGACAGCACGTGCAAACCCACGTGCAAACCCACAAGCATAGCGCCAGAAGTCCACGCTCAAGCATAAAATTTGAGGCTATCTACGAAACATACACGTTTCTTGTAGCAGTAAACGAAGACAACCGCATGCCTAAATTGACTTTGAAGCACAAGCCCACCTCGTTCTTGCCGCGACTTGTACATGTTGCCGTCATTGCCTCCGGGCACCGCTGAAAAGCAGAAGCCAGAGTATTACATTGAATCTTTTGTTTCGCAGCAGGCATTCGCAACCCAGAGAAAGAAAAGATACTCATACAAACAAGTAAGGCGGGCAAAGATCAAGTGCAGCGGACAATCTCAACCTCATACATTTGATGCATAGGTGAGAGAGAGCCTTGAAATACTTTGTGGTGCTTGACTGGAGGATAAAGATTGTGAAGCGTCACATAAACCGTCAGATTCCACCAATTCAATGGCCCTGCTTTGAGATGCCTCGAGCTTGGTTTCTCACCATTTGCTGTACTGCCGCCATCATGCCGGACACCGATGTGACGAGCTGTTGACAGATGTAAATATCAGTGGTGCAATAAGTTTGCCGTAATCATTGTGATGCAGATTCCAGTACTTTGATTCCGCTTACACAGCGGGTCAGAGCAGCCGGGCTACTCTCTTCTGATTGACCGTATGTACGAGGTGGCCAACCTCAGATGAAGCAGACAAATGTCACATGTGAAGCACCTCAACTAAGTCACATTGGAACCCTTATCACACATTTGCATCTCCTGCATGCAATCCTACTGAAATCGGCAAGAAGTCTTACTTGTCATACGCGGACTCTCTTCTTTGCAGCTCCTCACAGTGGCACCAAAGGCTACACCTGCAGCACCATGCAGCAAACAAAAAAACACTACAACCCTTCACTAGCAAGCGCACTCAGTCAATGCTTATGATTGAGATTAATACTCGAGTAAGGCGTGCAAACACATGGTGGCGATCAGGACATGATACAAGCACCGAAAAAAGTCGTCCAGTCTCCACCATGTTCCATCCTCCATCCAGATCTTACAAGATTGAATGAGAAGCACACGATGCAAGTTAACCACCAAAACTTGAACATGCACTAGCAAGAATTTGAAGCTCAGAAGCATCCGCATACTTCCCCAGTCCAATCTCTTCTGCTCCAGTTTCCAGCTATTCTGGACGTTCAGTGCACTCACTGGTGCCGCTCAATGGCAGGGCGAGGCTATAAGCGCTGGCGCTCATGACGGAATTCCTTCTCTTGGACGTAGAGAATCGTGATAAGAACCTCACTAAAGATACCCTGCAAGCTACTTTCCAGCGCCTTCGGACACTGACAGCTCGAGAGCGCCCTGGTGGGAATTGGGAAGCTCGAGCTGATACCCTAATTTGCACATTGAAATCTGAAGGGTTTTGCAATACCTAATGTAGATCCGAATTGGAGAGGCAACCTGACCGGGTTACCTTTAACGATGTTTTCTCTGGCCTAGGTACTAAGTAAGTCTAAACCTAAGGCTAAAGAGGTTACAGGATTGTAGCAGGATTGGTCCGGCTAAAGTGGTCAAGCAGCTAAGCTGGAGCTTGACCGTAGCTTGAGCATTTACTAGGGTTAGGGTTAGCGGCATTGAGCGAGTCACCGTGAGGCTTGAGCTGCTGTCTGAAGTCACTGAATTGAATCCGCCATTTGATCGTTCCAGGTGTTCGCCTTCAATAGGCTTTGAGGTCAAAATCCACCCACAATCGTCTGCATTCGCAAGTCTGACAAGCTTTATGGCCCAACAACATGATGCCACCACTCTTCTTCAGCATGCGAGTGGGGCCTGGGATTTGAGACTGATATCCATAATTTCCACTTTAACCCCTCCCCCAACACAGAGCTGAAAGTTTGTGCCACTGCACTGGTGCAGACCGCATTGACCACTTCACTGCAGAGCTTGATGCGATGCTCCAGATACTTCAAAGCCCCACAGCTAATGACACGGGCCAGCTAAACTCTCTGCTCGCGACGTTGCAGTTGGCTTTGAGCTGCAAGGAGCTCCGCGCCTCGTGCCCCTTCTCGGACCCCGACTCATTCGTGTGGCAAGCGACAGTTCAAACCCTGGCCCCCGGGGCGGCTTGCAGCCGCCTCTTTTGGCGAGCAAACCGACAGAAGCTAGGCAGCTTTCTAAGTATTCTCCATGAGGTGATTTTAGCGCCTCACCATCGGGTTTCCCTTCGCGACCACTGGCTGTGAAAACGCTTCTTAGCCCAGCACTTGGTTACATTGAGCTTGAAAGACAACTAGGTAGTACGTTTTAGGCTTATCAATGCTCTTGCCTATTGAAGATCCAGGGTGTGTGGTGATAATACTGGGGGATCCCCCTCAGGTATGACCCTGGGGATAGGCGAAATGGTGGCTTTAGCATAGCTGCCTTACATACGTAGAACTTGTGGCTCTCGTGGGTGGCAGTTTCGGCAGCTAGCTTCTCATAAGTGATGGTCGAAGCAGTTCAACGACCAAGATGATTTTGTTGCACACACATCACTAAGATTGAAAGCGAGCGGCTGTTGTTGGATTGGGAACCACCCCTGAGCTTTGAAATCGGGTTTTGGTTCTTGAGGGCTGACCTAAACTCAAAAACCCAAAACCCTTGGAATTGTGAAGTGCGGAGCCTTACGTCTGCTTGTTCCTGGCAGGCACAACCTGCTGCAGCTCAAAAGGCCAAGGAAAGCTGGCTCGACTGCTTGAAAAGGTGCGCAATATTGAGTCGTGATCTTACGTGTGATGTTCTGATCTCAGTGGTCCCCTTCGACGTGAATTAGGGCTCACTTCAATGCAGTCCTCCATAGCACCAGTCAAAACACTTGATAGAAGCTCGTTTCCTTTTGATTACAGCTTCCTACCCGTTCTGTGTGTTCCACCGATTGTTTCTTGCATTGGTTTCGACAAATTCACTTGCTTTCGCAAATGAATAACCCCTTGCGCTTTTAGCTGCTGCGAGACACTGGTCATTAGTGTAACACTCTCTTTTGCAGTGTCCTTTTGCTCGAAGGCAGCGCTTGGAAACCTCTGCCGCTTGTGGATGGTTCGGCGGCGCCTTCGGATTGGACACTTAAGGTCAGTCTTCCAGCTCTCCTAAATGTCTTGTAGATCCCTCTCCAGCTCTCCATATTGTGTTTCAGATTCCTTTCCAGCTCGTCTACTACGCAAGGCTCGTTTGTTAGACAATTCACATCTCGATAGTTTTCCAGGGTTGTTGTCCGCTTTCCTTAAGCATTGACATTTCATCCAGCGGTGGATGACCCTTTCTGAAAGGCCAGACTGTAAGGAACCTTTCATCCGTATTTCATCCGTCCCTGTTCTGACACTTGCCGGAATTTAAGACTAACCCAAAAAGAGAATTGGAAAGAAGAGGCAGTGCACTCTGTTTCGATCCTAAATTGCCTCCCAAACGTCTCCGTCCCCCGTTTAGCTTTGGGGGGGAGTGTTCGTTTCTGACAAAAGAGATTTGTTCGACTTTTTTGACTTTTAATTTTTCCTACTGAATCGAGCCGGCGACCGAAGCACAAGCCCCGCTCATCCTGTTTCTCTCTCGGACCGCCACAGGATGACGTCAGAGAGGCTACTTTCTACGAGATCGAGTTCTGCTGCGCCATTCTCGTCGCCGCTGAGCTTCGTATTCCGTTCCGTTCGTCCCGAGCCCATCTCCCGACCGGAAACGGAACGGCACAACTGCCCGGCACAGCCTCCCGGGCCAGTTCACCCGCTGAGGAGAGCGGGAAGCCGACCGCGCAAGGGGCTGACCGCCAGGAGTTGGTTGACGTCATTGCCTGGGTGAGCGGCAGAGATGACGTCAGACTTTGGTGTGCGGTCAAATTGATGCCTTTGCATGAGCCAGCTTTTATGGAGGCGTACTAGAGTAGAATTGACCCGTTGCCTCATCATCAACGCTCTTCGGGGGCTATCTGGCAGGTGACTCAGAGAGAGCTGCTGTGAGCTCCATTTCCGGATCAGTGCCCCATCTCCTTTGGTTACAGGCTGCAAGCTGGTCTCGAGCCGCTTGCAAAGACATTCTCGCCCGTCTGTTGTATCTGTTCTGGGCCCCTTGCTCGCCGTTCGAATTTGCCTTCTCCGCCTTCTCTCATCGAGTCGCGTGCATGACGAGTTCCTTCTTGTGAACGACTTAACATTGTCAAATATCTATCAGATTATTTGTCGTTGATCAAGTTCTCGTTTGTGTTCGACCGCCTCGCCGCTCTTTGGACCAACTTGATACTTTTGCTCTGCTCATCCTTAAGACTGCCTGCTGACTGCTATGCATCGGGATCGAGATTCCTCTCCTTTCATTCTGCCGCTAAAAGCCTTTTGGAAACCAAACCTGATCTTATTCTAGTCTCGACCGTCGATCCCCATCCATGTGTACTGCTTACCGTCGATTCAAGCCTGGTTTCTTTCCTCACCGTCGATCTGGCTTCACAGGCATACTCCCTGGCGCATGCGGTCTCAGCACACCAGCTCGAGGGCCAACAGCGCCTGGAGGCGGTAAGCTACCAAACCCGGTTGTTCACCCGAACTTCATTCTCAAACTAGGGGTACATTTCTGCCCCGAAGATTTTCATAGGTCTGTCATTTTGAGACTCGCTCGTAGCAATTATGTCCAGTATGGCGTCCTGAGATTCCAATGACCTCTTTAGGCTGCTTGACCCTGTGTGCACTTCCAGAGAATCTTGAGCTTCTCCCTAACACACAAAGCTGAGCCAGGTAAAAAAAGAGTTCAGCTTCAAAGAAAGCCCATCTCTGTGACACTTCTAATCTCCAAGACTCAAACTCACTTTCAAATCTGTCTTCTGCAGATGTTCGTTCACGTAATGGACGTATACGTCATCCCCGGTTTGGTCCTCCTGCTGGCCCAGAGGGAACCCCCTGCCAACCGTGCTGCGGCTGAAGCGATCCTCCACAGCGTGCGGGCGCGCGCGTGCGCACTGGGCTGCGCGCTCTCTGCGGTGTTTTCCTACCTGGACGTTGGGGGCGGTTCTGGTGAGGCGTCGAATGTTCCCCTTCCTACTTTATTGTTCTTATGTGATTGGTCGTTGAGCCATCGCGTTACTTGAATTCTTCAAGTTCTTAGCAATCAGAATCTTGCATTAGCAGGATTGCCATGTCTTTGTTACCTTTGAGGTTCCTCCTTGCGTCCCTTTGCTAGTTTCCGGGCTTACTCTCTGTACCATTGTTAGCAACTCACTTCGTGTCACAGTACTTTTGGTACATTTGCGGCACTACAGCGGCTGGTTAAAAGCTCCTCAGAACACTTTACCTGGGCTCTAAATTCTGGCGACTGTCGGCTTGTGAAGCCTCACGAAAGGGCTGCGTTTATTTATCGATTCGGTCCGACCGTCCGAGCGTCCAATATTGACGGCTGCGACCGACTTGCAAATGAGATCGACGGCCACGGCGGTTTGCACTGTCGAATTTTCAGCGGTGCCCACAAGCACCGCCGAAATGTCACCCTTATATATTGGATTACCAGAGGCCGGAACATCCGAGTTGATAAATTTCTAGAATTTCTTATTGCCGTGAAAGACCGGCACCAAATCCAATCCCCAAAATCCAACAAATCAACAACAAATCCACAAAAACAAACAATCAAAATAATCAACAACAAATCCAAACTCCCTGCGGGGAAAGAAAAAAAAAAAAAAAAACCAACAAATCCAAACTTCACAGAAACAAAACCCCACAAAAACCACAAAATCAACACTCACAAATTTAAGAATTTCTCGAGCATCTTTAACCTTGAAAGTAAAAGCCCTACTCCGAATACAGAAGCACGTCTCAACAGAAAACAAATTGTATTAATGTGAAAGAAATCAGTAGAATGGATGCTGATTACATGGCCAGCTCAACATACTCGACGTATCATTGCTAAGTGTGGCCTCAATATCGAGATTTCTTGTAGTTACATTCGAAGCACAAGTGAAAGTATTGCAGAATAGCAGGAGAAATAACACTTTGTAACACCCACAAGAGATTAGGTTGACGAGCGCACCCATTGACAAGTACGTTAAACCCATAGGCACCCAACCAACTTAACCTTTTCAAACCTCAAATTGCCATACCAGCAACACCGGACCCTCCCTTCATGCTTCAAGGTATATCTGTTCTTGAAGTTTCTGTCACCTACACATACATTGCTCTTTTTAAACCATCATCTCTGAAGCCACGCGCAATTGTTGAGCATATGGTCTTATTTCTCAATTGTCCTCATCGTTTGCAGCCGCGTTTAGCTCGTGGGCACAACCAGGCCTCAAGCCCCACTCAGGGCTCTTTCCCCTCTTCGCCGCTCTCCTAGTCGAACGATTCCCGGGCTCAGTACTTGCACGGGGAGTCTTTTCCGATGCAAAACCTGCTGACGGTCTATCCAGATCGCTGGAATGGGCAACCGGGGGATCTGCCACCGCTCTAGTTGCCACAGTCTTGCAAGCTATTTGGTGAGATGTGTCTGATGGTTTTAACCTAGTTTTAACCTCGCTAAAATTTGCTAAGGACCGTTCTGTTCTTCTTATGGCGAACTGTTGTTCTGTATTTGCTGTTTAATCGGAGGCTGTGATCCTTCGAAAAGGGCCCTTGAAGTGGACGACGTGTCTGTGTATGGGAGAACTCACAAACAGCATTAAGCATGTGGCGGTGAAAGCGGAGTTGCTCGAGAAGTTTAGCAGCCTCTTTTAGAGCCTGGCCAGTGCTTTTCATGTTTACAATGTTTACAGTGCCCAGCTCAGAAAGGCATGGCCCGGAAAGACTCACCCACTTCTTTGTTGCTCATCGTTGTTTTGTAGCCCTTCACTGATAATTGTGCGCTTCGAGCGAGAATAACTGCCAGATCTCGAACGTGTTTGTGCCCTCTCGACTTCGATTGACTTCTCTCTCCGTTTCAACGCCATAATCTTCTTCCGTGTTGCGTTGATCTTCATCGTTCCAATCCTCATCGCTTCTGTAGGACCTGAGCTCTGTCGAGAACCTTCTGGAATCTCACTGAAACCCTTGCCTTGTCCGTCTCGCAGCCGAGAACACTCCCACGATTTTTCGGGCCGCCTCGCTTTGAGCAACACGCAACCACTGCTCGTATTCTCCCAGGTATGTGGTGGTCGAGTTTCTATCTTGCGAAGTTCATATCCTGTCTAGTCGCAGTCCGCGTCCCATTTCGTTCTTAATCCGGATCTTAAGGGAGTGGGCCACACTGCGTGAATTCTATGTCCTTTGAGTGCGCTTGGGGGTTCGCTCATCAATAGTTCGCCGCTCAGTGGCCCCGCTGAATCCTGCTTCAGATAAAAGCCAACGTCGATTTACCATGGCCGTTCATCAGCCCAGTTCAGAGAAAACCGCTTTTGGGGGTCTCGTGTTATTCACTTCTATACTGATGACAAGGCATTTCATAATCACAGGGTTTCGAACCAACCCATGAGACCTGTATGCCGAAAACAGGACAGCAGGCCCGAGTTGTTTGTCTTTCCAACTCTCCCTGTCGGACTGGGCACCCGAGTACATCTGTTACAC